ATGGATGTACTTTGTTTGCTTCGTGACCCGCCCGGTATGTGTAGATATATATACACCAGCCCTATTGCTGGGGCTACATTCAAAGTGTGTGTGTGTGACCTTTGCTCTCAATTGTTTCTTTGTGGGCCTGTGTTCTCTGAATCAAGGACACATCTTCCTAACAGGAAATCATCTCTTCCAATTGTTATTAAATACATAACTCAACAAGTTTGCTTCTAACTAGGTCAATCTTGAAAATACCTGATGATATTCATCAATGTACACAATACGTGTCTTTATAACGGGGTAATGTAAAGGATCAATATTAATACTACCTGCATTGTAAATGTTTGAATTTTGTTATTTTGCGGAGGAGTTGGTGTTTCGTGTTTTCAGTTAAGTGTCACGAGTGAGATTATACAGTCTAGACGCGTCCTTTCTTATCTCCACAGAAGCGCGTGCCACGCCCACTCTCCGAGGGCCCGACAGTTGTCGGTGCACCAAAACAAACACCGTCCTGTATCCAGACAGCTACGTGGATAATTTAATTGTCTAGAACAAAAGACACAAGGCTTGTCCAAAACATTTCTTAAATTCACTGTTTACACCGAGTGTTGCTACCATCCCCGTTATACCGCGACAGAATGGCTGACATTCCAGGCTGGTTTATTGGACCGACCACTTGTATTGCTAACTCACTCTCACGATGAAATGACTCACCGGTGCATTACGCGACGTGAACCTTCTAATGTATATTTACACGTATATTTCTACTTATTTACTTACAAAACTGTCCACATATAGCCTAAATCAACTGTCCTTGAGCTAACTTGCATGTACGTTGACAATCTGTCGACCGTGACGATGGGCACATTCAACAAGGTGCGACAAAATTCGTAGGTATGTGAACTATCATGGCGACAAAACACGATAAATTTAATTTTTCAGCGTTATGATGTCTGTATAAATGTTTGTCCGTAGTTGTCAACGGCTGTTGTGGATTGTGAAATACTATGTCGCCCTGTCATATGACAGCGCATTGGTCCGGCAAAGTGAGAGGTGGGAATCGACCGAGGGAGGGCAACAACACATTTGACACGGAGAAGCTGCTTCAAAACAACAAATATTTGTTAAAATATGGTTTATGTACTTACCGAAACAATTTAGCTACCTTAGCCCTTATGGTCCGACGCTGGCCTTGAAATCGTAATCGCTAGTTGAGTTGTACGCAATGATCGCATAAACGCGCCTGTCAATCAATCGGAGTGTGTGGAAATCCTTCGGGACTTCCCCCAAATACCGTGCGCTGATTGGTCCGAATATTTCATCGTCCTGTTGGAGCCATTCACTGTGCGAGGTGTGTTTTTTTAAGAACGGCTGTTGTAAAAATCTGTCGTATTGCTCAACCACGTAGTAGCTTGTGTATTACAGCGGAAATTGATTGTCATGTTTGTATAGGCTAACAATCAAATCTATTACCCGCTGTAGAACTTCGTCCACTAATGCAACTTTATACACCAAGTGGAATGGTAATTTCTTTAATAACACACATTTTGTTATTTTAAATATATACGTAATATTTCTTCACATACATTCAAGAAAAAAAACATATACTGACACATTTCTAGCAATGTACGTTCATGCTTTAAAACAAATAGGTGGTAATATACACGGATTTAGTTTTTTATGCATAATGTAAAAATGAAATGGACATAATAATTATTTACATAAATAGAAGCTGTACACAATTTATTTTCGATGGTTTCAAAAAGTCCCTGCAAAGACCCTGTATTTTGGCGGCCATCTTGAATATTTTTAAATGCCCAAAGATGACAGAGTGTCATCAGTCAATTTCATAACCTAGAATGTGTACTTAAACAAATCCAGCAATAAAAAAACTTTATCCTCCAATTCTTGGTTTTTGTCCTCTCTGCCGGACTATATAAGACAACCGTGTTCTCATGCAGTGATTGGATTAATTCTGAATCCTCAAGTAGACTATATAGTACACACATGTGTAAATAAACTTCAAAAGTTCAATTTGGTGCGGTCGTGACACAATCTCGTGACAAAGCTAATGATAGACTCGTGTCAACATAACATATAATATACAATGGGCACAAGACGACTGGACAAATCAGTGTTGGTAAAAATAATTAACCAACACGGGTAAAATACCAGGCTTGAGTTAAGTAAATATCATATTCAACAACAGCGTTTGGGTTTATAACAGTTCAGCTAACACGGGTTAAATGCAGGGGTTAATATTTATATGTGTGTAAAGATCACGAGATATATTCAACTACGCAATTCTGCATGGTTATATAACTGCTTATTTTTACAACTACGTATTCCTTCGATCAAAGAGTTATTGCTTTTATGTTTTACGCCAATTTGAACAAGTTAGCTTAATAAGGAAGCGAGACACGTGATTTAATTCGTTAGCTCTTATATTACCACTTTCGTGAAACGAGGGTGGTGCTCAAGGTATATTGGACCCGTGAAGTTCCGGGGTAGAATAGGTCTTCAGCAACCCATGCTTGCCGTAAAAGGTGACTCTGCTTGTCGTAAAAGGCGGCTAACGGGATCGGGTGGTCAGGTTCACTGACTTGGTTGATGCATGTCATCGATCCCAATTGGTAGATCGATGCTCATGATATCAATCACTGGATTATTTACAGACAACCGTCATATAGCTGGAATATTGCTGAGTGCGGGGTTAAACAACAAAGAAACCAACCAACCAAGGTACATGTATAGTGTCCGTCAACAAAGGGGCGCAACTCCACAGCGTGTTGCCGAGCCCGTGTCCTGCACTAGGCCACCGCGTCCCCGAGTTTAATGTTTAATTAATTTTAGTGTGTGCATGGCGTTGACCACCTAATTTTATTTTTATTTTATGGTTTTTTTTCGTTGACCACTGTTTCCATAGCAATACAATTTCGTGCATGTTTGATGCTGGCCACAAAGATGGGGCGCCATGAACTAAACACCCTGACAGAAACTTCTTGAAGACACATATTTCTGGGTGAATCGTGCTTGTGAAAAGCAGGTTTGGAATCAATTTGCAAACGTGTTCTTTTTTCGCATTAATTCTTATTTTCTCCAGCATGCCTAAGTGTGTACGGGAATAATAGTTTAATTGACCTGAGGCCTTATTAAAGTAGTTTTTCACTTACTGGCTGTTGGAGATGAATAACTAGGGATATCCACCTAATGCTGATTTCGTAAACACTTCTTTTCAAGACTCACCTAGAGCTGTATGTACAGGATGTATGTCTAAAACATACTCTCTGTACCCTTGTAAACAATACATTTGCCAAATTAATCACAGAACAGTCAGTGAACTAGGGGAGATAACTCTTAACTGCAAGTGTATGAATTACAACGTAGATCTAATGTCAGGTGAAATGGGGTTTAACGTCGCGTCCAAGATTATAGCACTGATACAGCGACGTGCATGCACGCGTGTGTGTGTGTGTGTGTGTGGCTGTTTGTACTAGTTCGGACTTATGCTGATTTATATTGCTAGCACACTTAGATACCATGCCGCAGTTTAACATGACACAGTATACTGACTTTGAGCCGACCAGTCCTTGTTTTTTGTCACTCATGCCCGGGCGGTGTGTATCCTTGTTCAAGCTATAAATGGTATGCCCAGACCAAGAACCCGGAATATACCTGTAATACTGCTGTCATACTCACTCGATGTGGTGAGGGATGTTTATCTAGGAGTGAGTGAGTGAGTGAGTGAGTGATGTTTTAGCCATTCTCTGTGGGATCACCTAGGCAGATGTCAAGTCACACTCCAGCTGTCATCCTCGAAATCCACTGTATGTATTCTCCATTCTATTCTATCAAGGCCCTGGTCCCATTCGCTTTTATATAGCTTCATTACAAACACAGGATCGTGGGTTCGAATCCCGACTTGCCTTGATTAGGTTTCTAGGTTTGTCAGCGCCATACCCGTACTCGTGGATTTCACTCCAAAGTGATGAACGCCTTAAACGTGCATCACACGCTGGAATATCGCTGAGTGCGGCATTAAACAACATACAATAATTCTTCGGGTTTTCTTTCCACATGAAGCTCACACGCCGTGATGTAGCCGGAACGCTGTTCTAAGCGGCGTTAAACCAAACTCACTCGCTCACTCGTACAATAGTGTAAGTCAGTATAGAAAACAGTTGGTGTAGAATAGTTTTCTTTGTTTGTTGTTAACGCCGCACTCCAAGAATATTCCAGGTATATGACGGCGACATCGATCTACGCAATGGGGATACGATGACATGTATCAAACAAGTCAGCGAGCCTGACGACCCGACCCTGTTAATTATTCGACAAGCATGTATGGGTTGCTGAAGAACAATTGAATTCTAATCCGGATCTTCTCGGGGGATTAACCCGGAGAATAGTTGGCAAGATGCGAACACGGTATAAGATTTAGCAAAGTGCAGGTGACCTGGGTAGCCTGTTGCTTGGCAACCAGGAAGCATGGAAATTGTATCCCAATTGCGTCGATCGATGCTCATGATGTCAGTCACTGGATTGTGTGGTCCTGATTCCATTACTTCCAGACCGCCGTCATATAGCTGGAATATTGCCGAGTCACTCAACCAACCTGGGACTTTTCCCGTTCCACAAAGCGATCGTAGCACTAAGGTGATCTAACTCCCATACTTTAATAGATAGAAATATATTTACAATACAATTGGCAAAATTAGCAGTAGGTTTATAACAGTGGCTTAAGATAGCCAGGCAAAGTCCCAAATACCGTGTTCTCGATGACAGCGACACCCTGTTAATCCGGACTACCCCGTTCCCCGTGAAATCGGAATTAAGTTAAAATAATATCTGATATCTGGGTATATTTGAGTATATCCGTTTAAGTTAATAAACTTCTAGATGTTCCCACCACTATCGTCCGCTAGGCGGGCTTTCCGGATAGACGGGGCCCGGTCTAACGAGGTTTACTGTATTTATCAGATGTTTGAGCAACCAGCGTTCCTGCATTGCGTCAAGACGTACACAGTACACGCACAGGGACAATGGAAGTCGTGATATCTCGCCAAGACATCACCGGATATCCGTGAAGACATGTCACAGTGACCTAAACGGGGTCATGGGCAAGCGTCACCAAGCAACAGAGGGTGTAGTCCACAGGTAAAAATCCCAAATCAATAGGTACAACAATCCTTATATACATGTCGTATTGTGTATGGTTTATTTAAATTCATCATCGCTGTTGACACATACATAGATGTGTATAAAATTATATATAGCCCGACGCGCTTCTAACCTTACATGTAGTATATATGCTCGTAGTATAAATAGTTTGATTTAACGCATAACATATATGAGATATGCTATGTAAATGACAACTTCAAAAACCGCCATATTTCATACTTGTTTAGTCTCTGAGGTATAGAATTTCAAATATATATCTGTGCTTAAATATACTAGTAACTGCATGGTCGTTTGTTTGCCTGCCGTGAATGGTGCGTAATTTCCTACGTCATCAAGGCCTGTCTCAGTCAATAAGTTGGATAATAAAACTAACATAACCAATAAAACTGCCAGTGAGACTTTAAACTGTTTAGTCACCCTGTGTATTGTTAGTCCTTTGCTGCTCACTGAAGAAATATTGTACCATACAGCTTACAAGCTGTCACGATCTTGCAGACGTGTAGAGAGTCATTCTTGAATGTCAAGTGCAATAGTTAAAAGCAAAGTTAAGCTATTTACCACCGTACCTATAGTCTGTTTACCGTGGCTTCTTGGATTTGTTTTAGTCTGGATGGTCAGAAATGATATATTTGAAAACATCAATTCGGCGACTTTCATCCATGATGATTTTTTAAATAATTCTTATTGTTTTTATCAAAGGTTGCAAATGTGATTTTGATATTATGTTTTTTGTTAAACTAAGTTTGTGAAATTACATGTTTATATGGCTACATACACCTAGCGCCTGATTTGAGAAGTTGCTTACAAAAGAAGTGTGGGAAAAAGTATCCACTCTCAACAGTTCACACTTGAGTATTGATTTTGAATAAGACGCTGTCGTTATTGTACGTATATTGAACGTTATTGTTGTGCTGATGTATATAAGTATAAAATATGTCATTTGGTGATATGCATCTGCGCGTCTATCCGGGCGTTCATTCGGAAACGTGATGAGTCAACGGTAGCTCACGCTGCTCTTGGAGTTTAAAATTATTGACTAAATCCGCTTCACGGATATATTTGATGTTCAACATCGCGACAGACAACTGTAACTGCTATCTGCAGCAATCACAAGGATCAGGGCCACCTGTACCTTGTGTCGAACTTGACAGGGATGTACATGGAATCTTGATCTTCAGCTGCATCATTGATCACGATGACCGGCTGTCTGAGGTCGTGCCTAGAGGAGCTCAAGCTGTGTCAAGATTACCACCCTTGATCACGGTGACCTGCTGTCTGTGGTCGAACCTGGAGGAGACAAACCAATAATCGACAAGGGGGCATGATTGCCATCTCAGACCGCGAGTCCTGCTGGCTATGGTCGAGTCTGAAGCAGATACACCAGTAGTCGACAGTGCGGCATGATGACCAGAGTTGCGTCCCTTTAACTATTTATGGATTCGGTGGTCGTATGTTTGAATCCCATATTCGCTTTGAATAGTTTCCTTAAAATGACCAATAGTCTGTGTTACGTTAGGCTTTCCTCTCGTATTAAGCTGACACACTCGTATTTAACTGAAATTCTGTTCCAAGCGGTGTTAAACTTTTGGGCCTCCTTCCTCCAACGACGGGCTAAGAGTCTTAAGAGTTATCAGGCTAACCTAGGACAGTGAATTCACAGGGAAGTGAGAACAACCATCAAGATTTGACATGACATTTTCATTACTTCATTACTCTGTGAGTTTCACTGTCCTACCTACCTCATGTCCGTGTAGGTAACACAGACTATGGTCATTCTTCCCACACGTCATCATATCAAGTTCTGCATTAAATACCATTCAAAGCAGCGTTCATCCCACCACAACTCACCCCATGCATGAGGTGTTGAGATCCCATCCTGAACCCCCACCCATGCAGTCTGTCTCCCAGACCCTAGAGAATAAATAATAAAAAGGAGTCCAACTCAAGTCTAGAATGATTTGACAAGTCTAGATTGCCTAAATCTAAAAATTATTAGAATTATGCATTGTTCTGGGATCCATTTTGGTTTTGGTTTCTTACTTTGTAGATATATATATATTTAAATATGACAACTTTATTTCTGAGACTAAATCTTAATCTTCTATCCACCCCAAACCCCAACCGTGTCAGTACAGGCGATACAAAGTGGGTTTTTTTTTACTTTCTAGATATATATATTTAAATATGATAACTTTATTTCTGAGACTAAATGTTAATCTTCTACCCACCCCAAAACCCACCTGTGTCAGTTCAGGCGATACAAAGTGGTACTCAAGTTATTACAATATACTTGTTACCAGCGGATTTATTTTTCGTGTGTTGCTAGGCTATCAGTCTACCCGCATTATTCAGACACTTGTTGGGGTTCAAGGAAGCGTACACACAGATGGACAGGTTTCATCACCCCCGGGCAAACTGACCATGGCAAATGCAACTGACCGTATGTAACTGACCTCTTGTGGGGCCACCTCCTTTGTTCAAGTACTTACAAACATCGTTATCATGGCACAGCGCACTTGGGACATTCTAAAGTAGCATGCTACATCCTTTCCTGATTAAACTAAAATGTCACACATGACAGGTCGTACGTTTATCTTTTTCTCGCGGACATTTATGACAAACACCAAGCGAAATGGCGAATTGAGGAAGGAACGTAGACTAAAATCTAGTCTCTGAAATGAACATATCGTACATAAAAAAACAGTTGTTCAGTTATCTTAATAAAAATATAATAAAAAGGAGCCCAGTGACTCTCTTCATTTCCTGATACTGCGGTGATCTAGACTTGCCAAACATTATAGACTTGCATGGGCTGTATTTGATATATATTTGTATCAGGGTCTGTAAGACAGACTAGAAGCAACGCTTTGTTAATCTATACCTACCTCCATTGGAACTGCTGATACTATACCTCCACAACAAATACCCAATACCAACACGACTTCTACGCTATATAGTACTACCACTACCACTACCACTACTACAACAACAACAACCACTACTACACTTCTGCTACTAACCCGTGAAGATCCGGGGTAAAATAGGTCTTCAGGAACTCATGCTTGCCATAAGAGGTGACTATGCTTGTCATAAAAAGGCGAATAACGGGATCGGGTGGTCAGGCTCGCTGACTTGGTTGATGCATGTCCCAATCCATGCTCATGGTATCAATCACTGGATTGTGTGGTCCAGACTCGATCATTTACAGACCGCCGTCATATAGCTGGAATATTGCTGAGTGCAGCTTTATGCAACAAACTAAAAACAAACTTCTGCTCCCATACTTCTATTCTATGATTGTATATTCGAATCACATATCTGCTCTGATTATGACTCTTGGTTTGTCTGCAGCGCATCCATGAGATAAATCAAAGTGGTAAACGTCTGAGACCTGCATCACGTCAGGCTTTTCTTCGCCGTGATATAAGTGAAATATTGTTCAAACAGTTGTAAGATTTACACATTTGGATAGTGTATTGGCGCCCTCGGGTATACCAATGGTATTACAAACCAGACCTATCTCATTTGGTGACATGTATTCAACATAATGAACACAACTACAAAACGTCTTTGCGGATCATTTGCATTCACATTCAGCACTTGTATGTCAACGTCTGATCACAAATTGTTCCAGTCTTATACAAGAATGCCGCATCCGCGCTTTGTTGTTGTTTACATCGCATCATCGCAGACCCATTGTACTTATTTATTGGGTCACGGTCACAGCGACAATATACAGGATCGTATTTGTTTACTACCGTACACGAATTTAGAAAGATTGACAATCAAATGTCTGTTTGTAGGAGATAGGAGAGCATTATATGTATGGATATTCGGATGTATATCATACAAAGTTGGAATATTTATCTGTCGTAAATGATATGCGAGCCACACAAGCAGAAAAATGAAACTCGTCTTCCACAATTTTACAGTATCTCTCATTACGGGGTTTTATTTCTTCTGCCAGTTTCAATTCCAAGCCAGTGTGAACTGCATCTAAATCGGGATAAGCATATGCGAAATTTACAAACATTTATACAAGTTAAATACTCTTCACAGTTTAAAGTCGTCTCATATTGGGAATAGAATGACATTTTTAACTTGGTTGTAAATCACTGATCCTTAACTGTTGGAAATTATCTTTAAAGCATTGTGTAAGCAGAAGTGTAAATAAATGGTCATTTCCTTGAGCTTGTGAAAGCCATACATCTTCAAAACCAAGTTAAAACAGTTTTTTTCTTAGGTTTATGACCCAGTTAGTTTTACCATTACTGTCATAAAGACTAACATATTGTTACATTTCTTAAGTAGGCTAGTACAGGCATATGTGATAAGCGTAACCAGTACTGAAATGCTTTCATCATTGCATTCATATGGAGGGGAAATCTACCACATTATTGATATACAGAGTTTAACATTAAAAAACGATTTACCTGCATATAACTGAATTTTCTCGACAGCTTCCTTTTTATGAAAAACCCATTTCCCGGAGCCATATTATAACATATGTAATATTTTATAATCAAACACTCTGAAGAAAACCTTTAGTTTGTTGTTTGTTTGTTGTTTGACGCCACACTAAGCAATATTCCAGCTATATATGACGGCGGTCTGTAAATAATCGAGACTTGACCAGACAATCCAGTGATTTACATCATGAGCATCAACCACATGTTTAGTCGCCTCTTACGACAAGCAGTCACCTTTTACGGCAAGCATGGGCTGCTGAAGACCTATTCTACACTGTAAAAAATGGGTGTTTAGATCGTTTAGGTAACTAAACGGATTTTGTTTAGAAACAAATCGTTTACGTTTAATATCTAAACAATTTCCATTTAGTCGCCTTACTCGGTACCGTTTAGATATTAAACATTTACTGTTTAATACACATATAAAGCAAATATTAAAAGGAAGCCTTAAAGAACTTTTTTCAAATTAACAAAGTATTAATAATAGAGGAAATACTATGGATATAGTTGTCGGAAATATAACCTCTTCACTGGAATCTTTACGATTTTACTCTTTCTTGGGTGATTTAAGTAACAGATAGATCCCAGTATAAAATAATACGCTCAGTGACCATACAAACAACCCAACACATATCTTAACATACTGTGGACTTCTACATTTTCTATTGTGTAGCTGTTATAAAATTAGTTTGATGTTTTAACGCCACTATTCTAAACGAAGTGTATTTAGTTTGATTAAACATGCATGTTTAGTTTCTAAGCGTCATAGTTTAGTTTCTATATGTATATGAACATAGTGGTTTAGTTTCTAAACACATATCGTTTATATTTACAAAATATCCCAGAAGTTATTATATTAAAGAAACAAGTGGTACTGTCTTTATTTTAACAAAAACTAATGTGAATAAATAGTTTTGGACACATTCGTCATGTATGATTTGAAGGCTCATCACCTGTTTACTTTCTAAACGACTAATGTGTAGATTAAGAGTTATCCCGCCTGTGACCTTGCCCTTTAGACGCGTCCTTTTACCCTTGACGGAGACGCCATCTTACACCACAGTGAGGATCTTCCAGGTGATTTTTTCCTATTTTCTATTTTGGCAGTTAAACATATATTTGGTCAACATCTAAGGCAATAAATTGAATCAGTACGATGTAGGGATATGTAGAGTGAAGATTTTGTAAATACAATGCATTTGACGGTGTTGCTACTTGTGGAGTTTATTCTTCTCTGGTGGGGTGCATGGTCTTCTAGGTCTATCACAGAAAAACTTGTTTTTGCCTGTCCTAATTCTTATGTTATGGAAAGAATGGATAATTTTACTTGTTCAATGTGTTTCTAGACCACAAGTAATCCTTTAAACTATGAACAACACCTTGTCCGATATCACAAACATGACCGAAACTTTGTTGTGACATGCACTGCAGCATCTTGCTCGTATTCTACATCTATCATTTCATATATTGCAGATTTTCATGGAGATCAAATTAATGAAAGGTGGGGAAATTTGGAGGTCAGTGGAAAAATCAACAAATGATTTATTCAACGCCGTGAAGGAAATCATGCCCCCCACTGACGAAGCTGATGTAACACTAAAACACATTATTTTAGATTAGCAAAATTACTAAAACTTTATATTGGAAATGATCACTATTCATTTTAAATATTGAACGTCCATTTAGAAATAATTTAATGCTTTGACTTTTGCAGGAACTAATGGAAGATATTGAGACTTTTCGCTATATGGTGAGGGAAACAGGATATGACAGGGACCGAGGAGCGAAAAGCATCTCAATATTGGAAAAAAATCAAAGGTGTCTTTTACTCCTTCACCCTCTTTTGTCTATTCTTTTTCAATTTACAAAGATTAGACATTTTCGGCATGTAAGGAGTTATTTGTAAGACTTGATTAAAGGTAATTGCTGGGGGCGGTAGTATTTTTTTTAGATCAGTGCGTGTATTGATTAAGGTTATTCTTTTCTTTATTAGATCTATACTGATTAATATATGTCATGAAAATAATAATAGAAATATTAAGTATGATATTATTAGTATTATTATTATTATTATTATTATTATTATTATCACGCATATATTTTGGTTGCAGGAGTTGTCTCCTAAACAAATTGACGAGGAAGCCGATGCTTCGGATCTTTGTAAAGGACAACCGGATAACTGAGGCAATCATACACGCCGACGGGGTAAACCTTCCTGTCATAAGGAACTTCAGGAAGGCAGTGGTCCAGCTGCTGGCCATATACTATGTAGCTTGGCTGGATTACCAGAGGCAGTATGCACAGATGTAAGGCGTTATGCAAGAACTCTTTTTCAAGGAAATCTTTGGTTCCGAAACCAAAAAATGTGTTCACTTCTTGAAGAAAGTTGAAGCATGCATGATTTACTTGACTAGATTGACATGTTTCCTTATGGCAAAATAAAATGTTTAATTCTACATTTCTTTTGTTAAAAATGTGTTTATCCCAGTTATGTACTTTTTATAGGTATGAGGACATCATATGATATTGATTCTAGCTTAATTCAGTTATACAGGCGACCGTTTAGGCACTAAACGGGACTAAACGCTAAACGCGTTTTAAAAGTGGAGACATTTCAGTGTTTAGTTTTCTAAACGCATAGCGTTTAATACAAGGTGTTTAGTAACTAAACATGCATATTTATAAACCTAAACGTTGGTGTTTAGAAACTAACAAGTAGTGTTCAGAAACAAAACGCTAAACGCGTTTTAAAAGTGGAGACATTTTACCGTTTAGTTAACGGTTTAATCGCTAAACGATCGTTTTTTCTGTGTACCCCGGATCTCCACGGGTCAAAACCTATGGTAAATAGGGTTGAAGACATGTGATATTTTTCAACAGAGTAACTAAAATCATTTTACTTCGGACTGCAATATTATTCAAAGCAGGTGTCCATGATAAGCTGTTGCTGAAATATAAACCCAAGTATTAATAACCGTGTGTAACTTTCACAAGTTGTCCATTAAGATACCATTTCTCACAGCTACTCTGTCGTCCGCCTTTTTTAAATATTACATTTTTTTTAGAAATATTGGTTTAAACATATTTTCTACTTTAGCACATTTATGTAGAATGAAATGGAGGTGGTAAACAAGCAACAATGCATATCTCAAAACCGCTCCCGATGATTACATACCGTATTGGACGTAATAAGGGCTCAGGGCGCTCTCAAAATTAGAAATAGGGGGCTCTTGTTAGAATAATTATAATATTGGTGAAAAAAAACAACAGAGTTGAAAGATCGTAAATTTCTACGTTTGAGGACCTGAAATGATACAAAGGAGTAGTCTGCGTGTATTATACACGACAGATATATTTTTCCCGAATTTAATTGCCCATAATTAAGGGTACATATAAGACACGAGTGCGTATTATACACGAATAACTAAGTCTTGTGTACATTGATCAATCGGAAGAGGTGCTAATTGGGATTGTTCACTAGCCAATATATTAGCAAATATCACCATAGGCGCTTATCAGAGCGGGCCGCTTATTACGTAGAATACGGTACATACACTGGCAGTTTTAATGCATACATCAAAAATACAAATATCATGTAACAATATAAGAGAAAGGTAGACTTAATGTACAGCTCATGTACCACCAACGTAGTTGACATTACTATAAAAGACTTAAAACATAAAAGATTACTTCCACACTTACGCAGTTAACATACACACTGTTATAGAATGCTGTATAAATGGCTGACCGAGTTCAAATCTTTTAGATTTAGTAATAAACATATCAACGGATTCAATGATGTTATTGTTAGTCAACTTTTCCAGATTTGGTTACCATTAAGAATTGTTTGTGAATTATATCCACGGTAGTAAAAATACATATCGTGCCTAATATTTGCAAAAATCTTAAACGTGAGCAGATAGTGAGAATCATCTTCTATATATATGGTGACCACATGCACAATCTGCTCTATCTGATATATATGTCTATTAACCTTGACAGCGTTTAAATCACTACACCAGTGAATAGTGAATAACTTCGAGTACCAAGATTCAGATCGAAGAGAATGTCGGAAACTACTGGGTCTGATATCAAAGTCTTAAATTCATAGAACGAGCATTTCTGTATTCCTCTGGTAGCAAATTCCCAATCTTGACCGTGTCAGGTAAAAAGGGATTTAGCATAGTTATGTTCTGCAATTAATGTTTTGCAAATTATTACAGTTTCTGAGGCTATAATTACTTATATCAGACACTGTTCCAGATATTAGCTCCGAAATATATTCTGGTACAAGGGGATACATTTTATACAAAATTACCTACACCCGTGCCCCCTTGTCCGCCTTTGAACAGTGGCAAGGGAAGACACACCAATTCGTACATTTACCCTAGTGATTGTCCTGAAGGAACTGTCCGCAAGAAAAAGATAAACTTACGACCTTTTTTAGGCATATGTCGTCACCATGTTTCAAATGCTTGAAAGTTCTGGTATTCGTTTCGTTTCTTTTCATGTTGTTTAACGCCGCACACAGCAATATTCCAGCCATATGAGGGCGGCCTGTAAATAATCGAGTCTAGACCAGACAATCCAGTGATTGACATCATGAGCATCGATCCACGCAATTGGGATACGATGACGTGCATCAAACCAAGGCAGCGAGCCTGACCACCCGATCCCTTTAGTCGCCTCTTACGACCAGCATAGTCGCCTTTTAGAAGCATGGGTTGCTGAAGACCTATTCTACCCCGGATCTTCAAGAGTAGTTCTGGTACTACCAATTGTTGTTTATATTTACTGGATTTGTGAAGTGCTCCTGCTACTTCATGATAATCACAATGGTCTGTTACCACACTTGATATGCTACCAGTACCTGTCACCCTACAAAACATAGCTTTACAAAGCGATATTCCAGCTATATTATGGCAGCCTGAAAATATCAGCCTGGGTCAGACAAACCAGTGATTGATATTATGAGTAGCATCCGTGTTGTCAGGGTGCAATGACACACAATAAAGTAGGACCACCTGATCCATAAATGTCCCTTCTGACCACCAACAATACAGCTCTGTGGATCTGGTGAGGTGAAATGGGGTTTAACGTCGCATCCAAGATTATTGCACTTATATAGCGACATGCATGTACGTGTGTGTGTTTGTGTGGCTGCTTGTACTAGTCCGGACTGATGCCGATTTATAGTGCTAGCTCACTGAGATACCATGTCGCACTCAGACACAGTATGCTGACTCCAACCGACATGTTCTTGTTTTAGACCCTTAATACCGAACACCAGGCAGGGTAACAACTGGTTCCATCTTTTAGCGTCTTTTGGTACGACACAGACGGGGATCGAACCCCGGACCTTCCGCTCTCCCACTAAACCATGGAGGCAGTCATATTGGAAGAAGAGGTGAGGTGAGGTGGGGTGGGGTGGGGTGGGGTGGGGTGAGGTGAGGTAAGCAAGGTGAGGTGAGATGAGGTGAGGTGAGGTGAGGTGTAACCAGCTCATAGCACTATTCCGGCAATATCACTATGGGGGACACTAAAGAGGGAATTCATCCTTCCCCATATGGAAATCAAACCCTGGCCTTCAGCATCACAAGTGAACTTTGAACACTTGACAATTCAAACACCCTGACTGTTGACTAAACACAACAAAGCAACAAGTAAACAGTTGGATGTAAATAGTGTTTATTTACAATTATACACAATGAGTGGTCTCTGGGTCCTAGAATTTCTTGCTCATCCTCTGCCTCTTCAGCAGCGAGTTCCTCAGTGCGATCTGAAGCAACAGGTACAAGTTGAGTGAGTGAGCTTTGTAATGCATTAAGTCATGTCACACTAGTTCAGCTCAGTGTGGGAGGAAAGCCCAAAGTGATGCAGGTCTTAGACTGTTATCACCCAGCTGAAATCCATGAACATTGATATGGTGTTGACAAATCTTGAAACCTAGAAATCTAGGATTCAAAACCATGATCATAGCTTCCTGGCATGCCTAAGGGACACAACTCTGCTCAGCTAATTATTGTGCATGAGATGACTAGGTCAGCGTGTCTTTAAGTAAATGTTGAAGACACACAAAAGTGTTACAAAGAAACAACTTGCATACTTAACAGACACAACATACCCGCTTTTATTCCGATAACTTTTCATACTATCGTATCATTTACTGTTTGGTTTATGGCAGTAAGATGGAAAAAGTTGTTTTTGCCCACAATATTCCAGCTATATCACTGTGGCCTGGAAAAAATCGAGTCTGAGTTTGACAGTGTGAGCAACGATTCACAACCTTCAAAGTGACACACTATCAGGTGATATCAGGTGACACAAGGTAACACCAGGTGACACCAGGTGATGCTACCGAGGCTACCCACTCCTCCAGTTAGTCATCCTCGTTAATCATCCTCGATTATCAAGTGTCATGGTGGCAAATGGCTCCAGCGTATAATACATCATAAAACAAAAAAATGCATGAGAATTGTTTTCCGTCAGCAATATTCAAGCCTTATCACGCTGGGGACACCAGAAATGGGCTTCACATGTTGTACCCATGCTACCGAGGCTACCCGCTCCTCCAGTTAGTCATCCTCGATTATCAAGTGTCATTGTGGCAAATCTGTATTCAGCCTTGACCTACCTGTTTGTCCTTGAATGACCTTTTGACCTTCCTCTGCATCTTGTGTTTCACCATCATAAAGGGCTTGCTCTTCTTCTTCTGTTTGTTGGTGGTGCTGGCGTCTGGGTTCATCTTCTCCCTCCCATGAGCATACTTCCCCCGATCTTCCCGGCCAGCCTAGGGGAGACAACAACAGTAGCGCTTTAGTACTAATGAACAGACTTGAATACAACAGTTAGGCTGACATGACGGCATCTCCACTTGGGCACCATCGTTTATAGGACATTTATATTACCGTGCAATACTGCTGTTCAAACGATACCGATTGTCTGCCAGTATATTGGGTACAATAATAATAGTATTTGTTTTTGTTTTTGTTTTTGTATCATTTAACTCTAAAGAAAAATCTACACAGAAATTCATTCACAAATGATGTTTCCCTGTCATATTGTTTGACAAAATGTTGGGAAATGTGGAAATGATTTTTTTCTCCCGTTATCATCTCCCATTTCCATGACTACCTAATGGTGATGACTGACCAACAGGAGTAATACTTACTTAGTATGTAGAAAATAGGATCTGCATGTACCGCAATGCAGAGAACAGTATCACAATATATTGCAATGAATTGTGCATGAAAGCCATCCAGGTACTGTGACAACTATTCATTATGTGAAAATTGAATTCAGAAAGAATTTAGAATTATCATGGTTTCATTTATTTGTAGTTGTTGAGTCTGGACCAGACAATCCAGTGATTAATATTGAGAGCGATGATCCACGTCATCAACATTGTTGGCAACGTTGATACACTAACAACTGTGACTGACCACCCGATCCATTTGGTCAACTCTCACAATCAGCATAAGTTGCTGAGGACCTATTCTAAGTGAGAATCACCACAGGGGTACACCATGACAGCTTCACCACAAACAGGGCTTCTGGACACTACAGCTTTACTACATAACAGCTAATGAAAATCAAAACCCTCACCTGTATCGCCCCCAAAATTGTAAAATAAATCCGAGGTATACATTGGTTGTTTAAGAAACCTCAGAAAATTGGTCACTGCAAGAACCCACAATGTGAGAGAACCAATCTAACATCTTTGAAAATGTAGTCACCACATGACAGCCTTACAGCTGATCACTCTTTACAGTACAGTAAGAATTTATTAGAAGTCACACTCGGATCCAGAAGATGAGGGGGTGCAGGGATGCATCCACCCACCACCACCCCACCCCAGTTGTGAAGCACACTACCAGGTAAACATTTGCATTTCCGGTAATCTTTGTTTGTTTGTTTGTTTGTTTGTTGTTTACTGCTGCACTCAGCAATATTCCAGCTATATGGCGGCAGTCTGTAAATAATCAAGTCTGGACCAGACAATCCAGTAATTGACATCATGAGCACTGATCCATGCAATTGGGATACGATGACATGCATCAACCAAGTCAGGGCGCCTCACCACCCAATCCCATTAGTCGCCTCTTACGACAGGCATGGGTTGCTGAAAACCTATTTTACCCCAGATCTAAACAGGTCTTTTCAGTAATCAAGTGTAAACGCATCACAAAACATTTACAGTGGCATGTTTCCAAACATACATGACAATCAATACGAACTGGCAAACCATTAAACGCATCCCCCCTTTTCCAAAGGTTATAAACAAGTTGTAGCCAATGGAGAGAATGGCCAATTTGCTATGACTCTCCTTACCCCTGCCTAATTTTGAATAAAATTAATGAAATAAGTTACAAACATGAGTCCAGATATACAAAGAACACTTTTTATAGCCAGACAGTGTAATTACATGATTATTTTGCGTACTTCAGTATGGATTTGTTGACATGGTATTTCCGGTGTTTCGTGCTCACGGTAATGTCTTTCCATGGGGAAAAAAACATCCAAATTCATAATTCGTGTATGATGCGCACCCCCTTCTACACAGCTGTGATTTTCATAAAAAAGTGCGCACTATACTCAAGAAAATACGGTACTAATGAGAGATGTGGAACAACACTGTTCACAGAAGCAGTTGTCTCACCAACACTGTCGCCAGTCTGGACTCTTTGTCGTGGGCTCGCCTCTTGTGCACGTTCTCAATGTCGGCCAGGTTGGGCAGCTCACCCCTGCAAGAACAAAAACATGGCTAATGTAACGAAATATTCAGTTGTGAGACAACACAGTAATTCCTTAGCATGTCTTGTTACAAGATGGGACCATTCAACATTCTGAAGGTGGAAGGGTGTTTTTAAAAAAACATCTTGTTCCATAAAATCCTTAAAAAAAAAAAATTGCCTGAGGTTTTTACAAAAAGAAGTGGACATTCTGGTAAAAAAACATGTTGGGAACATTTGTTCAGCTTCCAATTTCAGATATTATATTCTACATATTTTGAAACAGTTACAGAACAAATATTTTGTCTCAAAATTCCCAGCATCGTCACTTTTTCCCCAGTAAAATATTTTTGCAAAAGTGGTTTGTATCTCTGAATGCTACCACTGCTTCATACTCTGTCCTTCCCCTTCTGTCCACAAGCTGTCCCCCTCCCTGTAACTACTGACCACCAACTTTTCTCTGTCTCCCCCCTGTAACTACTGACCCCCACCTTTTCTGTCTCCTCTCTGTAACTACTGACCACCAACTTTTCTCTGTCTCCCCCCTGTAACTACTGACCCCCACCTTTTCTGTCTCCTCTCTGTAACTACTGACCCCCAACTTTTCTGTCTCCTCTCTGTAACTACCGACCCCCACCTTTTCTCTGTCTCCCCCTGTAACTACCGACCTCCACCTTTTCTCTGTCTCCCCCCTGTAACTACCGACCCCCACCTTTTCTGTCTCCTCCCTGTAACTACTGACCTCCACCTTTTCTCTGTCTCCCCCCTGTAACTACTGACCCCCACCTTTTCTGTCTCCTCCCTGTAACTACTGACCCCCACCTTTTCTCTCTCCTCTCTGTTACTACTGACCCCCACCTTTTCTGTCTCCCCCCCGTAACTACTGACCCCCACCTTTTCTCTGTCTCCCCCCTGTAACTACCGACCCCCACCTTTTCTGTCTCCTCCCTGTAACTACTGAACCCCCACCTTTTCTGTCTCCTCCCTGTAACTACTGACCCCCACCTTTTCTGTCTCCTCCCTGTAACTACTGACCTCCACCTTTTCTCTGTCTCCCCCCTGTAACTACTGACCCCCACCTTTTCTGTCTCCTCCCTGTAACTACTGACCCCCACCTTTTCTCTCTCCTCTCTGTTACTACTGACCCCCACCTTTTCTGTCTCCCCCCCGTAACTACTGACCCCCACCTTTTCTCTGTCTCCCCCCCGTAACTACCGACCCCCACCTTTTCTGTCTCCTCCCTGTAACTACTGAACCCCCACCTTTTCTGTCTCCTCCCTGTAACTACTGACCCCCACCTTTTCTGTCTCCTCTCTGTAACTACCGACCTCCACCTTTTCTCTGTCTCCCCCCTGTAACTACCGACCCCCACCTTTTCTGTCTCCTCCCTGTAACTACTGAACCCCCACCTTTTCTGTCTCCTCCCTGTAACTACTGACCCCCACCTTTTCTGTCTCCTCCCTGTAACTACTGAACCCCCACCTTTTCTGTCTCCTCCCTGTAACTACTGAACCCCCACCTTTTCTGTCTCCTCCCTGTAACTACTGAACCCCCACCTTTTCTGTCTCCTCCCTGTAACTACTGACCTCCACCTTTTCTCTGTCTCCCCCCTGTAACTACCGACCCCCACCTTTTCTGTCTCCCCCCTGTAACTACTGACCCCCACCTTTTCTCTGTCTCCCCCCTGTAACTACCGACCTCCACCTTTTCTCTGTCTCCCCCCCGTAACTACCGACCCCCACCTTTTCTGTCTCCCCCCTGTAACTACTGACCTCCACCTTTTCTCTGTCTCCCCCATGTAACTACCGACCCCCACCTTTTCTGTCTCCCCCCTGTAACTACTGACCTCCACCTTTTCTGTCTCCCCCCTGTAACTACCGACCCCCATCTTTTCTCTGTCTCCCCCCTGTAACTACCGACCCCCATCTTTTCTCTGTCTCCTCTCTGTAACTACCGACCCCCACCTTTTCTGTCTCCTCCCTGTAACTACTGCCCCCCACCTTTTCTCTGTGTCCCCCCTGTAACTACTGACCCCCACCTTTTCTCTGTCTCCTCCCTGTAACTACTGACCTCCACCTTTTCTCTGTCTCCTCCCTGTAACGACTGACCCCCACCTTTTCTCTGTCTCCCCCTGTAACTACTGACCCCCACCTTTTCCTTTCCCCCTGTAACTACTGACCCCACCTTTTCTCTATCTCCCCTCTGTAACTACTGACCCCACCTTATCTGTCTCCTTTCTGTAACTACTGTCCCCACCTTCTCTCTGTCTCCACCTCCAGGGACTTCCTCTTCTTCCCCTTGGTGGATGTGTGCTGCACCTGCTTGGAGGCCTGGAGCTGGTTGATCTTGGCGAAGTCTTCCTGCGACAGGATCCGGTTGGCAGAGATATCCTGAGCCTTCCGCTTCCTCTCTGCAGGATCTGCTGGCACCAACTTGGTCAGCTCCTCCTGCTGTGTGCCAGACAATTACATTTCCTCAATCATGTCATTATTTCTGTATCAAGATATACACAACCTCACATTACGACCTTCCATCCGACCAATCAGAGTGATGCTTACCAGGTTTTTCTGATGATGCAACCTCAAAGTTGAAATGGGGTATCCGAAAGACAGTTACGACTGTTTCCGTCAAAATTATCGCCTATCTCTCACATCAATAGGATAAACATTAGAAACAGAAGAGACTTTCAAAACGTATTTTGGTATGACGCGGCTGGGGATTGAACCCTGACCCTTCCGCTATCTGGGCGGATGCTCTACCACTGGATGCTCTACCACTGGATGCTCTACCACTGGATGCTCTACCACTAGATGCTCTACCACTAGATGCTCTACCACTGGATGCTCTACCACTGGATGCTCTACCACTGGATGCTCTACCACTGGATGCTCTACCACTGGATGCTCTACCACTGGCTCTACCACTGGATGCTCTACCACTAGATGCTCTACCACTGGCTCTACCACTGGATGCTCTACCACTGGCTCTACCACTGGATGCTCTACCACTGGATGCTCTACCACTGGCTCTACCACTGGATGCTCTACCACTGGCTCTACCACTGGATGCTCTACCACTGGATGCTCTACCACTGGATGCTCTACCACTGGATGCTCTACCACTGGATGCTCTACCACTGGCTCTACCACTGGATGCTCTACCACTGGATGCTCTACCACTGGATGCTCTACCACTGGATGCTCTACCACTGCATGCTCTACCACTGGCTCTACCACTGGATGCTCTACCACTAGATGCTCTACCACTGGCTCTACCACTGGATGCTCTACCACTGGCTCTACCACTGGATGCTCTACCACTGGATGCTCTACCACTGGCTCTACCACTGGATGCTCTACCACTAGATGCTCTACCACTGGCTCTACCACTGGATGCTCTACCACTGGATGCTCTACCACTGGATGCTCTACCACTGGATGCTCTACCATTGGATGCTCTACAATTGGATGCTCTACCACTGGATGCTCTACCACTGGCTGCTCTACCACTGGATGCTCTACCACTGGATGCTCTACCACTAGATGCTCTATCACTGGATGCTCTACCACTGGATGCTCTACCACTGGATGCTCTACCACTGGATGCTCTACCACTGGATGCTCTATCACTGGATGCTCTACCACTGGATGCTCTATCACTGGATGCTCTACCACTGGATGCTCTATCACTGGATGCTCTACCACTGGATGCTCTACCACTGGATGCTCTACCACTGGATGCTCTACCACTAGATGCTCTACCACTAGATGCTCTATCACTGGATGCTCTACCACTGGATGCTCGACCACTGGATGCTCTACCACTGGATGCTCTACCACTGGATGCTCTACCACTGGATGCTCTACCACTGGATGCTCTACAACTGGATGCTCTACCACTGGATGCTCTACCACTGAATGCTCTACCACTGGATGCTCTACCACTGGATGCTCTACCACTGGCTCTACCACTGGATGCTCTACCACTGGATGCTCTACCACTACACCAAGGAGGTGGTGTCACCCAACCATAAGCCAAACTCTTCACTTTACAGGCAAAGGACATTGTTCCAGTTAATCCCTGACAGTTGATGCCTCAAACTCGTTCTGGGACTGACCTGTTCCTCGTCAGATGAATGCTGCACCGTGACCCACTCTCCATCGCTGTCGCCATCCTCCTCCCCCTCACTGCACGACTGCCAATCTGACCAACAGACATGTCACAGATGCTCTCAAACATCTCGTGTATATAGCAATAGTTAACTAATGAAGGTCTATATTCCCCACATGATAATACAGGGAAACAGCACCAACAGACATGTCACAGATGCTCTCAAACATCTCGTGTATATAGCAATAGTTAACTAGTGAAGGTCTATATTCCCCACATGATAATACAGGGAAACAGCACCAACAGACATGTCACAGATGCTCTCAAACATCTTGTGTATATAGCAATAGTTAACTAGTGAAGGTCTATATTCCCCACATGATAATACAGGGAAACAGCACCAACAGATGTCATTGCCAATCAAATATTTCATATTTTGGTTGATTGAAATAGTTTAATGCAGCACTCAGCAATATTCCAGCTAAATGATGGCACAATGGACGAGACAATCCATTTAAGTGGTGACAATCATTACTTGTTCCCATCTGTTGTCATTCCAGTGAGTGAGTGAGTATGGTTTTACGCCGCTAATAGCAATATTCCAGCAATATCACAGCGGGGGTCACCAGAAATGGCTTTCACACATTGTACCCATGTCGGGAATCGAACCCGGGTCTTCGGCATGACGAGCGAACGCTTTAACCACTAGGCTGCCCGACCGCCCGTTGTCATTCCAGGTTTTATGAAAGACGTCAATCCTACCATCGCCATCTTGAGGTTTGTCTGCTGCATCGTCCTCCATCTCCTCCAACGCCTCTGCCCCGGGGATGTAGTCCTTGGTGTTCCGCTCACCGTACTTCAACGCTGTGTGCTCGTTCTTCGCATCTGTAGGTCGGCCCTGAATCACAAGACAGCGACACATAGCAATCAGGAATCTAACTGTCTGATGGAATTGCATGATGGATGCAATTGGTGATGGAACTGTGATTGGACAGTGTGATGATGTGTGTGATGGATCTAGGTGTTGGAACTGTGGGTCGATCTAGGTGCGGTAACTGTGTGATGGATCTAGGTGCCAGATATGTGTGATGGATCTAGGTGATGGAACTGTGTGGTGGATCTTGGTGATGGAACTGTGTGATGGAACTGTGTGATGGATCTAGGTGATGGAACTGTGTGGTGGATCTTGGTGATGGAACTGTGTGATGGATCTAGGTACCAGAACTGTGTGACATATCTAGGTGCAGTTACTGTGTGATGGATCTAGGTGAAGTACAACTGTGGGTGGATCTAGGAGCAGTAACTGTGTGATGGATCTAGGTGATAAAACTGCGTGACTGAACTGAGCCAATGTTGATATAGGAATACTATGCTTGATGTTTGTGAAGGTTACCCTGTCTTTCTTGTGCAGGAGGGCAGGGTTGTGCTGCCTGTACACTTGAATCAGGGCCCGTGCTGCCATCATCACAGCTGAAACATCAACAGTAGACCATTCAGCCCGATTACACTCATGTTGCTACATCTCAATACAGGCCTACTACAGGCCTGCTACAGCTTCACGACTGGTCGGGCAAAGGCCTACCACAGTTCAACTACAGCCTACTGCAGGATTGCTACATTCCTGCTACAGCTTCACTACAGGTCAGGTAAAGGCCTACTACTACAGTTCAACCACAGCCTACTGCAGGATTGCTACATTCCTGCTACATCTTCACCACAGGTCGGGTAAAGGCCTACTACAGTTCAACTACAGCCTACTGCAGGATTGCTACATTCCTGCTACAGGCCTGCTACAGCTTCACTACAGGTCGGGTAAAGGCCTACTACAGTTCAACTACAGCCTACTCCAGGATTGCTACATTCCTACTTCAGCTCTGCTTCAGACCAGGTACAGATCCACAACGAGGCTACTACAGGCCTGCTACATTCCTACTACAGCTCCACTACAGATCTATTACAGGCCTACTATAGCCCCTCGCTTAAAGTCTGGTACAGATCCACTACAGGCCTGCTACATTCCTACTACAGCTCCACTACAGGTCTATTACAGGCCTAGTGTAGCTCCGCTTCAAGTCTGGTACAGATCCACTACAGGCCTGCTACATTCCTACTACAGCTCCACTACAGGTCTATTACAGGCCTAGTGTAGCTCCGCTTCAAGTCTGGTACAGATCCACTACAGGCCTGCTACATTCCTACTACAGCTCCACTACAGGTCTATTACAGACCTAGTGTAACTCCGCTTCAAGTCTGGTACAGATCCACTACAGGCCTGCTACATTCCTACCACAGGCCTGCTACAGGTCCAGGTTTGCATGTAATACATATCTACTACATTTGTGCTACAGCTGTGCTACCTACTCTTGTCTCTGTGTGACTTGTACTGGACGAGGTCTCCCAGCAAGTCCTCCCCTATAGCCAGCGGGCACCGTGCACACACCTCTCGCACGGAATTCAGTCTGAAGAAGATGGCATTCATGTTTTCATAGTGTCATTACTTTATTATTGTGAGAATTTGACTGATATCCTAAAGAGTGAGTGAGTGAGTTCGGTTCAACACTGCTATTAACAGTATTCCAGTTACATCACATTGTGTCAGCTTAATGTCGGAGGAAAGCCCGAAGGGATGCAGGTCTCTGACGTTTACCATTTTGATGAAACCCACAAGCACGGGTATGGTGCTGACAAACTTAAAAACATAATCGTTCGAACTGGGATTCAAACCCACAATCATAGGTTTCTGGTGCGCCTAAGGGACACAACTCTGCACAGCGAATCACAGTGCCTTAGACGACTGGGCCAATATCCCAAAGAAAATCAAGAAAACTAAACCATGGCATGAAAATGAACTATAAAGTGTTTTACATACATGCTTTTACCATAACTCAAGCTGCTGGTAAAACACAAACCATCATTCACTATATGTTGTGCGTAAAGATGTTAATCTGAAACGACAAACTTTTTGTCAGAACTTAACGCCTGCAGGTTTTCTTTTTGAACATGTTCAAGTCACATGTCAAGCAAAATACCAATGTAATCCCACAAAAAAAACCTGTTGACTAGGTCTGGGACTGGTAACTCGGGTACACTTGTCGGGTGGGTCCTGTGTATGACCCAGTTACCCACAATACTACCCGGACCCTCGGTTAGTCACATGATATATTGTTTAATGATACTATATTGTTTAGTGACGAAAACTCACTTTAGCTCAGTGGTTACAAGTCACTAACTTCTTTGTGACGATGCACACATTCCTTTTGACTGGCATATGTTTGCGGAACATAAAGCTTCAGTCTACTTCAGTGTATGCATGATCAGATCGTTTGATACATCTATCTAAATAGCTTTTGTCAGGGCTGCAGTAAAACAATTCCCAATCAGATATTTTGTTCCCAACTCTTGGGACTCAACAGTGGGTTCTCGGGTAGGGGCGGGTAACAGGAGGTCGGGTACCCGGTTAGTAAATTTGGACTCGTTCCAGCCCTACTATGAACATTATTCAAAAGATCAATACTTAGATGCGAGAAAAGGTCTCTATAAAAAACTGCAGTACCCAATCTGACCCCAAGCTCCACTCATTGGCTTTATGTTAACAACAAGAATAGCTGACGACCAAGCTACCTTTGGAACACTCCTTTTACCATGACTTAAATACAATCCCAACGTAGTACATATGCCCCAAGTAATACATCTACAAAAGATGGAATATAATCTACAACTTTGATCAAACTGGTCTTGTTAGATGTGAAAAGTCTGAGCCAATGGCATCTGAGACTTGGCACATGTGGACTTTTTTCTTTATTAAATTACATAATTTTTGAAAGTTGAAAGGTGCGCAGCAAGAGGGCCAATATGTCCAGTTTCCATTTGTGTTTGTATAAATGCCATTACACCTTACAATTTAAAAATAAATTGTTTTGGCCTTAACTTTTCACAAAATTTGTCAATATTATACATATTTGACACCCTCAGACCTACCCCACAGCCATCACCTCCCTGGAGTTCCTCTCCGTGATGAAGTTGTTGGAGATTGTTAACAAAACCTCCTCTATTACCTGAGGAAGAAACCATTTATACTTCAGCTGTAAGAAATACAACAAATGTATTCTAAATCGTCAACAAATAAGGCTACTTCAAAAGTCATTAGTTTTAGAGTCTGTTCATCTTAACAGCAAGTGTAACAAGAGCACAGGATAGTACAGTGTCTACTCAGTTCATTGTTTTTTATATTGTAGGTCTTTCAACCTTGTAGCATGACTCAACTTTAAGCCTGGTGCACATCTACTTAGCCAAGTGAGCGAGTGACATGGGTTTTAATCCAATTTTAGGAATATTCCAGCAGTATCACAGTAGGAGACACCAGAAATGGGCTTCACAAATTGTACGCATGTTGGAAATTGAACCAGGTGCTTTGGCATGACGAGCGAACGCTTTAACCACTTGGCTACCCCACTGCCCTTTTAGTCAAGAGTGCAATTAGTAAATAATGCTTTTACTATGTTTAAAGACATCACACCCATATTGCTCAGAAGAGTGAGTATCTTGTTAACCTCTTGTGCTAAAAAGCACTCACACATGTCAGGGGGAATAACTCTTAAGTCTAAAGTTTACTCACATCAGGGGGAACTAACTCATGACTGGCTTGTGCAACAAACAACAGCAATTTGGTCACCTCTGAAACAAACAGAAGCCATTTTCCTGGATAACTGTTTCAACAGCAGGTAAAGGGATTAGCAATTATTCATTAATGCAAAGCAGAAAATGTGAAAGAATGAATCTTATTGCTGTATTAAAGCAATAGAAGCAGTTTATTGCCATTGACACCTACTTGAGTTAATACCTACATGATATATACTGCACTGTAAGTTGTTTAACACCACACTCAGCAATATTCCAGCTATATGATGGCGGTCTGTAAAAAATGGAGTCTGGACCGAACAATCCAGTGATTGACATCATGAGCATTGATCCACACCATTGGGATATGATGACATGCATCAACCAAGTCAGCAAGCCTGACCACCCGATCCCGTAAGTCGCCTCTTACGACAAGCATAGTTTCCTTTTACGACAAACATGGGTTGCTGAAGACCCATTCTACCCTGGATCTTCACGGGCTACAAAGCACTGACTAACAAGAGTCTGAATTGACACCAGCTCAGCTAGTCCACAGATCCATCCTAACATGCTTTGATGAAAGCTTTTGGCTGTACCTATCCCATACTTGTATTTTTTAATCATTTAAAGTATTTTTTAAAGGTAATACATGACCATTTGTGGAATCCCATAGTAGACGGAAAGGAGATTTACTAGAAATTGAAAATTATAAGAAGTCTTCAAGATGTTTAAAGCCACTGCCACTATATTGTAAAGAAATATTTTTCACAAAGAAAGCTCAAGTTAGTGCCAGAGCAATCTGAAGCAGTTACCTCTCTGATGTGGTTGAAGGAATCGTTTCAAGAACGGGTAAAAGTTGAACAGGAACAGCTGTAACAAAATAAAAACATGTTGAAACAGCAAAGAGCTGAGTAACATTGCTAATAGCAGATGTGTAAAACAAGTCCCAACTGTTCCAAAATGTCTTCCAATTGATCACTCATTCACATCAACTATCTAGATAGGTTGCAACTCTTCTTTAAATGACAGTGGTATTCATTGTCTATTATGTGTAATATACATAGATTTATTAAATTGACATTAATAATATTTACATATATTCTATCCCATCATATTTCAATCCAAAAACAATTTCTGACATCCATAATCAATGCATTGAACTGTGCATCTGATTAAAGTCAACCATCAGACCAGCACAAGTACATAAAACTTCAGAAACCTTACCTGGTGTATTCCGATAAGTCTTGAAATCAGATCCATCATTAGCAGTTTTACTTCAAATCTTTCATTGGATGACTCCAGTTTCTTAAACAGCCTCTCACTAAATTCTTTTAAAAAGTGATAAAAAAAGTAATAAAATAAATTCATAAAACATTCGTAAACTTTTTAACAAGCAGCCACAGATTGTGTTGTGTATAATACTACAAACAGTACACGGTCAATTTCACAACAGATATGTGTGATAATGATTGAAGAAGGGAGATAACTCCTAGCAAAGAAGAGTTCAGCCGCTTATGGTGGCCTTCACCATCATATTGCAAAGAGTGAGTGAGTTGGGTTTAACTCTGCTTTTAACAGTATTCCAGTTATATCACGGCATGTCAGGTTAATGTGTGTGGAAACCCCGAAGTGATGCAGGTCTTAGACATTTACCACTTCGGTGAGACCCACGAGCACGGGTATGGTTGTGACAAACCTAGAAACATAATTGGGCGAACCGGGTTTCGAACCTGCAACTGTGCACAGCGAACTGAGGCGCCTTAGACGACTGGGCCACCCGTGCCCAAGGGACGCAACTGTGCACAGCGAACTGCAGCGCCTTAGACTACTGGGCTACCCGTCCCCAAGGGACATAACTGTGCACAGAGAACTGCGGCGCCTTAGATGACTTGGCCACCTGTGCTCAAGGGACACAACTTTGCACAGAGAACTGCGGTGCCTTAGACGACTGGGCAACCCGTGCCCAAGGGACATAACTGTGCACAGAGAACTGCGGCGCCTTAGACGACTGGGCCACCCGTGCCCAAGGGACGCAACTGTGCACAGCGAACTGCAGCGCCTTAGACTACTGGGCCACCCGTCCCCAAGGGACATAACTGTGCACAGAGAACTGCGGGGCCTTGGATGACTTGGCCACCTGTGCCAAAGGGACACAACTGTGCACAGCGAACTGAGGCGCCTTAGATGCCTGGGCCACCCGTGCCCAAGGGACATAACTGTGCACAGAGAACTGCGGCGCCTTAGACGACTGGGCCACCCGTCCCCAAGGGACATAACTGTGCACAGAGAACTGCGGCGCCTTAGATGACTTGGCCACCTGTGCTTAAGGGACGCAACTGTGCACAGAGAACTGCGGTGCCTTAGACGACTGGGCCACCCGTGCCCAAGGGACGCAACTGTGCACAGCGAACTGCAGAGCCTTAGACGACTGGGCCACCAGTGCCCCCGATATTGCTAAAAGTGGCAAAAGAGTTGACAAAAATAAATCAATCTCTAAGGACAACATTTTGGAATGACCAAAACTTTAAATTTGTAAACTTAAAACAAGTTTGTTCTTGAATTACCTTGAGGATCATGTATCAAATGCATAGCAGAGAAGTTGAAAACTTCGGCCTTTTTCTTTTTGCCACCTTGTTTCTGAAATAAGTTAAATGATTAATAACAACAAAAAAGAGTTTTACAATACATTTTAAGAGTGTACCTAAAAATAGAGCCCTAATTTTATGCAACATTAGATCATAAAAGGTAATCATAGGGAATCAGAGTATTCCCTTTATTTATATACTTATCCTGACACAACAGTATCCAATGTTCCTTCTTGCTTTGTATCATTAACAGTGTAGAACAATGTAAACAATGACCAGAACACATCTTCCGACCACCTCACTCCCAGCACTACTTGTCATCTTTTCCCACAATCACCTGAGACAGGTGACGAGTTGATCTAAATCTTTGAGGGGATGGATGCGTGGGCAGTCACGACATGTCATGTCAGTAAAGGTATATAAATAAGGGGAATACTCTCATTCCCTGTATTTTTTAACTTATCCCCCCACAACAGTATATAATTATCTCACGGTAGGACGATGGGTTGGATCAACTGTAGACCCTATGTTGCGATATGGTGGCCAGGCCGGAACACGGACTAGAAAAAACTGCCACATTGTCTTCAACCCATGGGTGTGTTCAACTTCACTAGTCCCGTATTACATCACCACCATGCCTGATGACAGGTAAGGCTGGGTCTTAATTATGTTGCAACTGGAGGTCCTCGAAAGGTCAGGGAACCGTAGTTGCCCTCACGATACGTATTACCCTCAGTACTGAGTTAAGGCAATCATTCAGTAGAAAGAAAGGGAAAACATGCAGGAGTACCGGTATGGGCGTCCTTTATGATACATCAATGGTGACGTGGAGATGCAACAGGTTGCTGGGCGAAGACGAGAGGACATTGTTGGTGGACTCTGTCGATGTCCTCAACTGACAGATACCTGAGGTAGAATTTGGTGAAGGTAGTGTTGCTGTGCCCAAAACAACCTTGGACGATGTTGCTGTGGAGTGCCATTGTGTAAGCACGCTCAAATTTCCGGAGGATAGGAGGCTCTAGGAGGTTCAAGTCCAGCATGGGCGTAAGCCTGGAGTATTGAGGAGGGCACCCAGAAAGACAAAGTATTATTGGAAGACAAAGTATTCCTGCAACCATCCTTCATGGTCGGGAGGAAGAGACATTTATGTTGACGCTGACTGGTGACATCAATGCAGTGTCGTAACGCACATACTGGGCAAAGTGAGATGTCCTCTGTGGATCTGATGGACCCGATGATGTGGAGTGTGAAGATATCTGAGCAGATCATGAAACATGGTGAGTTTAAAGTCTGGCTCTCCTGCGAGTCCGAGCAGATGGGGGAACAACGTCTGGGCCAATAAGGCGCTACCAAAAGAAGCTAGAAGCAAGAATCGAATACGCATGTGGGCAATTTTACTCAATGGTGAAGGTGTCATGCTCTCAAGCCAGATCGTCCAGTATCATAGACATGAACGTCAGAAGCTGTTTTTTGTAGCTGTGGCGTGAGGTGCGCTGGCAAATCGTCCGGAAAGGGTTTGGGTGCATCTCCGTGGGAGCTGACTGACAGGGGTAAGGGAGAGCATTGGCGAGAATGTTTGAGACGCCTGTGATGTGGCGAGCTCTGGACCCCAATCCCAGTCACCAATGCCTTCATGAAGGTGGTATTGAGAGACAACGGCAGGAGGGACAGACAGATGTCAGAGTCGATGGATATGAGGCATCTGTCAATAATCCTGAGGCGTGAAGAAGTGGAGCAACCCAAGGTCTTTGCATTGTCTGCATCAAGATGAGGCCCGGTGGTGGGGAATAAAATCCCCTGCAACATTTACCAGGATGGCAGGTTAGGGTAAAGCGAACCCTTGAGTGTCACCTTATCCAGGGCCTACGGCAACAGAGCTGTGATGCTGTCAACGAAGTAACGAACAGGGATCGTGTTGGAACTCAAGTAAGTTTGGAAAACGTGCAAAGAACACACAGTGAGGAAGGTAAGTAGTTGTTAATATAATTATTGAAAAAGATCGGTCAGGAACCCTGTATAATGATACACAAGGGATAAATAAATCAGCAAACCCAAACAACAAACTAAGTTTATTCCAATTGTAAATGGGGAGCGTAGCAAAACATGACTGTCCAATAAGGGGCAACTAAGGAAAAAGTGACGAGTAGTGCAGGTAGTGCAGTGTGAGTAGTGAGCGAGGTGGACGGAGGTTGTGTTCGGGTGATTGTTTTACATTGTTCTACACTGTTATATGGTCAAAGCAAGAAGGAATATCGCACACTGTTGTGGAGGGAAAAGTCACTCAATGAAGGTTCAGATGCCAATGAACTCACACAAAGTGAAAGTCAATTCTTAAACTTACAACAGCTACGTAGCCTACATGGTCTACCCACCTTCAGCACGGCTAATGCTCTCTTCAATTTTCTTTCCCTGTTTTTAGTTTTCTTCCCAACTCGGTAGGCAAGTGATAACTCTCTTGCTGTTTTCTTAGACGTTTTCTGCAAACATCATGAACATACCACTTGTATTAGAGACTTTAGAAAAAAATCAATAAGGAACAACATAAAATTTGAAAAAGATAAAAACTGAGACTAAAATTGAAACTTTTACAAAAAATTGAAACTTTATATACTTATCCTATCTCACACTATGCAATTCTCATTCTTTTGATCCTGGTGTGGAAACACCCTAGAACAAAGTTTCCAGCTTCAAAAACATTTCGCTCAAACACATCCCAGTATCACCATATTCACCATCTAAAGAAATGGGTCACAACTGTAATCCTGTGCGTCGTGATCCTACATGACCTTATCACCTGACATAACCTGATCGAAAGAAGGAGAAATGCATAGTGAGAGATAAACATAAATATACGAAAATGAGCTATGATAGTATTCCTTCTATGGTGTGCAAGGTCTCAATAAATATTGTCTTGCCTTGAGATAAATGGCCTCATCTGATATCGAATCTATAGATCAAGAAACATAACTCTGACCAATACTCACATCATCATCATCATCATCACTATCACTCTCAGCTTTCTGATCTAGTTCATCTCTTCCCAGAAAAAACTTCACGGCTGCAACAAGTATCTGAAAGAACATTAGATTATTTTTTACAAAGAAAAAAATCTGTGTGACTAAAATCCATGGTAATTTTACTTGTATGTAATGAACAGACAGACATGCCCACGAGTCGTTTATTTCTTATATGAGATATCAACATTATGTACAACCGCTTTAAACATAGATACCCAAAGTTTAATACTGATGACTCCATGAATAGATTCCGACCTTGGAAATGTCGAACAAGTCCATTTTACGAAGTTTGGTATTTCCCGCATCTTCTCACAATCCTTATGTCGATTATCTATACCTTTTCTCCTAATACCGATAGTCATATCTCTCCCAGTTTGGGATGTGATCAACTGTGCTTATCTGCGTAGCCCAATTTAACATTTAACACCTGCATCAATTCAAGCTTTCCTCCCAAATAAGCTAACATGACGTGATACAACTGAAATACTGTTCAAAGCAACTTTAAACCAAACACACCCACCATTAAGATTTGAAGTGCCAGTACATTTGAAGACAGTCTGGCCAAGCTGGCCATGAGATTAACTTGCAAAGTCAAGCCCAGTTACCTACCTTGGCATACTTGGAGAAGCAGGCTGTTGTAATGACATTGACGGTCTTGGCATCGTTCCATACATTCTTCTTGTACAGCTCAATCATCACATCCTGGGAAACAGATGCTCACATTCACATCTCTATACACTATTGTTTGTTTGTTTCTTTGTTTGTTTCTTTGTTTGTTTAACGCCAGATTCAGCAATATTTCCTCTATATGAACGGCAGTCGGTAAATACGGACCAGACAATCAAATGACTGACATCATGAGCATCAATCCATGCAACTGACCACCCAATCCTGTTAGACGCCTATTACGACAAGCATTGTTGCCTCTTACCGCAAGCATGGGTTGCTGAAGACCTATTATTCACGGGTCCTATACACTACTATTTTACAGTGCTACACTACTGTCATGACAGTAGTCTACAAAATTGACATCTCAAATTCCTGTAATGCTTTTAAGTATATGACAATGAAACTGCTATCTGAGAAAAATTACGAGCCAAATATTGAGACTGCAAAAAGGTTATTTCTAGATATGCAAGAATATTGTAAAGAATGTACATGTGAACATAATACATATCTTGTATAACTTCATCTTCCAAAGACAAAGGAGCTAACTGAACAATAACTCCACTTTCAACCCTTGCCGAAGGAGGCTGGAATTATGGAGGTATATTTTGGCTGGACTAACAAGTCTATACATAGTCCAATAAAATTTCTGAACCAAAATTGACAATTGGTTCATAAACTGCTGTGCAGATTTTGGCGGATTGCAAGATTTGAAAAGCATGTGTACCGACTATTTAGCATCAACAGATATTTTCCAAATCTTGTCATGTTTTTAATCAAGCTGCTCACATGATTTGATGCACTTCACAACGTAAGACCAGTATTATTACATAATAGATCTTGATTATCAGGTCGTCTTGACTGGGCAAAACCATTTTATTTGAAGCAAATGCAAGTGATATGAGACAGAATCTGATTGATCAATAGGAGGGACACAGAAAGGACATAAGTCCCAATAGCCGCCGGTGGCGCAATTATCGGGCCTAGAAATTCCAGCCAAGTTCAGCAAGGGTGGAAACTGGACTTTTACAGTTCGTCAACTCCCTTGCCTCGGGAAGATGGTATCACTTTAGACATTTATTCATTCAGCCTCACTGCCAGTATAGCGGGGCAGGAAATGAAATGCCTGATTGTATAACTAATACTGTCAAAGATCTTACCAAGGACATTTTGGCTGCCACAGGACTTTTATCTGTCAACATTGTGTACATAAAACTCTGAAGAGTCTGGAATGAAAAGAAAATCAAGAGTGACTTTTATATAACTTACATTAAGTTAACCACACAAAATTATTAATAACATGTTTCACCAACTTTGATACAGAAAACCAAAATAAAACATAAACAAGGACAGTACATATACCATGTAAAACTAAAAACTGTCTAACTTGGCGCCCCAGGGACCATCATAATGTCAAAGTTTGAGATTAGCACAGATGATAAAGATACATGCAGACAAAACTGTTGTCATACTGCTTGACCAATATATGCTGAGCTAATGAAGTTGGAGTAAATAAAGCTTCACTGAACTTTAAAGGTCAACCAAATAACTTTGTTGTTTTGATGGAGTGAAATCAATTCACAGTAATTGGCTGTGTTCTTACCGAATTTAGCTGCATATTCTTGCGCTTGGAGTTGACATTCTTTATGTCGGTGACGATGTACTTGTAGAGTGTTTTTCTCAGGAGTTTGTCCTGACAACGGAACAGCTCAAAGAACAGTTCCAGGATGCTGGTGGCGGGTATCAAGCCTTTGTTTCGTAACAGGATGAGGGACTTCACCATTGACTGCAGACACAAACACCATCACAAATGATGACGCGGCAAGTATGATCAAGGCAACATGATAGTCAAAACTTTGTCAAATTACACAGTAAATAGAGATTACTACACAAGTGTCTGTGGGATACCATTTATCTTACAAGTTGTTTCAAAAAGTACCAAATGAGCATACGCGAGCTAGATATGCTTTGAAAAGACGTTTTGGCGCTCAGGTACGACAGGGTGAATAGAATATCCACAATAAAATAATGGCACAGTTTTATTTGTTTACATTGGGAACAAGCAGATTGACTTCATTTTTTAGGTACAGAAATAAAACATGCTACGGAGTGAGTGAGGTGGGTTTAACGCCGCTTTGAACAGTATTCCAGTTATATCATGGCAGCTTGATGTGGGCGGAAAGCCCAAAGTGATCCAGGTCTCAGACGTGTACCACTCAGGTGAAACACACAAGCAAGGGTATGGTGTTGACGAACTTGAATCAGAGCAAACCGGGAATCGAACCCATGAACAGAGGTTTCTGGCATGGGAAAGGGACATAACTCTGCACAGTGAATTGCGGAGTCTCAGACGACTGGGTCACCCATGGCCCCCAGACATGCTATTGAGGTGGCTTTAGATCTTCATGCAGAGAGGGATAGGATCGAAGTAAAAGCTCTGAATCTAATTAGTTTTGAACATTTTTTCAGTTGTATCTCAGTCAGTGTTTCAGCCTAATTATAGATAATGTTGTACCTTGCTTGGCTGAAACCCACAAGAACATGGAATGTTACTAACAAACCAAGGATAGAAGAATGGCCATTACCAGTCTCATTGTTGGGTCCAGTGCCGTGGCATGTCTGTGTAGGAGGTCTCGCAGCTGCTGGGGAAACTCCGACAGGTCGCCAGGGTAACAGTGGGAAACCTGGTGTGATTAGACAAACAATACACAACATTAAGTTTTGATACATCCCGATAATCCTCAGAGGCGGTTTCAGGATTTTGAAAAAAGGATGGGGGGTGGGGGTGGAAATGACACCCACATTCTTAAGTGATTTGGCCTAGGGCTTAGTTTACATGTAAGGTGTCTGCTCATCCCCCGCTAGCCCCTTCTGGATCTGCCACTGACTCTTATTCAGATCTCTCAATACACTCATTTCTTTGTTCATGGTCATCTATGTATATCACCATGATCCCAGATTTTATGTTTACTGTGTCAGATTCTTCAAAACTTAATTCCTTTGGTTGAGAGCCATGTATATCAAGGTTGGAATAGATCTTCAGCAACCCATACTTGTCGTAAGAGGTGTCTAATGGAATCAGGTGGCCATACCAGTTAGCTTGGTTGTTGCATGTTATCGTGTCCCAATTACATAGATTGATGCTCATGATGTCAATCACTGGATTTCTAGGCCAGACTCCATTATTTACAGACAGCCGTCATATAGCTGAAATATTGTTGAGTGCAGTGTCAAACAATGAACACACAAAACATTTGGTTGAGGAAATGTTCACAGTGGGCTGTTATTCAGCTGCTAGCAGGGACCGTATCACAAGGAGAAAGGCAGTAATGTTCCAGGTATTTTATGGCATTTATTTTAAAATCCTCGCCAACAACGTCCATGATTTCACTAAAAGAAAACTAACAGAAGCAGTCAACATTCGCCGCCACAAGCCATCAATCAACAGAGATCAAGGCTATTTCATCCCATCCGCCTACTATGAACTCATCAAACAATAATATCCTGTTTATTGGCTTCATGTCCCTATTGGCTTCCACCTATGTGTTCTCTGTCCATCGTGTTGTGACATTATCATCCCTTTGTTGTCAACACCTACCTATGTTATCCCACTCATGTATGCAATTGTTGTTACTGTTTATCCTCTACTGTTAATCCTCCACCTACTATATGTATTCTGTACTATGTCCCTCATTCAGTCTTGCTTGACAACGGTATAAGGATCTATACCGAAACGTCGCTTTTCACAGTATTAAAGAAGTTGTTATCCATAAAAATGTGTCTATCTTATTTTATCGCAGCCTGTACATAACTGACTCAGGGCAAGGCAACCAGTGGTTGATGAGTAACTATCTACATTTTGTGGGCACGATGACGGAACACAATCAGCCTGGTCATTAGTTATAATCATCTGATCCTCATTATAGCTGCACTCACCAATATTCCAGCTATATGACTATGATCTGTAAATAATCGAGTCTGGACCAGACAATCCAGTGATTGACATCATGAGCATTGATCTATTCAATTGGGATATGATGACATGCAAGCAGTAAAGGCATCAAGTCTGAACCTGAAGACCCTTTATGTGGTGTAGTGGTAAAAGCGTCTTCCCGGAGAGAGAGAAGTTGGCGGTTCGATCCCTTGGCGGCACCATACCAAAAGATGTCAGTTTATGCATGGGTACAGGGAACCCTCTTCATTCCCACAGTGGGAGCATCTTTCAACATGTTCATAGAACAAAGCATTTGTGATCAAAGAAATGGTCTGCATTTGGTATACCAACCTGAGCCAGAAATATCAACAATTCTTCTAAGGTTTTAGAAAACGCTGATGGTTTCAGCTGGAACAGCTGCAGATTGGACTGATAGTGTCTGTACTGCTGCAGAAACTGAAAACACAGAAGAAATGTCATTAGCAATTTAGTGCAAACAAGTTTGTGAAGTATTGATGATGCGCCTTCCTTCAGAATTCAACACCATAAAGTTTACAAACACATGCAACATGTGTACAGTACCTAAATTTGTAACATTTTGGTGAATATACATTGGTGAAATAGCCTTGCTTAGCAACCCGGCTGCTGGGGTCATCAAGTATGCCATTTCTACATGTTTTTTCGGTTTCAATGCTATTCAGTATGTTCATGGGATAAGCAATAATATATAGGAACTGATAAAGTTTTATTTTTCAATTCTGTAGTTTTCATTACTTTGCACAGGAATGCAGTAATTAGGCAGATCGCTTGCATTTATTTTTCACATAAGAACACTGAGTAGAGAAGGATATGTGGTTTGGTGTTGAATATTTTGGCTACAGGAAACTGTCATGGAACTTTCACAAAGTGGTATTCATGCACTGCATTTGCTCAGATAGGATTCAAAAGCTGACTTTACTGTGTGGCATCAGTAGCAATGTCTAAGCCTTCCTCACTCCTTACTTTGATCCATGTTATCTTTACAGTGTTCCTTCCTACACTTTTCTGCCACAAAATCACCCAATGAATGATTAAATACACACTGTCATTCATGTCTATTCATGAACTCAACATCTGAGGCCTGGAGCCGTATTCAGTTTGTGCCATATTGGCTCATTCCTTACCGCTCAGGATCTTGTAAGTTGTAGATTACGGAACCAGATGTGTGCCAAGTGGCATTATCATGATTATGACCACTTGTAAGAGTCTGTAGTTTGTTGTTTGTTTGTTTGTTGTTTATTGCCGCACTCAACAATATTCCAGCTATATGATGGCGGTCTGTAAATAATCGAGTCTGGACCAGACAATCCAGTGATTGACAACATGAGTATCGATCCTTGCAATTGCTACAGTTATCCCTCATAAGTGTCTGACACTGCTTCGTCCCTTTCAGTTAATTCCAGTAATATTTTATGGAAGGATTAAGTTGAATTTGTGTGGATGTGTGGAAGCTGACTCAGTTAGCATGGTTAGCTTGTCAGACCTACAATCCTAAGTTTGTGATTCTCACAAAAACAGGTTGCCTTTTTTAGTGACATATGGCAGAGAATGTCCTCGGGAGAACTGGTGGTGCAGAATTCTAAGTGACAATTTAGTCAAAATGTAGTTAATGACTGAACAGTTCAACCAATCTTCAAATTAATTTTTTTTCCATTGATCATGTCTACTTACTAAGGACAAATTGCATCAGTATGAATCACTTCAGTAAAATGTTTACAATTTCAAATATTAATTAAAACCTGATGCACATGATAATTATAACAAGAACAAGACAAGTTCCCAAAGGTCTCCGTACACAAACGTTGTCGAACAGCTGAGAGTGTTGGCCAGTAGCATCCGATGAAAAGAATCTGGTGCAGGCTAAAATGGCACCTCAGCAAAACGTCAACAATAGGTAAAAAAAAATAGGGTGCCGTTTTCGCCAGGCAATAGTAGCCGTTTTCGCTTGAGGCGAAGTGCCGTTTTCGCCAGGTGACGTTTTGCTGAGGTGCCGTTTTAGCTATAACCCAAAGAATCATGTCAAAACAGTCCACCTGCTCATCAATCAAACCATACATTTTTATAGAACTAGATAATCGACACTTTTGTTTATATTCTTACTTCATCCTTGTAAGATTCAGAATCCCGTTTGATAAGATTCTGAAGTTGTGGAAGGTTTGTCGGTAATTTATTCCGATTTCGATCTGTCATCTTGTCTGTTCGGGAACGAAGAAACTCAAAACATTGCACGTGTGTAACACCGGAAACGGAAGTTGATTTATATTTTATATAAAGTTGGTATTGTTACTTTGGTATAATGTGTGAATACATAAAATCTTTACGTGTTACACAATATATAACAATATGAAAGTATAACTTAATTTATACTTCAGGTTACGGCTAGTAACAATACTGACATATATCAATATGAGTATCTAAATAGTTCGAAACTTTAGGTTATAATTTGAAAAGTTTACAAAATGTCTGCGCCCTTGTTCCCATCTCTTGCTCCGAGAGAAGTTGACAAGCTTTGGTTCACTGTTGACAAGCCATGTGATGATGAAAATGAATTGTCAAAATTAGAAGAAGAATACCAGTCATGGGTGGGTTCCATGTTTTTCAAGGTTTCTTCCAATCCTCGAATGAATCCTGAGGGATAATTGTATCAAAATAGTTTCAGATGTCTTCAAGACATGTCACTTTAAAGTTTAGTGATGCAGAACAGTACTGCATTTTTTCGAATTCCAGTTAGGGTAGGACTGTTGATTAGAAAGTAATATTTCACTGTACCCAAGTCCAAGAAAATGACACCTACACATTTACATTCAGGCGACCGTCAACAAGAGCCCTTGCTATCTCCGCGTTAACTATCTATGACTCTATTATTTAACACTCCCACAATTTAATTAGGAGTTCTATATGTGGAAAAGCAGTTTACAAGAAAGGAAGCTACCATCAGCTCAATGACGTGCTATGGCGCTACCACTGTCCTATACTGCTACCATAGCTCATGCTCATATGCACTGGACTCACCCCTTCCAGACCAGGGTCTTAGGGAAACTGACACGTCAAAGTTACAATCACACCATCTTCCTGAGGCAAGGGAGTTAACTAACGGCAACAATGCAGCTTACCGGGCGCAGCCGAGCTCTAACATCCGCTCAATTACCGCGCTATAGTGCCACACGCTCTGGTGACTCTCGCTTCACAATCAAACACCCGTTTTCTTTCTTAGGGAAACTTACAGATCTTTACGATCAAACACCCGTTCTCTGTCTTAGGGAAACTTACATGTCTTTACGATCCAACACCCGATTTCAGTCTTAGGGAAATTTACACGTCTTTACGATCCAACACCCGTTTTTGGTCTTAGGTAAACTTACACATCTTTACGATCCAACACCCCTTTTCGGTCCTTAGGGTTAGCTTGCTTTGGGAAAGGGTGAGCCATAATTTCTTACCTTTTCAAGCGTTAATCCGGTTAATCCCATTGGTCGGTCATGTTGACATAAACAATGGCGGGTGTGGTTTCAAGAAAAGATGAATGGGAGAGCGGACTGTGATGTCACACGCACGCACAATTCATTGTTTACTGAATTACGCATGCATGTTTGATGGGGATTCTAATGTCCCGTTAAACGAGCACTGATAACATGTGATAGCGCCCGTGGTCCAGTGGTAAAGCATCGGCTAATTAGCACATTAACACATTAATTAGCAGAGCCGGTGAGCTGGCGAAGCGTGTTCGAGCCCCAACAGCGCTAAGTGGATCTGAAAAAGTGCGGCTGGTAAAGTGCACTACTCCCTAACTAACTGTTAAAGTCCAGTTTCCACCCTTGCCGAACTAGGCTGGAATTTCTGGGCTCAGTCGTAGTGACACCAGTGGCACATGGTGATGTGATTGATAATCAAGATCTATATTGTAATAAAACAGGTCTTGCCTCGCAAAGTCCATCAAATCCTGTGAGGACCTTGATTAAAAACTAAACGATTTTTAAAATATCTGTTGAAGCTGTGTTCGCAGCACCCATGCTTTGCAAATACTACAATTGACCCAAATCTGCCTGGCCCTTTACAAACCAGGTGTCAATTTCATTACAAGATTTTGATTGGACTATGCATAGACTCGTTAGTCCAGCCAAAATGTAACTCCCTTGCCAAAGGGGTAGGAAACTCCCATGCCTTCAGGAATCACACACCCCTTTTTTGTCTGAGTTAAACTGACTCATCTTTACATTCAAACCCCCATTTTCAATCCTTAGGGCTAGCCTGGTTAGGGCTAGGGTTAGCCATAAAGTCTTACCTTTTCACAGAGTTTTCCATATATAATCAAATCCGGGTAATCCGATTAGTAATCTGTTTCGACACGTTTCATCCCACCAGGACTCGTCAGTGCAGCTTGGCTTCCACAAGGGAAACTGCAGACGTGCTTCGGTTTTCTGTCTGTTTACCATGTTTACAAAGTGTCACTTTGGGCTGAAACACATTAAGGCGCTGCAACTGCTGTGTTGGCCGGGTTTTCCATGGTTCAAAGTGCCTGTCTTTCATTTAACTGAGCTGTCACTTTCTCAAGCATGTTTACCTAAATGTACCTGCGGAACTCGAAACTTGATAAAAATTGTACATAGTTTCCTCAAATTACATTGGATTTGTTCAAAGAGATAGATAACCCATACCCTACCTTACATCTAACCCTTAGGATTGGCAAGGTGTGCCCAACCCTAAGGATCATAACGGGTGTCAAGGGCTAACGATAGAGTTGGGGGTAACAGTAAGACAATTAAGCTACACCATAGTTCACATAGTTAATCTCATGCCTATTGAACCTGTGCTGAGAGTAAGGTAATTTAGGTTAATTAAACGAAATTGTAACATATATACTCCCTAAACTGTGAGTCCCATATCCCTACTCAGTACTTTAGTCTAACTAGGACTGATCCATTACACCTGTAGGTATATTCCCTCTTTGCCTAAATAAAAATGTCTAACAATTGGGACGTCTAACTAATGGGATATAACCAACCTACCCTAACCCTAACACAACTAACCCTAAGCATGGAAGAAGCATGCAAGATCTGGCAGCGCCAGCCAATTAGCGCTGAAGTAAGCTGTGCCTGATAAACTGCATTGTTACCATGTGTTGATTTCTTGGAACAGTACTATTGTATTGTCTATTCATTATGGTTATCATGTGATGTATACCTGCTACTATTTATCACTTCAGCATCAGAGTATAGCTGACAAAGACAACAACATTGTGCCAATCGGAAAGACTTCAGAGGTGAGTATGTTGCAGTGCGTTATGGGATATATCAAATGTGCGGTACTGTATCGTTTACTCCGATGTGATACCTCAATGCGTGATGATCTGAGGACATCCCAATAAGAGGTTGTGTCAGGGGAACTTCAGGTCAGCCAATCTGTGTCAACGCTTTCAAATTCTCAGAATGAGTTAGCGAAACATTCAGACAAGCATGTCTGATTTTGTATCTCATGAACAAATATAATCTAGGAAATCGGAACAAATAATTCAGGGCTATTATGTTCTTGTGGATATTGTATACTGGTCAATTTACAGAAGTTTTGGTGCAGCACAATACTTTGCACCATGATAGGAGTGTCACAATAGTGAAATACTCTTTTCTAATGGTATGTGCAAGAGTTCCCAAGCTATTGGTGAAATACTCTATTCTAATGGTATGTGCAAGAGTTCTCAAGCTATTGGTGAAATTTTCTACTCTAATGGTATGTGCAAGAGCTCCCAAGCTATTGGTGAAATTCTCTATTCTAATGGTATGTGCAAGAGCTCCCAAGCTATTGGTGAAATACTCTATTCTAATGGTATGTGCAAGAGTTCCCAAGCTATTGGTGAAATACTCTATTCTAATGGTATGTGCAAGAGTTCTCAAGCTATTGGTGAAATATTCTACTCTAATGGTATGTGCAAGAGCTCCCAAGCTATTGGTGAAATTCTCTATTCTAATGGTATGTGCAAGAGCTCCCAAGCTATTGGTGAAATACTCTATTCTAATGGTATGTGCAAGAGTTCTCAAGCTATTGGTGAAATATTCTACTCTAATGGTATGTGCAAGAGCTCCCAAGCTATTGGTGAAATTCTCTATTCTAATGGTATGTGCAAGAGCTCCCAAGCTATTGGTGAAATACTCTATTCTAATGGTATGTGCAAGAGTTCCCAAGCTATTGGTGAAATTCTCTATTCTAATAATATGTGCAAGGGTTTGCTCATTAACTGCCAGATTTGATTTCCCATTTATGTACAATGTTTGAAGCCCAGGGTTTAAGATGACGCACAAATGTGCGTCCAGTATGCACAAATGTAGAGAATGGATGCAGAAAAAACATATACTGCATCCCGAAGGATGCACAATAATGTTCACTGTACCAACAGCACATCAAGAGCAGTGATGGGTGCCTGTTATTTCATCCATCAATAATGACCACTGTCCACATGATCACTGATTCATTCCAGGTTCTAAAGTACCAGCTTTAGCCCATTGCTAGTTTACCGTGATATTGCAGGAATATTGCTGAAAGTGAAGTAAACCCCAAGACAAACACACTCAAGTTATTGTTTTAAAATTGACTTCACTAAATATGCATGTAGTTTGGTTAGATCTCTAGTCATTCATGATGGAATACTACTTATAAAGTGTTCAGTTTCCATGTATCATACTGTTGTGACAAAGTGTTACAGTATAAGTCGGCTGAGACATTTCTGTAAATAGTTTTAATGCAAGGAGAGATGAGATTCAATGTTCTTTAGTTGAACTTTTCAGTCACGATATCCCTTGATCAATAATTGGCTGATGTGCTTGCTGGTGTATTATCATGGTCTAACTAGATCGACAACATTATGATCAGAAATGCAGCCTATCATGGTCTAACTAGATCTTCAGAAACATCTTTTCAACATCTACTAAGATTACCATAGACCTGTTTGAGTTATGTCGCTTACTATGGAATGTTCACTTGTAGCATCTAGATGATGATGATGATGAAGAAGAGGATGATGAGGGTGATGATGATGATGACAGCGACACCAACGATGATGGCATGGACACCGACATGATGGATGACAGGGATTCAGCTGATGATGCAAGCACATGTACGTCTGACATTTGAATACTTATTCTTTCTTCGAAATTTCGATTGACAGTCAAGATTTCCCTGTGACAACCCTTATGTTAAATATCCTTATTTAGGGGGTGCCTAGAATATAATTTTGGAACAGATTACCATAAAGACCATTAACATTACATAACATTACATACTTCTGACATTATGTATCAGGGGTTGGTTATATCCAACTATCCACAGCTTATTTCGGACTAGTGGTAATCACAATGGTAATGTAAAACAACTAATTTTGGGGTGAAAACAACTTCAGTAAACTACGTTTATAACGAACACACTTATAACGAACTGACGGATATAATGAACTGACGGATATGACATTTTTTTTGTCCAAAGCATTTGCTGTGTATATCCTGTATATATGCTTATAACGAACTACGTTATAAAGAAATTATATAAGTGGCCCCTTTGAGTTCGTTATAACCATAGTTTCCTGTAGTCGATCTATATTTTCATCTGTCTCAGACTAACATACTAGTGGCCATGAATGTCCCTGCATAATAAACAATCTCATCTTGCAGTTTTGCTTTCTTAATAACAGTACCAAGTGTGAGTTTTATTTATTTTTATACCCTGTGATCATGATTTTTAAGATGAAATAGTCAATCTATTTTCAAATCTGGTTTCAGATTGATAAGTGTGGATATTAGTCCCGTGGTGTACAGTCCAGCTGGTCTGGTTGCATCTCCTATATGACGATGGAAGTTGTATAGACTGCAGGATTAGCTCTGGGATGGCAGATGAGGACTGGGATGAATCATTGAAGACATTTGTCACCACCACTGACAAGGAACTATCTGTGACATCAGTTGTCTTCACCCGTGGTTTGTCTAGAGAGCCGCATTTTATACATCTGAGGTGATTCCAGGGCTGAAGAGGTCTCAGTACCCTATGCTTGTCTTTCAGAACATCTGAAGTGGGTATTGGATGGTCATAATGCCCTTGGGGGCACATGTGGCCAAGACGTAAGGTGCCACATATTGCTCTGCAGAGTTGCCTCCCTTGAGCATGCCAAAAACCAATGTTCAGTTCAAATCCCAGTTGGCCCGATTATGTTCCTAGGTTTGTCAGCACCATACCCATGCACGTGGGTTTCATCAAAGTTATAAATGCCTGAGACATTCATCACTTCGGGCTTTCCTCATGCATAAAGCTGACACACCATATAACTGGACTACTATTCAAAGCGACATTAAACAACACTTTCTCACTCATTTTGCCCTTTTTGTGTGAATAGTCCATAGATGGATGTCAATACTGAGTCTTTGTGTGGCTTGGACGGCTGCTCACACTACACCCACGTTTACTACTCCTGGGTAGACACATGTTTAACTCAACTAGTCCACAACTTAATTCATTTTAGTGTAACAGAACTAGATTTGGTGAGGCAACCATTGATTCTTCCTACTTTTAACAAGTCTCAGATGTAACAGACTAGTGCTGATGTCCTACAGCAGCCCTGTCTGGACTTGACCTGCAGGCGGCTGTAATACAGCTGTAATATTGATGTAATACAGATGTAATATTGCTGACTATAGCAACAAGCTCATCTAGGACAGCATGAAACAGACTGAATACAGACACAGGCTCATCCTTCAGTACTGTACAAGAGGGGCCGCCTACGTGGTCTAGTGGTAGAGCGTCCGCCTGGAGAGCGGAAGGTCCGGGGTTTGATCCCCGACCGCGTCATACCAAAAGACGTGAAAAGATGGTACTTGTTGTTACCCTGTCTGGCGCTCGGCATTAAGGGGCTAAAACAAGGACTGGTCGGCTCGGGAGTCAGTATACTGTGCCTGAGTAGGGTATTCATGTTAAACTGCGGCATGGTATCTCAGTGAGCTAGCACTATAAATCGGCATCAGTCCGGACTAGTACAAGCAGCCACACAAACACCCACACGTACATGCACGTCGCTATATAGGTGCAATAATCTTGGACGCGACGTTAAACCCCATTTCACCTCACCTCACCTGTACAAGAGGGGCGGACATTCATGGACTGGTATGCTTTCCTTGTGGAATGGGAGAATGAGAGTTTTCTACAACTTGATCCTGAATGCACAATATGCACAGGATCGCTTGTATTGATAAGTGAGACTGACAACTAGATGCAAAGGATGCTAATATGCTCACTGTGAAGTTCCTGATATTTGTGTTGATGAAGCTCCATAAATCTGACATTGTACTGCTGTTTGATATCTTTACAAGAATAAAAGCCTTGCTTCCTCTGCCACCATGTTTTGTCTTTTGCAGCTATGCAGAGCTTGGAGTATCTGGGGTGTCAGATCAAGTGTATTTCCTTTATTGCCCAAGGAGATGGGGCACACGGATTGCCCAGTGCTCTATGTTGGTGCAATTTGTTTTGCAGAGTTGTGTTCCTTAGGTGTGCCAGGATCCAGTGTTGTGAGATTGTGTGTTTCAATCCCATAGGCCATCACTTCACTTTGGTCTTTCCTCACACATTGAGCTGACACTACCCACGGACTGGTCATTTATTTAAGGGGTGGTGGGCCTGTGGGAGTAGTCTTTATACTGTATCATAGTTGCTGCCCCCTCTAATGTTATGTGACATATTTTCATGGCAAGGCCCCCCCTCTATAGTCGTCATACATTTTGGTGAACCCCTTTTTTTGCTGTCAATTTAATCTCATCTGCCCAACCACACCTAATATAAATGACCCGTCCCTCACTCATTCTTTTAAATTTATCAGTAAAGTCGCGTTATCTAAAGTCATAGCCTGAAAACCAAATACCTGAAAACTCCATGCATTTACTGTATATTAAAGAAACTTGGTACATAGTATAAGACTCTCATAACAAAGAAATGCAAAGGTTGTACAATATTTTCAAAAGTAAATTTTGTGTGTGGGGAATATCCCATGTTGCACTGCTACATGATAATAAAGTCAACATGTTATATATTTTTTACCATCACAAAACATTTTTATTGTCTTAAGAGTTAATATATATGACTTTTGACATTTGCACAATTCATTTTCTTGGGAAACTGAAAAGCAATTTTCACATGCAAGTCCTGGCATTTAACAGGTTTCTTCGGCAAGTTGATAAAGTTTGGAACTGAAGAACTGGGGTAGAATAGGTCTTCAGCAACCCATGCTTGCCGTAACAGGTGACTATGCTTGTCGCAAGAGGCGACTAACAGGTTGGGTGGTCGGGCTCGCTGACTTGGTTGATGCATGTCATCGTATCCCAAATGCGTGGATTGATGCTCATGATGTTAACCACTGGATTGTCTGGTCCAGACTCGATTATTTACAGACTGCCGTCATTTAGCTGGAATATTGTTGAGTGCAGCATTAAACAACAAATAAACAAATAATTGAAGTTTGTCATATTCACAAATCATTCAGTTAACAGAGTGTAATTTGAAAATTGTCATGCCAAAGCTCTATAAAAATGCGAGAGAGCACTATTGTAGATTTGAAGCTTCAGTGGCAAGGCATTTCAAAGTTGCACAGAGCACGTTTCAGAGACTGGCCATAACCATTTACAAACTGCAGGAAACCGAGCAAGAAGGACCTCCATATCATCAATGGCTTCCCCATGGTTGGAGGGGCAGTCGGGTAGCCTAGAGGTTAAAGCATTCACTTGTCACGCCGAAGACCTGGGTTCGATTCCCGAAATGGGTACAATGTGTGAAGCCCATTTCTTGTGTCCCCCGCCGTTATATTGATGGAATATTGCTAAAAGCGGCGTAAAACCATATTCACTCACTCACTCCCATGGTTGGCCTAGTGTTTAGTTTAGTGAGGAATTCCATTCTTTCTTCAAATGATGTCCCTCACGATGCACCATTTTTCATCATGACAAAACTTGTCCCCACACAGCATTGAGAGCTTAGTACATAATCATATTCCATTTCTAGAGTCCCCCGCTGTGATATTGCTGGAATATTGCTATAAACGTAGTAAAACCTTACTAACTCACTCATAATCATATTGCCGTGGCTGTCAAGGTGACCAGAACGCAATTGGGCAGACAGATGTACACAAACAGTACTACGCCTTACTTGCCATAGTGACATAACCAACACATGAAGACCATTCACGTTTAAGAACTTTGTTTTCACTTTATAATCTTCCAAATGCTCATGTATCGCTTCACAGCCATGTCACAGAAGGAATCTGCTGAAAATCACATACATGTATATTTTTTATGGGGGGTGTACAAGCTACAAGACTTGAAATGTTTCCTGTAGTCACACATAACTTGATACACATCCTGTTTGAAGTAGTTAGCTTCAGTATTCATTGCAAGTCAAGGTACAATGATTCTTTTGGTTTTGCAAACTCATTAAAATCATACCTTAGTTCTCACTCCTGCTTTAACAAATATTTGAGGACATCCCATTATGGGTCACATCTGAACGACCCTTCAGACAACCACTCAGAGCATTGCTTACCGGAGCTGGAAAGTGAGTCATAATGTTTTCTAATCATGCAACCTCGAAAAGCCAAAGATGGACTATTTCGAAAGACAGTTATGGGTTGTATGAGTGATTCTGTAAAATTAATCATCTCTCACTTCAATGAGATAAACATTTGAATGGAAGCAACATTGATAGCCAGGAGGAAGTACCGCTGTACAATTTCGGCCATCAATAAGACATTCCAGAATGTCCTTTTGTTAATTTTTCAAATATTTAATCGAGAACGAATTGTCAAAATATTTTTCAAATGGAAGTCACCAGTTTTAAACTAGTGCCATATAGCTTGTGAAAACTACTTTGTGATTGGCAGATGTCGACTTCTTATTGGTCATTTCATTGGTTGGTCAAAGTTTGCAAAAGGTCTTTCCGACATAACCTGTAATGGGATGGGATCTTTGTTTAGCAGAATCGAGAACTAAGATCTAATTTTAATGAGACTGTTTGCATAGTGCCACCTGTGTTCACACATTCTACCCATTTTTTTTAAAGTAAAGTAGTTAAGCTGGAAGTGTATAGAACATTCTTGTGCCGCAAGAAGCAGGATTACTGATTATAAGCTGCCCTACATTCAGACATTGTTTTCCCAAACCCGAAATGATGTCGGACTGGAAGTACATCACAAACTCAAGCCAAGTAGACTTTGGTACATTGTCTTAAAAGCGGACTGCTTTGAGCGTGTTCTCTCCAATAGGAAGTGCATAACCCGTGTTATCAAGGCTTCCTTGAGGCATGAGACATTCTGTACTGTATTAGACCAAAATTTATATAAGCATAGCACGAGGAAAACTTTCAGGGTTTATGTCATGCATCTTCTTTGGTCACACGTAATGGATTTAGGTTCCCTGTGATGCTATACAACATGAAAAAGTACTTCAATATGGTTTGATATTGTAGTGAACATGCGCTTCCTCAAATAGATTGTAACGGCATCAGACTAGAAATACATCATACATTTCTGGAAATAGCTGTGAAGGGTCGTGTCATGTTTTTTCAAGTACTTGCAAATACTTTTGGATGTGGCAGCAAATGTTTGTGATTTGACTGCTTGGTTCAGGATCATTTATTCTTTTTGAGGAATGTTTGAATACATATTGGCATCCTTTGGTTCTAGTCTGTGTAATGCAATCTTGTATTCAGTGGAAGCTCCAATATATCCTTGATCAATTTCTAATGACAAACAACAACGAAAACATAGACTGGAGACAGTTTTATGACTTCTGTTAATACGACACACGCAGGTACAGATTCAAAGAAAGCAGGAAAAGTTGAGCTGGTCGACTCACTCACTACAAACAAGTCTCTCATTTCTTCATCCAAACTCTCTGTCAGGCTTAACTTTTCCTGGGTACAAGGACCACAGTGGATCAGGGACAGAAGGTCCTGTATTGTAATCGGTACACAAAGGAAATAGAAGGTACAAGGATTTGTATAAATATAATACATGTATCACATCACAGCTGATTGTTCCAGTTACATAATCATCTCTAGAAATGAGAATGGTTCAAGACCGAACAGCTTACATTAATAATCCCCAAGCAATTAATCTCTTTTGAACGTTTCTCCCCAATGGTGTAACCACATACAAGACAATGGAATTCTTAATAAAGAAATTTACATTTTGGAATGTGTCTTTTTTTTCACTGTCATGATTTATCACAACGTCAGGTTTTGTTTGTTTTGATGTATGCAACATTTCTTGGAACACTTGGTCTCAACAAAACATTTCACCAGTTTTTTAGCTAGTCTGAAATGTATCTAGTTAATTAAACATGTACTTGTACATTTTGTCCTAAACTGCAGTAACAATTATTACCAACTGACAATTTTAAAAAATGATAATTCAAACTAAAACAATGGAATATGGTAATAAATAAATACATAAAACATTTCAACTCACAAATCTGTTCATTATACTGACATTTTAAAACTTCAGATAAAAAACAATATTTTTTACATCACCCTGCTAATGCACAAGAGGCATGTCTTTAATCATGGACATTATTGCTTATTTTCATTCGCATTCAACAAATACATTCATATTGACAGCTTAGCACATGTGATGTCCAACAACGACCTTCACCCAGTGGACGGTTGCTGAATGCTCGTGGTAGAAAACTTCAGTCCTCACAGTCATGGTGGTCTGTGATCCTGACATGCAGCATAGACGATAGTGATGAACCTGTCACCCGTTGTTTACAGGTAACCATAGGAACAGACAAACTGGAGTAGTGGGGCCTGATGGGACTGAGAGGATTAATCTTCACTGTTTGTCTTCTTTTTCGGCTTGTTCTTGTTGCTCATTTTGTTCCAGGTTTCTGCAGTTTTCAAGTCGGCTTTGGTGATGCGGAAGAAGTCCAGTCCCAGCAGCCAGGGCATGAGAGACAGGATGTATTGCTTGTAGCCCTGAAGTGGAAGGGGGGCAAGTAATATCAGTATACACAACATGACACTGTATCGGTTAAACTTATATCAAACATAGAGGAAGTCCGGTCAGGACAATTGACAGTTCCTAAAAGTTTGAATCAGGTCCTTCAAACAGTAACATACCAGGGCCCACTTGCACAAAGCGATCTTAGTGCTAGGATGATCTTAACTCCCATACTTTAACATAGGCTTACAATAGTCTTAGCGATCTTAGCGTTAAGGTGATCGTAACTCCTTCACTTTATCATAGACTTACGACAGTCGTAGCACTACGATCCCTTTGAGGAACAGGGCCCAGTACTGTATTCTGACTCGAGTTTTATGATCTGCATCTTAAAAAGAATTCTGTGGACTTTGAAAGCCACCATAAACTGATTCATTGTTTTGATCAAACTTCAAATCCCATCATTTAGTGCTAGAGGCATTATTACTCCTGTATATTGATGGTACAAACATGATGACATGTATCACAATGAGGATAGCAAAGTATTTGTAATGACAGCATGACACCATAGTGAGGATGTAGATGGGTGTGGAAATATAAAACTTGTGAATTAGTCCCTGGACAAGTAAACAATAACAGCTCACTACTTCAGAGACAAAATCTACTTGAAATCTACAAAATCTAATGAGTTGGCAATCTTATTGTCTTCTCTTAGCCACTGGAAATTTTAAAAGCAGTGTTTCTGAAAATCCTGTTTACGTTTGTTATGAAAACAAATATTTTTGTACTTGCACACTTTTACTGCCTGCATTTTCATTCTGATGGTGCTGAATAAATATTCCTCTCTCTGTGTTTCAACCCCACCACACGAAATTAATGTGTCCACTGCTCAGCTAAGATCAAACTTATACATGTTATGAGGCGCTAATGCGACCTGCCCCATTACTTTTTTTACACTGATCAACCAATCCAAGAGCTTGTCCTCTTCACAGCATGAAGGAAATCAAAAGCAAGGGATTTACGATACACTAAAGTCAGTCTGATTTGTCATACTCATGATGTTTACACTTACACAAAGCTACATTTATTACTTATTAGAATATTTTATCAAAAGTTACTTAAGGCCAACCCAATTTTAGAGTTGTCCACAGACAACTGAAGCTGATATTTTCAGACTAGTTGGGCCTAGATTGTCCACACCCCTGCTGTGTAGATCAGCCTGGGACGTGGTGTTGCTGAGCCGTCACTCACCTTGAACTCCTCGACAGGGTTGCCATGCAATGTCAGTTTACGTAAGTTCCTTAAATTCTGCAGTTTGTCCACTTCCTGGATCTTAGGTATATTGTTGCCATGGAGATACAGAATTTCTAAGTTCTCAAACTCTGTCAGCACCTAGAAGGAAATGAAAATCAGTTGCGTTTTTGCCCCAATTAACCAAATGTAATCATCTAATGCATAACTTAAAATCTTGTTACAAATCCTAACGATTCCTATATTGTTGTCATCAGAAAAAGCTTCATTTTAGATTTGATGTCACCGTCTCCATCTCTCCTATCACTAACATAGCACAGAATTTATGTGCTTGAAATCAACACCCAATCCAAATGCCTCTTCTGAATGCGAGTTCTACTTCCAAAACTTGGCCTCATCAGAGAGAGCACTCGATATAATTAATTAAATCCGGAAATAATTGTTTACTGAAAAAAGTGTTTTCATGAGTATTAAGTTGTAATGTTATCAGGCTTTACCAGTTGTATTTGAGGCAGCTTGCCACAAGGTGGGTCAACGACTGAAGATATTGCTTCTTGTTTCAATCATAAAAGAACATTGTAATTTCACAGGACCACTATTTAAGCATTGTCATTCGAACCGGACTCAAAATGAAGCTATGTGGTGAATGGATCTAGGGTATTGATCACAACAGAATTCAGATATAATACACTGACTGGGGAAATTGAGGATGCCTATCTGTATTCTATTTTTATAAATAACCTGGACCAATTTTGTTACCATAACCTTATTTTTGCTCAGCAACCGACTTAAATACAGCTGGGAAAGCACAAGAGCCTCACTCCCCCTATACTCAAATTCCTTAAAACATTTTTTACAGATAAAGGAAAATTTATTACAGTCTTCTGATTACATCAAATGTATAAAAGTCTCGCTTATACAGGGTCGGGCTGCAATTTTTAAATTAGATCCGTGCCAAACTTTTATTAAGAAAGTCATTTTGACTGGCTGTTTATTTCAAGATCATGAACAAAGAAATTATGTGCCAAGTTGGTGACGAAGAGAGATGGAGATTGTGACATCACTTCTGAAAAAAATGGTCCAGGTTATTTATCATAACAGATTAAATATATATACTGTAAATCATGAAATTGATGAGACTGCTGACCCCAAGCCAAACATGCGACTCAATGTTAATGCGAAGTCACACACACCAAACCCTAGCGGAATTGTAGGGAGAGAAAATGACTTACATGAGGTTTACCAGGACATATTTAATTGACCCTTAATCCAATCAAACAAACGAAGATAATAATACAAAGTAAATACTACCAGGGCTGGGACGAGTCCGAATTTACTACCCGGGTACCCCACCCCCCCCCCCCCCCCCACCCATTACCCGACCCTACCCAGGTACCCACTGTAGGTCTCAAGAGATAGGTACAAAATACCCGATTGGGCATTTTTTTACCATAGCCCTGGCCAAATGTCTTTAGATACGTGTATTAAACAATCGGGTCATGGATACACTGAAGTTGACTTAAGTTATATCTATTCAACCATATGAAAAATCAGAAGGAATGCGTGCATAGTCAGAGAGAAATGCAAACATTAGTGATTTGTAGTGTAACCATAGAGTTCTAGATACTTTTTGCTATTAAACAATATATCACATCATGACTAACCACGGTTCTGGTTAGTACCCTCAGTACCCACCTGACCGGAGTACCAAAGTTACCCGTCCCAGCCCTAAATACTAGTCTGAAAGAGGAAGGGTGTATGCACCCAGTATAACACTCAACACTTACAGGATCTATAACCGTCAGGTCATTGAAGGACAGGTCAATCCAGCCGAGAGACCCGGGGTTGCTGAAGAAGTTTCCTGCCACCTCGGACAGAAGCTTGATATCTGACAGCTGGTTGTTGTTGAGGCGGAGACACTGGCCCTTGGATTTGTTGTCTTTACTCACACGAGGACTTGACTCGCCCTTCTTGACTGTGACAGCGCGGGGCTGCTCGTCATAAACATCTGGAGTGATCAGAAGTCAGTTACAAGATTGAAAGGGAAACATGTTTTTCAGAATGAGTAAATAATTACAAAAAAACTGTTAGTCTGTGCCAAAATGTTTCGAGTCTTCTAGCCCAAAAGTCGTACGTATCATCATTTTTAGTAGAATTTAGAGTTATTATGTGTACTATTATTAGCTGTGCTTACTAGACCAGACATTTTACTCGACTCAGACCTCGGGCTAGGAGTGGCAGCTAATTGAGGTGCTAGTAAAATTGAATTGTACAGAATAGCAACATCGACTTATTGCATGCTTCCAACACTGTTTTCTGGATTCAAGAATGGAGCATGCATCTCATTCAAGACATTCAACTGGACATTCATGACTGCACTAGCTTATGTTTTGTTTGTTGTTTTAACGCTGCACTCAGCGATATTCCAGCTATATGACGGCAGTCTGTAAATAATGGAGTCTGGACCAGACAATCAGGTGATTGACACCATGAGCATCGATCCACGCATTTGGGATACGATGACATGCATCAACCAAGTCAGCCTGACCAACTGATCACATTATTGGTCACCTCTTATATCAGGCATAGACGACTATTACAGCAAACATGGGTTGCTGAAGACCTATTCTAACCCGGATCTCCATGGGTTGCACTGGCTCAAGTCTATTGTGTGCTGCTACATATTTGACCCACTGTGTTGCCTTTCATGATTGTAAACCTAATCCTGTGTGTTTCAATATAATTTGTTAATTATTCATTGATCTTGTGTGGTTATTAACTTACTTCACAATTAAGTTCTGTAAGTACTAATTTCTTGGTTAACCTCCACGGTTCAACTTAAGAATCAACATGTAACAATAGAGTAAAAACATCTCATCTTCTCAGATTGTCAAGGCTTATTTGTCTGGTTCGTAAGATTTCTATGGAGGTTTTTAGAGAGCTTTGATCTCATCATATCCTGATACAGAGCTCCAAATAATTTTTTGAGCCGTTTAGCATTAATCACATCATTCGCATTGAGTATTAATAGTTTTGGGGGGGTATTCAATATCTTTTACTCTCGTGGGTCTAGTCTTTTGTGTTTTGTAAACCATTGAGTAGACTTTTTAAATGGTTCTATGTGAATGGTGTTTGAGGTAACTTCTACTTAGCATGTGTTCACGTGCTGCCTCAAGAGAGTGACATCTCGCATAACCTCATAGCAGTGATTCATGTGTATGATACAATAAGCATCATTATTTCACTGCTGAAGAGTTCAAAGACATTTGGTACACATTATGTTTGTTTGTTTGTTGTTTAAAACCGCACGCGGCAATATTCCAGCTATATAACAGCGGTCTGTCAATAATCAAGTCTGAATCAAACAATCCAGTGATTGACATCATGAGCAAACGCTTTAAGCACTAGGCTACCCCACTGCTCAATTGATCTAGAACTCTGCTGATACGATTATGAAGTCATAAAAATGTCTTGATTGTATATATATATATATATGTCCCCTTAAAAACAAGTCATTTCAAAATCTACCTATGGTCTTGTACAGTATCTGTGTCAACTATTGAGATTTATATGTAGTAATGAAATACTGCCATGGACAATTTCAAAGCATTGATAGTTTCATGTTACACCTTTATTGAAAGCTCGGAGCACCTTCAGAATACAGTACTACAATGTCTCGTGAGGACGATCTCTGCCATAGGTTACCTGTCTCAAAGACAAGCAACCAGTTTTTGTGTGAATCTGTCGGAGGCGAACTTGTGACCTTCGGATTGTTAGCCCGACAGTTTACCGACTGAGCTACGTCCACACTGTGAAACTAGGCGCAAATTTACCTAGTTATGCCTATGGCTTTACGGAACTGAACGAAAAGGTTCGAATAGATGACGGACACTTACAAAGGTTACGGGTAGGCATGGTGTCTCAGGACTATAGTTTACTGACACTTACGAGTGATCCCAATGCCATTTGACACAGTGGTCCCATTCCGTAATCTACAAGTTACCAAGTGGTGAGGAATAAGCTGATATGGCACGAACTGAAAACAGCTCCAGGCGTCCGACAACAAACTTGCGAGTACGCATGAATGACAGGGTATTTAAAAGGTGAGTTTTGTGATAGAAAAGTGTGGTAGGAAACACTGTAAGGATAATGTGGGTAATAGTAAGGAACGAGGGAGGCATCAGCATGGCTAGTGAAGACACAATGGTGAGTTCGCTTTTGAATCAGTACTGAAAAAATGTAGCGAGTGAAAGTGGCTTGTGTGAATGTTCAAGGACAGTTTCCAGTAGCCAAAATATTTGTCACAAAATCATTTCATCCTTTTTACTCGACGTTTTTGTGTGAAGAATATTAGGAGTCGCTATAGAATTTATAATAGCCACTAAACGCCAGTAAATGGGTACCTAACCCTAATGATCATAAAGGCGTGATTGATTGTAAAAGGGATCCAAGGGCTAAGGATAGAGTTCAGGTAATCTAATAGCCACTAAACGGGTACCTAACCCTAATGATCGTAAAGGGGCGATTGATCGTTAAGGGGATCCAAGGGCTAAGGATAGAGTTCAGGTAATCTAATAGCCACTAAACGGGTACCTAACCCTAATGATCGTAAAGGGGTGATTGATCGTAAAGGGGATCCAAGGGCTAAGGATAGAGTTCAGGTAATCTAATAGCCACTAAACGGGTACCTAACCCTAATGATCGTAAAGGGGCGATTGATCGTCAAGGGGATCCAAGGGCTAAGGATAGACTTCGGTGTAACCTACCCTAACTGGTGACATTTGGATGTGTTCAGCGCAAGAAAAATATACCTAATAAACAGCATTCTTGTACATAATAATGAAAATTAATGAACCAAAAAAATAATATATGTATACATGTATTAGTTCCCATTTATAATGATTAAAGCCACTTGAATTACAAAATAAATAAATAAATATATTGAAAATAAAAGTGCTTTCATAAACTAGCGCTTGCTATAAAATGCGCCGTCGCAAGCTATATTTAGTAATCAAATATTCAAAACTCTCAACATCGCTGGGCATATTCATTGACATTGCGTATAGAGGTAATAGATCACTGGGAGGAGCTTATGCACACTTGATGACCCCTGATGTCACATGGCATTGTTTCGCCGGTGTGACTAGCAACAAAATACTACAAACTACATCATAGGGTATTGACACGTGTTTGAAAAGTTTGTGGCACAGTATTCTTAAGGCAGGCCAAAAGCTAAAATAAAATGTCAACTGTAAGTCAATAAGACACTTACCTTGTACAGATGACAGTTTGTAGAATGAGAAATCTAATGGAGGTACACTGTCGTTACATGAGTCAATGGCCGCTTGGGTGGTGGCTTTCTTCTGTCGAGGAGAGTATGGCACAACACTGCAACATAACAAAGGACATACAGAACTGGACAGTCTGCAGCATGCTGGATTCACAAAAAAGTATTACTGCAATAAGTTTCTTTATTTGTTACCCGCATTCATACTTCCCATGGCTCCAAAGATAACAGTTTCAAAGGGGGGTAAATACCTTATATAACACAAATAATTGCAAAAGAATATTTCCTGCAATAGGTCAAGTACTGGTACATTCCACATGCCAAAAAGGTTGAAAGGTTTATATTAAATTAATGATATGGCTTGCTAAAATAAGTTTCATGTTATTCAACCTGTTCGTTGCTCAACCTGCCTTCAGCAACCCATACTTGCCATAAAACTTAAAGTGACTAACGGGATCTGGTGGTCAGGCTCGCTGACTTGGTTGATGCATGTCATCGATCCCAATTGCGTGGATCGATGCTCATGATATCAATCACTGGATTGTCTGGTCCAGACTCGATTATTTACAGACCGCCGTCATATAGCTGGAATATTGCTGAGTGCGTCGTAAAACAACAAACAACAAACAATCTGCCCCTGCCCCTCGACATTATTCTTTTCATTTTTAAGAACTGCTAGACTAATGTTCTCAAATTTCATTTTTGCACCAAGTGTCGACATTAATTTTGTATCAGATAGGAACTGAAAATCTTTGAGTTTTTCGCGGAGTGTGGGCAAAAGAGGTCATAGGGTACAGTGGAATCATGTTTATTTTCATGGTAAAGAATATGTACAAAATCATTAATCCCATGCCTTTCAGTTTTGTAAAAAAAAAAACGAGACACATGAATGTTTTTAAATTAAAATTTAATCTAGCCTAAAATGAAATACCTTGCATCATCAAGAGGAATGGATGTACTCAGGTATTACTTTTCAATTGGGCCACAGATAATTGGTGGTATCACGGTCAAATAAGAAATGTCTGTACCTCCTGTCTAGATTGGATTTGAACAATGAGACCATGAACTCGGAACTTGAAAATTTGAAAATAGTTTCAACACACGTAAGTCATCACGATGATTAGGAGCTTATAACAACAACAGTGACCAAAATGGATCATAAGTACCTTGTCCCCGACATCTTCAATACAGAGGTGTTATTACAAGAGATGGAGCAGGATATGTTGGGCTAAAATCTCTTTCAACCGTACTCACAACCACCAGCCATGTTGGTTACTGGGGACAACGGCTGAAAGAGTTGAAGCTGAGGTTATTTTTGGAAACACTGTCAGCGCTCTATCACAGCGCTATTCAATCATACAGAAATATGTAGGGCGCGCATATCCGCTGTTTAGAGCTTCACTAAAAAAATATTATATACTATTTCCTTACACCTTATTACAGATGTTATGCGCTTGATGGCCTTCCGTCGTCCAGAATTGATAAGCTGATAACAAAACGTGTATACTATGGAGAATGCATAGTAAAGATTAAAGTACTGTTTAGTATCTGCTGATAAGAATGACCATAAAGAATTCATATCATCAGGGATTGTGTATAAGACGTTGACACCCTGATGTCAAGAATGATGACACGAAATACATGTAACAACAGATCATTTAACTCATGCAGAAATCTGATATAGCTAAATTGGCATTACATATAGAAAAAGCAAAACTGATATAACTGTAATCGACAGCAATGGTATATTTGTAATATTTCCGAATCACTACAGTCATGCGGTTGGCAACAGTGAGTGACTCAGTCCGTCGAAATATCCTTGCGACATTGCCGAACACATCTGTGATACAACTTATAATCTCTGACTACGACATAAATATCTCATTTACTCCCTCCCCCCCTATTACGGAGCAGATCATTTGAAGCATGCCTTATAGAAATTTCACACAGAGTATCTGAACTTTCAACTTCCATTGCTGACATGGAAAATCTCGTTCAAAACAAAAACAGAATAGGCCTATCAAACTTTGTATGTGTTAATATTCAAATAACACAAGCAGTATAACTTTATCTTATCATGGCAGCCATATACCGTGGAGCACGTTGTGTTAAAATAACGAAAAATACTTAACGACAATGCCATGTCTCATATCCTGTATTTAAACTTTGTTTTCATTGACGCAAACTGCATGTGCAGAAAAACAAATGGGGGCAAGTCAAAACGACCAAAGACACCCTAGTCAAAATGACCACGGATTGTGAATTCCATTTATAGGTGTATCTTAATATCTCCTATGATACAAAGAACTTTGCACATAAAACTTTACAACTTAAGCAATTATTGTGAATTTAAAGATGAACATATTTTTGCTGCAGCCAATGTAGAAATAGGATTACCTATATATTCTTGCAAGTACAAATATCGTTCTACTGTATAACATGGGCAATTCAATGATATATGGCTTTCATCTTCTATTACAAAACAGGCGCTCTAGTCAAAATAGCCACAGGTGCCCTAGTCAAAATAGCCACAGACGCTCTAGTCAAAATAGCCACAGGCGCTCTAGTCAAAATGGCCACAGGCGCTCTAGTCAAAATATTCACAGACGCTATAGTCAAAATGGCCACAGGTGCTCTTGTCAAAATGGCCTCAGGCCCTCTTGTTAAAATGGCCACAGGCGCTCTAGTCAAAATATCCACAGACACTATAGTCAAAACGGCCGCAGGTGCTCTAGCCAAAATGTCCACAGGCCCTCTTGTCAAAATGGCCACAGGCGCTCTTATAGTCAAAATGGCTTTAGTAAAACTATCACCCAAAACAAACAAGTTCCGCCAGTCCTTTATACCCGTTAGTGTCAATCTTCTTTGGCCATATTGCTTCTTGAAAAACAAACACAAACTCAGCCCCTACTGCGCTATTTATTTAATGTCACGTATCTCGTAGTTATGTTTCCTGGCCAAGTCTGTAATGGTGCACAACAAACTTCACTCGAGATAATAAAGATTTATCTTATCGCTTACTTATCCCACCATGGACAACATATGCATATGGTGGGCCTTTTTGGTCGACAAGATCGGCCCATAGAAATGTTTATTGTCCTGAAAGTTTTGTCCATATCAGATGTGTTCAGATATGAATAGGATTTAGACTTTGCTCGGTTCAACAACTGTATGTATGGGCGTTATAACAACACTAACTGGATAATCGCTAAAATGTGTCAAAACTTCTTATGTCTTTTTGAGGTTCCCGGGAAATGTTTCATAATAGTCCAGCTCAGTTTCTGATGGGAGATGCAGAAACCGTACAAAGACGACTCCCGTAGGGCTGGGACAGGTAACTCGGGTACTTGGGTCGGTGGGTACTGAGAAGGACCCGGGTACCCACAGGACTGACTACCCGGACCCGTGGTTAGTCACGTGATATATTGTTTAACGAGACACATTCCCAACTACAACTCCATGGTTACCTACAAGTCGCTAATGTTCACATATCTGTCTGATCATACGCGCATTCCTTCGATCCGACATTTATATGTGTTGACTACTGAACTTCAGTAAAGATACAGCTTCAGTCAACTTCAGTGTATGCATGACCAGATTGTTTTATAGATGTACCTAAATACTTTTTGCCAGGAGTCCGGTAAAACAACTCCTCATCGCACATTTTGTACCCAACTCTTGAACGCTACAGCGGGTATCCGGTTTGGGGCGAGTACCCTGGTAGCAACTTTGGACTCGTCCCACCCTCCCTCGCGCATAATTTAATTGTCTCTTGAAGTTCGAAACATGAGCCATATTCACCCAGTTATCCGTATGTACTGGATGATGTACGGAAATTGAAAACTTGCAATAGAAAGAAGAAATAAGCTTGGTGTCAGTCACTTGAAGAAGCTTGTGAGGTATACGAGCACCAGCAAAGAAATGTCCAAGTGAAAGAGCGCAAAAATCATTCTTATTCATCTATAGTTCTATTGCCCACAGTAAAGACAATCATTATTGTCATTAATTATATTACCGGAAATCAAAGACGCAGATGTAACTGACCATATCTTACGTCGCTACATTAAACCGAATTAATTATATTATATTACCGGAAATCAATGACGCAGATTTAACTGACCATATCTTACGTCACTACATTAAACCGAATTAATTGTATTATATTACCGGAAATCAATGACGCAGATGTAACTGACCATATCTTACGTCGCTACATTAAACCGAATTAATTCTACGTGTAAGAAATAAGTTGTTCAGTATATTACCAATATATCACCACACGCTAATTAATATGTAACCCGAGGTTAAATTGTGGGATATCTGTTCTTCAAATACAGAGTAAGCTTATATATATATTCTCTTCTAAAACTCTTCTCCCGTTAAATTGCCTACGATGTACGTTCTAAGTCGGGGAACTCATTATCTTTTATAAATTCGGCTTCTATAAATTTTCATCGACAAACGACAATTTTTGTTGTACATATATTAAATGTGACATTAAAATTTGACAGTCAAAATATGTTTTCTCCTGAATAATTTCCAAGGCCATTCAAAATCCTGTAGATTCTTATGATTGAACAATGAATATATTTTGTTCGCGTTCATAAATCAACTGATGTTCATAAACACTCATGTTAACGGAAACAAGTCGTAAGGAAAATAGTACTTTTGATCAAAACAATTCGAAATTGGCGACTTTTGCCACCGGGAATAGCCGAACAATCTTCGTATTCAGTCGTGAGATCCGAAGCCATCCCGGGAGCAGGCTTCGGTGATATCCGGTCCTATCACGGGATTCGCCGAAACTGAAGCCGCTGAATTTGAAGTTACAAAGGAAAGAAGTCAGTCGCTGTGTCCTCATAAGAAGACGTGATAATTTCCATAAACAATCAACGATGATGAAACTATGAGGCTAGTTTAAGGTAAGAACTAACCACATGAATTAACTTCTACATGTTTTGAATGCATGGTTGTCTAAATTGTGTTTGTTGAGAAATATGTTTGAACAGCCGTTTGAATACGTGTGTGATTTCCCGATTTCATTGCTGGACAAGTGATGTCCATTTCATAGTGTCTGTTCTGTATTCTGGGTCACTTGGATTTCTGAGTGCATATTATGAAGCCAAACTTCCTGTAAGGGCTGCTAGATCTATTGATCGAGTATTAATGTAGAAGATGAAACGATAATTTTTCATTATCTATTTCATTTCCGACGATTTCATTGAGATTCAAAAGAACCTGTTCAACCATGACAGACTCGATGCAATTTTATTTTAACGTATCTGTCGAAACATTGAAGTGTGTCGTGATATATGGTACTAGGTGCACCTTGTACCGTAGTTAATTCATCTATATGTTATTGTCGAAGACTTGAAGGTATAATCAGGGGTAGAAACGAACAGTTTTAAGTCCATTAGTCCTTATAATGATAACATATAGCAAAACCCCTAAAAAAGGCAAATTTCTACTAGTCCTTATGGTGCCTTTACTATTGGGCAGTTTGGCAAGGACTACAGGACTAGTGCCAATTTCTAATGCTGTATAATACAGTTGTAGATTTATCAAGTAACTACTTTCCATCAGTGGCAGATTGTCTTATTTATGTCAGTGTTGTTAATGTTTTTAGGTGTGCAAGTTTTACCTTCCACTTTGCTATTTGTTCAGTCAAAATTACCAACACATTAGATCATCCTAGGATGTAGTGAGTTTTGTCCCGAAACCAAAGTGATTTTGTGCCAAAACTTTTCCATTTGTTTTTAAAATATACAGTAACAGTACACCCTTGTCCCCTTGCTATAAACTCTGGGAATTATCACTTCTAATATCTCTGATCATTATATTATGTTGCATGGGGGTCTGAAAAGTGATGAAACATTGATTATTGTTACTAACGTAGAGGCATGGAGTACGTACACTATTCTCTCACGCTTTACCTTAAGTTAAACACATTCAACTAACTATTGATGCATTTTTCAGTTAAGACCCTAAGAGCAGCTATGGATCCAGCTAAGAGGACAACACTCATTGAGTGGGTAAGTATTGTCAGTCTGTATTGTGTTGAACAACAACATCACCTAGTTGTAAGCGCACCTGTTGGTCTTGCACAAGGTGCGAAAGAGTCATACCAATCTCAGGGATATATCAAGGAAGCCAAAATTGGTAGACAAACTAGGGGAAAACTTTAGTTTCATTTGTTCCAAATTAAGGTTTTTCTTTTTTCTGAAACTCAGATGTATTTTACATTGCATTCAGTAAAATAACGTAAAAGTGAACATAAGAGCTTTTTCCTCTTTATTGGTCCTGCTATCATAGAAACCCTTTATTCATCTACAAAGCCTTTAGATTAATAAACAAATATTAAAACAAATTAAAAATTGATTTAGAAAACAAGTGTTCAATTGAGCTGGGGTTAACTCGTGCTATGTCATGTGACTTTCATTGACTAGGGGGAAAAACGACAGCCTTTTGCTTCAAAGCGGGGTATAAGGGATTTATTCTCCTGCACAGAAACCCACTTGCAGTCTGTCTTCTTTGTGGCGGGGTATAAGGGATTTATTCTCCCATTCAGAAATTTATTTCCCTCCCAGGCAGCATACATAGTATTTATCAAGATCACGTGAACCAAACAGATCTCATCAATCTGACATGGAGGTATGATAATAGTTTTTATAACCCTCCCCTAGAGATTTTTTATTACTTTTGGTGACCCTCCCCAATTCCCTATCTACCCACCCTTATAATCAATGACCAGTCCCTAACATGAAGTGGGAACGTTTTGATTATGAATTGGGAATGTTTACTCACATTTGCTGCAGACATTGGGGTCAATTATTGGCTTCTGGCAGAATCTCTGTTGCACATCACTTCATTGTGAACTGTCTTCTTAATTTCATCACTTGAATGTTTTTGTTAATGCTATGAATTTTTTTTTAATGTTTCAGGTTAATTCTGTGGATGAAGAAAAGCAGATCCAATCTTTGTTTGACCTGCGAGATGGAAAGCGACTCATTGATTTACTCAAACTATTGTAAGTGCTGTCATAAGGTTTCTGTCACAACCTCACCTAGTAGCATTTTGTTCAGTATTAATGCATTATAATTTTTGATAATTAATATCTTTTAAGGAATTTTTTCTAACCCATGCTAACATGAATTTGTATAAATATATGTATCTGTTTGCACAGGGAACAGTTTGAGTGTAAGGAAGAAATAACTGAAGTAAAACAGCGACTAGACTTCATTCGAAAGGTTTTGGAAGGTATGTAGTGTGTGTGTGTGTGCGTGTGCGTGCATGTTTGAAAAGTGGTGCCAGTATGTGGAAATATATTGTGATTCAAGTGTCGGTGGTATTGTTGACATGTTTGCTTGGTCAAAGAAACATTAAGTGCTAATATCGTAAGTTACCACCAGTTATATTTACCAACTTCCTCAGGGCTCATTAGAGCTGTAACAACTCACCAATACCTACAATATCATTGATACTTGGTACACACATTACTTGAATAGTCAGTCTGTGAGATCGCAATACGCTATAAATAGAACAGAAACTAATGGAGTTACCTCTGATAATGGCAGAAGTAGCTTAGCACCACATGTATGGCAGAACCCAAGGACGTGTTAGCTGAGGACGTGCTGACTGTTTCATTTAATAACTATCCCTTCATTTAAACCTTTTTCGTTCTTAATCAATACATAAGTGTATGAGGAAAGAAATTTTAGGACTGTATTTCAGCGATTTCATCGTTTCTTACTATTTGATGTGTATCATGGTACCAGTAGTATCATCAGTCCGTATCGGGATACGAATTTGCATCACTCTAGTGCTCATAAGTGCTGCAATGGCAAAACAAGGTTTATGGACATACACGTTGAAATGGGCATGAAAAGAATGTCTCCATGTAACTTGTACTCAACTTAAACCCTGTTGGTCAAGCAATAGTGTTTTTCCTTGTGTTAATATCAGACTAGGGGGCATGGGTGGCCCAGTCGTCTAAGGCGCCGCGATTCGCTGTGCAGAGTTGCGTCCCTAAGGCCTTGGGCACGCCAGAAACCTATGATTGTGGGTTTGAATCCCGGTTCGCCCTGATTATGTTTCTAGGTTTGTCAACTCCATACCCGTGCTCATGGGTTTCACCGAAGTGGTAAACGTCTGAGACCTGCATGACTTCGGGCTTTCCTCCCACATTAAGCTGGCACGCCGTGATATAACTGGAATACTGTTAAAAGCGGCGTTAAACCCAACTCACTCACTCACTGCTATCAGACTATCATTGGCCATGTTGAACATATTTACGCGAAATTCGTGTCATTAAAACAGACGACATACAAATGCTGTATGCAGTATTCTTACATTGTCATTGTATTTTTTCACATTTTGTGCTGTGTTCATGTATAAAGTTGAGCAGTTATATATTGACATAACATTTTTTACAGGTGTTTTCAAAGTAAACTTTGTGGAGTCGAAACTGATAGATTTTGATCTGATTTTGTCATCTGGTGACAAGGAAGATGAAGACATTGAATTTGAACTGGCAAAGGTATGTAGCTTGTTGTATTTTGAAAGCAAATAAATCAATCTTCAGTCTGCATCTTTGAGATGATTTCACACGAGAATATTATTGCCCAACATTTTGGACAGCTGTATACATTTTGAAATGTCAGTCAGTTGAAGTGTTGGCGATCAGGGTTAGAACAGATCTTTAGCAATCCATACATGCCATAAAAGGCGTCTATGCTTGTCGTAAAAGGCGACTAACGGGATCAGGTGGCCAGGCTCGCTGACTTTGTTGGTGTATGTCGTCGTATCCCAATTTTGTGGATCGTTACTCGTGATGTCAATAACTGGATTGTCTGGTCTAGACTCAATTATTTACAGACTGCCGTCATATAGCTGGAATGTTGTTGAGTGCGGCATTAAACAACAAACAAATAAAGTTTAGGGTTGTCACACCTGGATTTGATTCCGATTTGGGTACAAAGTATAAACCCACTTCTGGCACTGCCATGTTGTAAATTGCTGGAATGTTGCTTAAAGCAGTGTTGAATCCAACTGATTGCTTGTTTTCATTCATCGCCTGGTTCTAGGTTCTGCTGGGCGTGTTTGGGATGGCTGTCCAGGATGCGAACTGTCAGCTGTTTGTGGTGCCTGCCATGAATCTCAGTGAGTTTATTCAGCTGAACATCAAGGAGGTCCTAGAATCCATGTTGTCATCAGCCAGCTCGGAGAGTGCCCTGCCCCCGGACTTCGTGGACATCCTCACTCGGACAACAGGTAACAGCATCCTCATCCCTGCCCTCCTTATACCTGTAGAGGGTCCCTAGTGGTCCATGTATCCTGTGTTTACCATCCGCAACACAAGCTTCATCTGTCAATGCTTATCACAGTGTTAAGTAAACTGTCCCATGATGACAGGACTGACTTCAGGATTTCTACTTTCTTATTTATTCCTTGCACTGCATTGATACAGTTAGCAATGTGGTAAGACTTTTTATTATTTGGTTATTGAAGCTGACCGACACAGAAAAATGTTATTGGAACACAAATTAAATGACTTTTGATGATTCACATTTTGCTGTTGTTCCAGGAATGTGTAAGAGATACATTATATGTCAGTGTTGAGGATGCGGCCATTAACTGTTGGCTTGTGAAACTATTTTAGGGTCAGTATTTGAAATCCCAATTGACGCTGACTGGTTGCTGTACTTGTCGACACCGACCGCCTCCCCGGTCTAGTGGTAGAGCGTCCGCCCGGAGAGCGGAAGGTCCAGGGTTTGATCCCCAGCCGCGTCATACCAAAAGACGTTTAAAGATGGTACTTGTTGTTACCCTGTCTGTCGCTCAGCATTGAGGGGCTAAAACAAGGACTGGTCGGATCGGAGTCAGTATACTGTGTCTGAGTGGGATATTCATGTTAAACTGCGGCATGGTATCTCAGTTAGCTAGCACTATAAATCAGCATCAGTCTGGACTAGTACAAGCAGCCACACAACACGTACATGCACGTCGCTATATAAGTGCAATAATCTTGGACCTGACGTTAAACCCCATTTCACCTCACCTCACCTCTTGTCTACTCCTCCAATGCTTTTGAATGTATTCAAAGATGATAGAATCTGCTGCCACCAGTGTCAATGCACCAGCTGCAAACACTAAGCTCAGTACCCTCCCTAGTTAAACCATGTTTGTTGTTCATTCATTGATAGGTTAAATTTTAAAGTTGGTGGAAATGTAAACATGGAAATGTGGCCTAACAATTTTGCAAACAAACTTTAAAAATAAAGGTCTAACTAGTGTGACCTTTATCAAGCAAATAATATTTGAATAATCACATTAAAAAAATAACAACAAAAATTCTACCATGACACGTTTGTTATGGAATGACGTTTTGCTGTGTTTGTCCAACAATGAACAGCCTCAAAGTTTAAAACAAAACAGGTTTAACTCCTACCTGAACATGTTGAAGTCAGTCCTGTTTTCATTGATACCACAGATTATCAATGCAGCTATAAGAAACTGTCCTATAAGTAAATCTACATCTCCACTGGAGGTGCTCTCTTTGAAGTAGTAGAGTCAGCATGATTAGTTCTCAAGTTATAACTGTTTCTTTCTGATTAGCTTTGTTAATGTAGCCAATTATTCCTTGGTTTCAGTGCATGTCATTTTTTCTGTGTTTGTGCATGATCTGAGTTAGTGTTATATCTCAATCTCATTCAAATCAGATCTAAGTTCTCGCTGCCGCTAAACAAGGTCTGAGGACATCCCTTTACGGGTCACATCTGAACGAAGTTTTGCGAACTTTACCACTGAAATGAATAACAAGAAGTCGACATCGGTCCAATTAGAAAGTAGCTTTCTTGAGCTCTACTGCACTCATTTCAACCTGGCAAGTTCCATTTCAGACTACACTTGAAAAATATGTTGACACAGTTCTCGATTAACATGATTAAAATTTTGAAAACTGAACAAATGAACATTCCGGAATGTCTAATATGTGGTTGAGATTGTATGGCAGTGCTTCCCACATACTGCAACGCCTCCTCCGTTCAAATGTTTATCCCACAGAAGCGAGAGATAGACGATAATTTTGACGGAATCAGTCGTACAGGCCTTAACTGTCATTCGGAATACCCCGTGTTAACGTTTCGAGGTTGCATGATTAGAAAACACATTCCAACTGTCTCTTTCATGATCTGGTAAGCGACACTTTGATTGGTTTGATGAAAGGTCGTTCTGACGTGACCTGTAATGGGATGTCCTCAGATCTTTGTTTAGCAATAGCGAGATCTGATTTTAGTGAGATTGTGTTATATCTAGGAGGGTAGCTTGTATTGTGTGGATCATCTAGGGAAGATCATATATAAGTGTTGTAAAGTGACAAGCAGATTTTGGTGGTTGGATTGTCGGTATCCATCAGTATACTGCTAAGAAAGAAATTTATCAGGTGAAGAAATGTAATTATTTATGAAGGATGTTTTTAAAGGGACAAAGGGGTTGTCATTTCTCAGTAAATTTCTTGGCTTTTCTGTTAAAGCAATTTCTTTGTCAGTCACACAAATAAGTAACATTGACATATTTCAGTGATGGATCATTTGTCCATGTCTTATTTTATATAAAACCTTGACTGGATTCCTCATACTCACTATTCTGTTTTGGACTCTGTTGAACATGTTGAGTGACTACTCTTTCAAAAAATGTATATCAAGGACATTAGACAGCATGCATGTGTGCAAACTGACAGCAGAGTAGAAGTATTCATTAGTCCTTGCATTTAGCATGTTTAAGGTGACAGATAGATGCATTCTTAGGTAGTGCAAAGGTGACTCAATGTTAATTCACAAGTGAATAACATGCATCTAATGGAATGCATTTCCTTCACCAAATCTGCTTGTGGCTTGCCTTGTCTCGCTGTGTGTACAGTGCGAGAGGTTGTGACACTTGTTTCTTTATTTTCGCTTCGTAGAAAACAGTCACGCTCATCGCGATGCTACTCTTTTCTTTCGACTAGTGGCTCAGGGCTTCCCGACTACGCCCGTGGTTGACCAGTCTTTCAACTACAGTGGTAGCTTTAGTGCAAGTAGGTTACCATGGTTACCAGTTGCAATTGTGTGTTCCACCCATCACGTTTGTGTCCTTGGCACTTGCCTTGTGCTATGCTTTGTTTGCACTTGCGGTGCACACAGCAAGTCTGACTTACACTCTTTGTGTGTTTTCTAAAATTATTTTGCTTTGCAATTCTTCAGAAATCGACTTAAAGTGCTTTATATGATTCTGAATCACAAATATATATTTTGACAACTATCTCTTTCTCCAATAAACGCCCTGCCCTGCTTGTTTAACAGTTCTTGTGTTTCTTTCTTGTTGAAAGTTTTAAATATTTACTGATAAACATATTGAACCTGTTCACATGGTTCATGCATCTGGTTCGGGGCTTTTCAAAATATCTGCATGCTGCTTTTGAGTCTTCTATAACAACTTGTACAACTGTTCATGTAATAAGGTAGATTAAATGTTTGTTCTTAAAAAATGCTAAATGGTTAATTTAATCAATACAATGCCGACATGTTTTTGACAAAAAAATATTCATAATGACAACCACATGAAAAGTAGTAGAGTGATAATGATTTACTTAATTGGAAATAGGTTTATTTATGTCAAATAGTTTTTTTGCATTTACAAGTCTTTGTTGGAAATGTTTGGGTGGAAATTACAGATCAGGGCACTTTGGAAGAATTTTCTCCAGTGTCATTGTGAGTCTGTGACTGTCTCTTTTATGAGAATGAAAGCGCTTGCAGCAGACCAATATTCCCATTGATTACAATTTCCACATGTAAGACATTTCTTTAATGTGAACATATGTTTCAGTGGGAGACTTGAAACAAAGTCCGCAGTTGTCCCGTGTTGCTAACACCAGCGTGTGTTCAGTGCGTGACATATCGTCCCCGCTGCGCATGCTGACACTGGCTAGCTCTCCGATCGGGGAGTTCATGCAGTCCCCCCACCTCACACACAAGGTAGGTCTCTATAACCAAGGTCTCAATATTTGTACTGGTTCAGAATCAGTACTTTTGCTGAGACGCTTGTTCATTTTTTCTTTAATTTTGAAAATATTTATATATTGAGAAATATTTGGAATATCCGCACTGTTTTAAGTTCCATTTTCATTTTTTTTGTAGATGTCATTCAAGGTAAATTAAGTGAATTTATGAGGCAACAATGGCATGCTCAAAACCAAGTGAACATTTTGAAAGGTCAACATTGTACCTGTAAAAAAAATGTAATGTCACAATTTGAAAAATATCTTTTATTAGAGTGAATAATTATAGGCATCCCTTTTCATACTCAATGCGATTTAGCATGAATTAAAGGAAAAAAATCTTTTGGCAACACATTGCAAGATTTTTTTGACTAGTCGTAATGCCATTGTTTTGTGCAAGCCATTGTATAGCTCTTGATGTAGTTAGAATTATGTCTTCTTTAGTAGCTGTGATAGACTCACTGCTTTCGTGTTGTGTGGTGTATATTTTACAGTAGTGGACATTAAATGGACTCACAGCTGAGTTAATGTACCTGGTGTTGTGTTGTGTCGTCGTACAAAGCGATCTTAGGGCTAAGGTGATCGTAATTCCCATACCTTAGCATAGACTTACGACAGTCGTAGTGCTAAGGTTGTTTGTACAATGGCACCCTGCGGACTAGTGAGATATGACCAATGGTGTCTACCCCTGATGTTACTATCAAGATGCACATCACCATGATCACAACAAAGTGTATAGTCACAGCCCCAGTAATTCATATTGCACAAACAGAATGAAAGAGACATATTCATATTCTTTCAACAAACTCATCATTGGCCCTGTTCCTCAAAGCGGTTGTAGCGCTACAGCGGTCGTAGGTCTATGTTAAAGTATGGGAGTTACGATCACCTTAGCGCTACGACGGTCGTAGGTCTATGTTTAAGTATGGGAGTTACGATCACCTTAGCGGTATTATCGCTTTGTGGAACGGGTCCTTGATGTCTGAATATACTTCAAAACATCCTTGGCCACTGATAGTGATACACATGTTTTCCTGCACACTTCTTTCCTGGAGCCTATACTATAGTAAAGTGGTAAGGGGCTATAATCCTGACCTGTATATCTGCTTGACCTGTACCACAGTAGGTGCCCACCACTTACACTTGTTTCTAGATTCTGCAGAGGGAGAAGGATCAGAGAAGTAAGCTCGAGGTAACTTGGTGACCCGTCTGAATCCCCATATAGCTCCCTTACAACCCGCCCTCCCTGTCCATCACTCTGCTCATCCATCCATCCATCCACTTCTGCATCATCTCATCCATTGATTTTTCCATCAACTCATCCATCCTACTGCTCTGCCTGTTTGATGTTCACATGTCCCTGTTGTCTGTATAATCTGATATAACCACATTCATCTAACATTGTTCAACATGTTTATCATCACATTGCACATGTTCGTTGTTCACAGAAAACTAACCACTAAAGACATAACTAAGGCATTTCTTGTAATTACTTGGTTTACAGATTGCTGATGCCAGTTTGAACAATTGTGGCATAAAAGTTTAAAGATTGAAATATTTTTCTTACTATTGGGTATGTCAACTAACTTCAGTAGTTAAAAACTACAAAGTGGGTAAATTGAGGACATATAGCATGTTTAGGAAGGGGAGGAACAGTTTCATTCCATTTTATGTTTTCAATTTTTTTTCTAACAGTAATTGGAAGGAATCACTTCCACATTCTTAATAGAATTGTCTTTTTATTTCTATCACCCTTTCTATCCTTTCATGGTGTTGAAAGAAATCTGAAAACTAAGCAATTGTACAAATGCCACAGGATTTTGCTGAGTATTTGAGCATGTTGAGCATACACATCAACCAGTGTTATTGCTGGTGCAGTACATGTGGTCTGAAATATTCATGTTACTATTAGCTAATTATGGTTATCTCATTAAGTCACTGAACATCTCTTGTCTTTGCTTCATGACCCTGCTGTCATTATTCCGTGTAGATGTGCTCTGAACATTGATGTATGCTGTTGCTCCAGACTCCTGCTTGTTTGCTGAATGCTGTTTGCTGTATGTTTGTGTGAAGTTAGTCAGCCCAATAAACATTCTAACACTTCTGAAGAAGAGGCTTGTGGACAGAATATTGACAGCTTAATTCTAGATTAGCTGATTTTCACAGGAAAAGTTTTTAACTATGATGAACCTGTCACAATATTCTCTGCGAGCGTATTTATTGAAAACCAACCCAAACAATCACTGCCTCTTGTAATATGTTCAAACGAGTTGTTGGTTGTGTTTGCATAAGAATGTGTCCAGGTAGGTAGTGTGTTGACAGTGATGCTGTCTGTGTCTGATGTTGGGGATGTGGTTGTTGTAGGTGATGTTGCGGCAGAAGGAACAGGAGATGAAGAGGCTGGAAGTGGCGCTGAAGAATGAAGCTCATCTTCGCCAGGAGCTTGAGTTGGATCTCAAGGAGAAGGCAATGGACATTGACAACCGAGGTGAGTGTGATAATGTACAGTGTTGTGTACTGCCAAGACAAGCCAATATTTCTATTGGTATACAGGATTTGAAGATCAGCATGAAAGTTAATGTGTCCTTGTCATAACCCTAAATGTTGAAGGTTTAGGGGTCCCTTGATTCTAATACTATAGGAGCAAACTTCAAGGACCCCAGAACCCACCTTTACTTTTGAAGAATATCAATTAACTAAAAAATCTTCTGTGATATGTTATTTACATTTGTGGAATGATGATGTCTTCAGAGAGCAAGATCCGTGATCTACAGAAACAGCTGCAGGAGATGAGGAAGCTGCGTGACCACCTGGACGAGTTGGACACGCTGAGAGCGGAAAATGACCAGATGCAGAAGGAGATGGACAGGTGGGTTTCAGTTTTAGTGTCTGGGGTAGGGGTTGTCACAGTGTCCAAGACAGTGATGGGAAGGGGATCTCCAGATGCAGGAGATGGACAGGTGGGTGGGTGGTGGTCTTAGTTTTAGTGTCTGGGGTAGGGGTTGTCACAATGTCCAAAATCGGGATGGGAAGGTGATCTCCAGATGCAGGAGATGGACAGGTGGGTGGGTGGTGGTGGTGGTCTCAGTTTTACTGTCTGGGGTAGGGATCACAGTGTCCAAAATCAGGATAGGAAGGGGATCTCCAGATGCAGGAGACGGACAGGTGGGTGGGTGGTGGTGGTGGTCTCAGTTTTACTGTCTGGGGTAGTCATCACCGTGTCCAAAATCGGGATGGGAAGGGGATCTCCAGATGCAGGAGATGGACAGCAGGGTGGATGGTGGGGTCGTTCTAAGTTCTAGTGTCTGGGGTAGGGGTTGTCACAGTGTCCAAGATAGGGATGGGAAGGGGATCTCCAGATACAGGAGATGGACACATTGTTTCACATCACATGTATTTGTAGGGAGTTAGGGAAAAGTTTCCATGTGTCAGAAGCAGGGGTCCAATTGGGAATCTCAAATATCCGGTTTAAAATATTGCTTACCGGACTTTTAAATTTTTCTGTCCGGACATTTTAAAAAGTATTGTCCGGACATTCTTAAATTTTGACTGGACATGATCAACAGTTAGGACTGAGCAGTTTCTGTCTGCAGTTGTAACACAATGAAGATTATCTACACTGACAAGCTTTGTTTGTTTTGATTGCTGTAAATACATCATACATCACTGTAATAGGCAATAAACTGAGTTGACACTCATTAATCGAGGATTAATTACTGAGAACATCTTGTTAATTTGAGTGAAAGGTGTTTACAACTGTACATAAATACCTTGCATCATCGATGAACCTCATTATCCTCAAAATGCTACGATACGTAACTTCAGACAAGAAGCGAAAGCGTGACGACAGCCAGTCGACCGATGCAGATTAGTCGAGCGGATCTGCCAAACCCTCAAAGTCTGGACGATCATTTCGTAAGTCGTGGCTAACGACTTTCACTTGGTTGACATACAATGAGGATTTGCAGATTTTATTGTTTTCAGTAGCTAGTCGTATATTGAATCTTGATTGACCGCCATTTTGCTTTTTGTGACGATTGATATCAATTTTTTTTATGGTCAATAATTAAGTACAGATGAAAAAAGTATTCAAATAACTATTGCTATCAACCATATTTTAGTATTTGTGATTATATTATCTGTCTTGTTTTTAAATAATCTTTAGTTTAAAAAAACCCTTTTCCCCGTGAGGTCACGTGATAACCAAATATGGGATTATAGTCTCGATCCAAATGTTACAACGCATACACTTGAGCAGATATAACTCATGAATATTAATTAGACCGTTCACTACGTTAACAGATCGTTATTATAACAGAAACAAACGTATGTTTTCCCTGTATATCTAAAATGATATTATTTGTTTTTAATTGTCCGGTTAATTAAACAATTTAGATTGAAATAATTCATCATATTATGAATATGTAACAACTTGTAATGTGTGTGAAAAGTCGTACTAAAATACGCTGTTTGAAGGGGGCGTGGTCTGAATGCAAATGTCCGATTGGGATTTAAAATTTTCCGGACCCCTGGTCGGAAGGTATACTTTGTGGTTACAACTGGACAATGTGTCACTGTAGTATTCAACAATTGCTCTAAAACCCTGAACTGTTTACGCCAGGTACAAGTCCAAGCTGGAGCAGATGTCTGACCTCAGATCTCAGTGTGCCTACCAGGAAAAGGAAATCAAGTCGCTTCTTGAAGAAAACAGAAAGAACAAGAATGATGTAAGGAACGCTCGACTGATGTCTGAGTTTGTTCTCTTCTCTTAATTAACAAGTTGTTAACATGCACCAAACCTTATTATTCATACGGCTGACTCTGTCCATAGCATTATGATGGCAGTGAAGAAGCTACTTGAAGTAATTGGCACTTTTTGTGTATGACATTTGCAGCTGCGCACGATGGAGTCTATCCAAGCTGGGAACGAGGACTATCGGATCCGGAACCACCGCCTGACGCTGCATGTGGACGAGCTCGAGAAACAGCTGCTTCAGAGAGAAGAAGAGAGGAAGAAGGTGGCATCAGAGCAGGAGTCCCTGCAGCACCAGCTCGACCAGGCTCGTGAGATCATCTCCCGTCAGAAGGAAGACCTCGAGGACGTTCTCACAGGTGAGAGGGAGATAGATCTTGAGGTCAGGGTTTTATGCTGTGCATAAATTTAGGTCCAATACGTGTGTATGTGAACATCATTGGGTGAACTTGACACAAGGTTGCTAAGGGCTTATGGCTATCCTCTGGACAAGTAGAAGTTCTTTAGGGTTGTTCATATCATTACCAGGTTATTATCATGTGGTTATTGTGTATGCTTTTCAAACAGGTGCTTGTCTAATCACACATTGTCAACCTTACCCCTTATTTGGAACATGACTTGTTTTTACATGAGATAGTCTATCTCCTCAGTCAATGCCAGTAGCTGTAACCCATGTTTATTGACTCTCAAATTACCAGATAATTGGAAATAGGACACCAGACATCTTGATTTTGACACACAGTTTCTATGTAAATGTGTCATGCAGTGTAATGTTGGTGTGTTCCAGCCCCTGCTGTCGGGGAGTCGATGTCCGTGGTGTCTGACAAACGCATCACAGAGTTGGAGGCTGATCTAGCCCGCCTACAGGAAACAACAGTTGCCTTGGACACCCACAAGTCAACCGTGTCTCACTTGGAGGAGATGACTCGCACCAGAGATGCATTTGAGGTACAGCAGATATTATCCTACTCATAGAAGCTAACAGAGCTGTTAAACAATGTCATCAAAATTTGATTTATTACTGAGATAGGACATTCTCTGCTTCAAGATTTGAGATCCATAGGAGGTCCCTTCAAGTGAACCCTGATCCAACTTTGACTGAACGTCGTATATAAATAAAGGCTGCAGTTACTTAAGCCAGTCAGATGTTTGCTTTCCAGAATGATTCGTCTCTATTTGTTTACCAGGGGCACGGGTGGCCCAGTCATCTAAGGTGCCACAATTTGATGTGTACAGTTGTGCCCCGTGGGCACATCAGAATTGAGGGTTCGATTTCTGGTTCAATCCATTTGTTACTAGGTATGTCTGCACCATACCAATGCTCGTAGATTTCACCAAAGTGGTAAACATGTGAGACCTGCATCTCTTGTGTTTGTTACAGCAAAACTACCTGGCTGCAAGGAAAAGCCTTATGGCAACAGAGGCCCAGATAGCAGAGCTCAAGTGTCAGCTGGAGAAGTACGAGAGTGAGGTGACGCAGCTGACGGACTCGCGGCGTGAGCTGCAGGCTGAGTTCCGCGGCCAGGCTCAGCAGCTGTCCCAGTCCCAGCTGGAGGTGCAGAAACTCACCACGCTCAGAGACGCCAACCTGGAGAACATTGCCACTCTTGAAACAGACCTCAACAAGTCCAGGACAGACCTTAATCTGGCTAATGCAGTAAGTCATTTCACTGTCACTTTTTGTAAAATAAGCAAAAAAATGAAATAATAATAATACAGACTGATACAGCATGTACAGTCATTTGTTTTTCGTGTCATGCTTTTTTTTTTACAGGTGTCATTATTCTACCTTGGTAAATGTTGACTTGATTTATGTAATCACTTGGTGATGGTTAAATTATTTTGTTGCACACATGGCATGCTTGTGATATCTTTGCCGTATCTTCCAGGAAATATGTGCCCAAAAGGAAGAGTGTTCCGGTCTGCAAGAGAATCTCAGTAAGCAGAGAAATGGAGAAGTCAAACTTAATGAGCGTATCCGAAACCTGGAGACTGAAGCTGAGGACTCCGCCCACAAGTATGAGATGACCCTAGCAGCTCGGGATCAAAAGGTGGAGGACCTCACCACTCAGCTGGGGGACATGGTGTCTGAGGTGAAGCAGACAGCCCTCCAACACGAGCAGATGGTCACTGAGAAACAGGATGAAGTCTCTGTCTGGAGACAGAATCTTGTTGAGCTACAGGCAGAAAAGGTCAAAGTCACACAGGAACTTGAAAGTAAAATTGCTGAGAAGTCAACAGAGGTGGATAGTTTGATGCAGGAATTGACTGAGGTCAGGGCTTCAGGTGAAGAGAATCAAGAAATCCTAAAAACAGAGTTGCAGAGTAAGACTTGCAGTCTGATGCAGGTCACAAAGGAGAAGGAAGAATTGCAACAGTCAAAGGCTCAGCTCCTCGAGGAACACCAACAACTGATCACAGATAAGGCAGAACTGCAACAGGCAAAGGCTCAACTTCTCCATGAGCACCAACAGGAGATCAAATTGAAGGAAGAACTTCAGCAAGCACAGGCTGAGCTCCTTGAGAAACACCAACAGGAGATCAGAGAAAAGGAAACGCTTCAGCAAGCACAGGCTGAGCTCCTTGAGAAACATCAAGAAGAGATCAAAGCGAAGGAAGAACTTCAGCAAGCACAGGCTGAGCTCCTTGAGAAACACCAAGAAGAGATCAAAGCGAAGGAAGAACTTCAGCAAGCACAGGCTGAGCTCCTTGAGAAACACCAAGAAGAGATCAGAGAGAAGGAAACGCTTCAGCAAGCACAGGCTGAGCTTCTTGCGAAACACCAAGAGGAGATCAGAGAAAAGGAAACGCTTCAGCAAGCACAGGCTGAGCTCCTAGAGAAACACCAACAGCAGATCAAGGAAACCGAAGCGCTTCAGCAAGCACAGGCTGAGCTCCTAGAGAAACACCAACAGCAGATCAAGGAAACAGAAGCGCTTCAGCTAGCACAGGCTGAGCTCCTTGAGAAACACCAAGAGGAGATCAGAGAGAAGGAAACGCTTCAGCAAGCACAGGCTGAGCTCCTAGAGAAACACCAACAGCAGATCAAGGAAACAGAAACACTTCAGCTAGCACAGGCTGAGCTCCTTGAGAAACACCAAGAGGAGATCAGAGAGAAGGAAACGCTTCAGCAAGCACAGGCTGAGCTCCTAGAGAAACACCAACAGCAGATCAAGGAAACAGAAACACTTCAGCTAGCACAGGCTGAGCTCCTTGAGAAACACCAAGAGGAGATCAGAGAGAAGGAAACACTTCACCAAGCACAGGCTGAGCTCCTTGAGAAACACCAACAGCAGATCAGAGAGAAGGATGCAGCTTTGTCAGACATGACTGTTCGTCTTGAACAGCATCAAGTGGGTCTCAGTGAGCGTGACAGTGATGTGATCAGTTTGAAAACTAATGTAGCTCTATTGTCACAGCAGGTGCAAGAACAGCAAGTGACACTGACAGATAGGGAGACCCATGTTCGTGAGTTGACTGAGAAACTCCAACATCAACAGATTACCTTGGCAGAGAAGGATGCCTCTGTGAGTGAGTTGATGGAGAAGGTTGAGTGTCTGACTCATGATGCTGCCCAACAACAAGGCGTAGTTGCTGAGAAACAGTCTGAACTGGAGGAGCTCCACAGTCTGGTTGAAACCCTGTCTTCTAATGTTGACACACAGCAGAGTGTTATTGCAGAAACTGAGACAGTCCTGGCTGAAGCCAAGTCTCAGATACAGATGTTAGGGGTTGAGATGGAGCAGTGCAAACTGACAATTGCTGAGAAAGAATCCCTGGTTGTTGATCTTTCAGAAAAAATAAATGACATGACAAGTGACAATAAGACATTGTTTGACACCATTACTGAGAAAGATTCAACATTAGCAGAGCATGCAGCAAACATTAAACAGTTAACTGTTACCATTGAGCAACACCAACAGATGCTGTTAGAGAAAGAACAGTTGCTATGTTCAGCACAAGAAGAACAGCAGCAATATGAGTGTCGACTTGAGGAGCGAGATGAGGAGCTGAGGAGGATGAGGCAAGACGTGGATGTCATCACAACGAAAGCTCAGCAGGCTGAGGAGGAACTAAGGCAACAAGTGGTCTGTGTGAGGGAGGAGAAGGAGGACATTGCTCTACAGCTGAAGGCAAGTGAGGCATCTTTGGAAGAAACAGTTGGTGATCTGAAGAAGCAGCTGGAGGTAAAGCAGCAGGAGCAGGACTCGCTGCGGCAGAAGATGGATGTGAGAGTCTCTGAGATGCAGGCGCAGCTGGAGGAGGTGGCTTCTCTGAAGGACGGGGAGACTCAGGACTTTGTACAGAAGGAACAGAGGCTTTATTCCGACCTGGCTGAATTCAAGGACAAGATAGAGGAGCTGAAACATGAGCTGAAGACTGAGGTGGAGGGATACGTGCAGCGGGAGAAGGAGCTGCAGGTGACGATCAGTCAGCTGGAACACACAGTTGAGGAGGCCACCACAAACCTGGACTCACAAAAAGATCAGTTTACATCCAGGGAGCAGTATCTGGAGTCCGAAATAAACTTGCTGGAAAGCAAAGTGGGAGGTCTGGAGACCCATCTTGAGGAGGTGAGGAGTGAGCAGGTCAGTCAACAGCAGGAGATGATGGAACAGCTTCATTCTCTCCGGACTGAGGTGGAGACTGAAAGTGACACCATCCAGTCCCTCTCGGACACCATCTCTGAGAAGGACAAGCTGGTAGAGGAGCTTCAGCAGAAGGTTGTGGAGATGGAGAGACAGGCACAGAGCAGTGAGGAGGAACGGAAAGTGTGGGTAGAGAAGCGTGAGTCTGATGTCAATGACAGAGAGGCTCTAACTGCTGAACTCAAACAGAAGCTGTGTCAGTATGAGGAAATGGTAAAAACATTGAAGGAAGAACATGAAACAGTAATTGAAAGTATTGAAGCTGATAAAGAGGAAAGTCTGGCACTTCTTCAGAATAATTTTGAGGGGAAGACTGCAGTTCTCGAGTCAAGTCACAGTGAGGACATGAAGAAACTTCGGAAGGGTTTCGAGGAGGAGAAGGCCTCGTTAATCAGAAGCCATGAATCTCAGATTGCTACAGCCACTAGTGCTGTGATGGCCACTAAGGAAAGCATCACCACATTCCGGGGGAGACAGACAGACTACGAGGACACCATCAAGGAACTCAAGGAGACTCAGAAGACTCTGGAAGAGGACTACGACAGGAGGGTTCATGAGTGTGAAAACTACTGGACCATGCAACTGTCAACCCTACAGGAGGAGTTTGATGATGCTATGGCAGAGCGAAAGACCAACTTTGAGAACCAGTATAAAGAAGAGGTAACTCGTCAGGAGGATCAGATTTCCTCTCTGATGGAAGAGCATGAAGGATCTCTTCTCAGTCAGAAGGCTGTGCTTGAGGAGACCATCTCAGACTTGAAGTGCATGATGGAGAGACAGAAGGCTGATTATGAGGAGAAGCTGTTGAGGATGAAGGAAGAGGGCGAGAAAGCTGTGTCCAGTATGGAGGAAGATCACAAGAGCAAGTTGGCACATCTACATACCTGCTTGAAGGAGATGGCTCAGAGTCAGCGAGAGATGAAAAGCAACCTGGAAGAAAACCGCGAAAAGACGAAACATCTAGAGACATGTTTAACTGAGAGGAACAGAGAGTTGGAAGAAAAGATGGTTGAGGAGCAGATTGCCAAGGAGGATGCTATCCTTGCTGTGCAGAAAGAGTACAAGATGAAGATGGCACAGATGGTTGAGGAGAAGGAGGGAAAGATATCAGAGTTAGAGGGTATGCAGGTAACCAGGCAGCAGGAGTACGAGGCTAGTCTTCAGCAGCTGGAGGACAAGCTGACACAGCAGCAGCAACAGCTGGAGCAGGCACAACACGGAGAACAGACTGAGAAGTCCAGCCTGGAGAGTGAGGTGACGGAGCTGAAGACCCAGGTGACGGAAATGTGTGTGCAGCTGCAACAGTCTCAGGAGGAGCGTGCATCAGCAGTGCAGAAGGTGATGCAGCTCAGACAGGAACTGGAATCAGCCGAGTCCGAATTTGCCTGTCAGTTAGAGTCAGAGAGGGGAGTGTATGAGGAACAAATGAACTGTCTCAAGTCCGAGATCCAGAGTCTGAAGACAGACTATTCCACGACAAGGGTAAGGATTGGATTTGTGTTTAAAAAAGTTGCAAAAAGTTGTGTTCTTAAATCTATTTATTTATTTCCTTGCATATAAATTACTGATTGCTATGAGTTTGATATTTCTGTGAACATAAGCGGTTTATTCATTACAATAAGACTGACTGACTCTCTAAAATCACCTCTCCAAGGTAAACAAGCATTGGTTTACTTAATGTTGTAGGATTCTCTCAAGCAGAGCACATCAGAAACTGTTTCCCGCTATGAAGCAGAGATGATGAGCCTCAAGCAGCAGGTATGTGGAACTTAATTCAAAACCAAATAAACAGAATATGAACTAAGAGTTATAAATCTTTCAGAACATTTCCCAGGGACGAGTGGTATGTTGTCTTTGACTGATGCCCCGGTGGTTGTTGCAGCTGGCAGCTGTGGAGGAGGAGAAGGAGATGGCGGACAAGGAGAAGGAGGAACTGATGGCGCAGCATGAGCGGGAGCTGTCCACGGCCCGGCGCCACACCGACACTGATGTCCGCGCACTCAGGATGGAGAAGGAGAGCCTGCAGACCCAGGTGGAGATACTCCAGCAGAAGAAGGTGAACACGCTGTTGTTGTTTGGGAGCATTTGAGATGACGGGTATTCCAAGTTTAAAATTGATGTGATTAAACATTTGTTTGCTAATCTACCTGGCATGCCTAATCTCCAAACTACAAATTTGTCCACTGCTAATCACCCATCAGAGCCAATTAACTGTTGGCTTCCCTTGTTAAGTTTCCATCTTTGTTATCTGATAATTTTGTTGCTCTTAGAAGTACATATATACGTTCTCTGCTTCATAGCATTGATTCACCTGATGAAGGAGTAAGTATATACTCCGAAACGTTGTGTTCCTCATTATAAAGAAGTTGACATCCATAAATTCTCTTCCTTATGTGTATCACTTCTAAATTCCTTTCAAAGACTTGTTACCAATTTCAGGTAATGCTCACATATTGAGATCTGACTGTTATAAAATATTGGATGTATGATGATGAGTATTCCAGCTGAACAGGGTCTCGATCGTCCCATGCTTGTTGTAAAAGGTGGGACCCATGAAAATCCGGGGTAGAATAAGTCTTCAACAACCCATGCATGCTGTAACAGGCAACTATGCTTGTCGTAAGAGGTGACTAACAGGATCGGGTGGTCAGACTCACTGACTTCCAATTGCGTGGATCGATGCTCATGATGTCAATCACTGGATTGTCTGGTCCAGTCTCGATGATTTACAGACTGCTGTCATATAGCTGGAATAAGTGTAAATGGTGGTTTGTAGGAAAGTGAGGAAGTAGCAGTGTTTGACCTTGTTCCATGAGCATTGCTTCTGAGGATGTAGATTCTGCTCATGGTTTGTTTAGCTTTCGATTACTATTTCGTGACTAAGAACTAAAATAGTTCTTGTACTACTCGACGTACAACAATCACATGCACTCAAACATGTAGCTGTGGAACTTATGCTTGTCCATGTATATCATATCAGGTATTTGTTTGACCTTCTAGGAACTAACGACGAGTAAGATGTCTGACCTGGCCCAGGAAATAAACAAATATGTCACTAGATGTCAGCACTTTGAGAGTCAGTGTCATGAGATGGACCATCGTTTGACAGAGCTGACAGAGCGAGAGCGCAACCTGAAGAATGACAACGAGAAGTACCGCAGCCAGAAGGGGAAGATGGAAGAGAAGTGCAAGGAGCTGGTTCAGAGGCTGCAGAGTCACGTGGAACGCGAGCAGAAGATGGCACGGGACCACCACCATGAGATCACAGTGGCATCCGAGCTGAACGCGAAGCTGCAGAAACACGCTGAGAAGCATAAGACTCAGATCATGGAGCTACAAAAGTCTTCTCATAGTGTGAGTTGCCTATGAATTTAAAGAGTTAAATACTGGTGTAGGATTGCTCCCCAACTACCTTTGGTGGTTGTAAGAGATGGGACTCAGTAAGGACTCAGTGACTTGGTTGATAGTGTGTCCTGTCACACTAACAGCATGGATCAATATTTCCACTGTGGCGGATCAGATCTTCTTATTGTGGCATTGAAGAATGAAGGGAGATTTCAATGTTCTTTTCCTGGTGATATTAGGAACTGATGTCTGAGCCACTACTGTATAGACTTGTAAAAGGCGACTATGCTTGTCGTAAGAGGCGACTTACGGGATCGGGTGGTCAGGGTTGCTGACTTGGTTGATGCATGTCATCATATCCCAATTGCATGGATCGATGCTCATAATGGCAATCACTGGATTATCTGGTCCATACTCGATTATTAACAGACCACTGTCATATAGCTGGAATATTGCTGAGTGCGGCATTAAACAACAAACAAATAAACAAACTGTTTTGACTCTTTGACTAAGAAGGTATCCTAGCAAGTTCTATCAATTCCTGTAGTCTGTTTCCTCTCTTAGCTTTCCTCTCTCATGAACCAGCTATATAGTGTTGTTGTAACATGTTGTTCTGTGTTTGTGGTAGTCCAATGGCGAGCATCAGAAGCTGGTGGACCAGGTGCGCCACTACCGAGAGCAATACAGCAAGTACAAGGAGAGCATGGAGACCATGACCAAAGCGCTGGAGACACAGCGACACACAGCCGACAAACACAGACAGCGGGCAGAGAAACTTGACACAGACATGTGTAAGATGAGGGAGGAGAATGTCCAGGCCAAGTCACTGGGTGAGTCCTACACTGACTGGAGGGCTGCTCGTAGCATGGTAGTGTCTGACCTGGTGGAGTAACTGGTGGGCCTGGCCCAGACTACATTTTGTTGGCTTCTGTGATATGCCTTGAATTTATTACCCATAGGGTTAGAAATAACCGAGTTCATAAATATTGTATGCGCACTTGTGCAAATATCACTTTTTGCACACCAGTGGATTGTTTAAGTCATCTGAACGGCATTGTTGACGTTATTCAAATCGTATTGTGACGTAAAGAGGAGCTCAAAAGGATTAAGAAATAATGGGTAATTAAGAAATTATTACACTTACATGTATTTCATACTAATTTTACGAAACTCATTTAAGAATTCTTGTATACCTGATCTAGCTTGGGAAATACAAGAATTCTGATGCTTGTTTCGTAAAATCAGTATGACACACATGCTCATATAATAATCTCTATGTTGCTGGCTGGCATTCACTGACTGAATTGATGGTTGATCTTAGACTTTGTTGATATATTCCATGGCTGTACAGTGCACAGTGAACAAACTAATAGGAACTACTTGGTGAAGTGATTTAGTTTGAAGAAACAGAAACACCACCTGAATAATGGGTTCCCACTGTGACAATTAGTTGTAATCAAGATGCAGGTAGTTTAGTCAATGTTTTGTGTGTGTTCTAATCAAGAGATGCTTTCAGCTTCCAAGGTCCGTACCCTGGAGACCCAGCTGGAGTTTGCCGACCGTCAGGTACGGGAGTACCGGCATCAGCTGGATCAAGCAGGAACGGCTCTCCTCGGGGACACAAATGCCTTCCAGAGACACATGGAGCTCAGCGGCAACGACAGCTTCTCCATCAACATCGGGGGCCACAGCAGTGGTGATACAGGTACGAGCACAGCAGTAATTGATCTGCTTAATTGGCATCGTCTTTTCAATATGGGAATCACATAAACTCCAGTAAAAGTTTGTTTCAACCTCAGGAATGTGTAAATGGTGTATAGCTTGGATGTTTACTGAGGATTGTTCTAAACTTGTCATAGCATTGTTATTTATATGGATAGGTAGAAGAAACACAGTTGTTATGGTTATTAATCAGATGTATTTCTTGTGGGAGTGGAGATGGGTGTGTTGACTCCTCCCTGATGAAGTAGTGTTGAATGTTGCTGATGGAGTAGTGTTGAGTGATGCCGATGGAGTAGTGTTGAATGTTTCTTATGGAGTTGTGTTGAATGTTGCCCATGAAGAAGTGTTGAATGTTGCTGATAGAGTAGTGTTGAGTGATGCCGATGGAGTAGTGTTGAATGCTGCTGATGGAGGAGTGTTGAATGTTGCCAATGATGTCATGTGAATGTTGCCGATGTAGAAGTGTTGATGTTGCTGATGAAGAAGTGTTGAATGTTGCTAATGGAGTAGTTTTGAATGTTCTAGAGGGGAGCCTGGACGACTCGCTGGAGTCTGAGAAAGACAGCACGGTCAAGTACAACCTGCGCTCCAGCTCCCAGAGTTCCGAGGACAGGAAGCCCCTTATCTCCATCTCCCGGTCCAGGTAACATCACCACTCAGCTGCATTAATCCATGCTGTAATATCATGTGCATGTTACGACCATCATAACTGCTGAAAGAAAGGTTGAGGGTTGATGGAAAAGATATCAAAGATATAAGATCTAGGAAATATTCACCACAGGAAAAAGACCACCGACATCCTTAATGTATCAGTTATTTCAAGTTATTTCAGGTAATACTGCCTATCATGGTTCATGGTTTCCTATTAGTGAATGCTGCCCATGATAGTTTGCCCCATATTGACCCATCGTGTCCCTCTCACCCAGCATCAGCAGCTCCTCAACCACCTCCTCTGGCCTCACCCCGAGCTGCTCCTCCCTGTCCCTCCGCTCCACCAACAGCCGTGCATCCCTCCGCAGCATCTCCAGCGACAGACTCAACTCCACCGGCACAGCATTCGGACTGCCACGTAAGTACATAATGGATCTTCACAGAAGCACTGAGACTATCAAAGAATACCTATCAGCAGATTAATGTTAAGAACATTCAAAATCTCTGCTCACCTGTTTTTCCTTGTTTGTTGATGAAAGAATTCTTATGGGTCTACTTAACAATCTTCATCTCAAAAAGTACTGTTTGTTTGGCTTTGCAAAGATCTATCTATTCCAGGAATAATACAATAGATATTCTAGAGGTATTCTATAAACTTTCAGTTGGAACCGGTAAACTGTTCTCGTGTGAGGACGAGCCTCCGCTAGACTTTGAGTGGAACCGGCTGAGTGAGCTGAAGAGAAGGAATACTCTGTGTCTACCTCACATGAAGTCCTCCTACCCAGTCGAGACTCAGTCGTGTGAAAACAAGAAGTTTGATGATGATGGCTTCAAGCGTGTGTCCGATGCTTCCTTTCTCTCGAAGAAGAGGAAGCCCAACTCAATGGAGATAGATGAGGGTCCATCAAAAACCTTGCCCGAAGACCACAGAAAACATGTGAGTGCACCTGCATCTTCTTGATTAAGCTGTCAGAAATGGCTTCCTTTGCAGGTGCTTTAAGCTGCTGCTGTATTAAATAGTTCTTGGAACTGGAGATCCAATAGATACCTATTGGCATGAAATTGTAAGACAATTATACATGTTAGAACATAAGCTGTGATATAGCTGCAGTTAAGTTTGAAATGCTACCATGGCTTGAAACAGTATTCCTTCTCACTTACTCCTATTAATGGGGATTGGGTTGCCTTGTTGGTGAACCATTGTCTCATCTTGTCAAATGCCCAGGTTTGAGTCCCCACATGGGTACAATGTATGAAGCCCATTTCTGGTGTCTCCCTGCTTTGATGTGGCTGGAGTATAGCTAAAGGCGCTTTAGACCCCATCTTACTCATTCACTCCTAGTTAGCTAAATAGGAATCATTATCATAAGCAGGACGTAGAAAGGAAAGGTGAAGGTAATTGTAGGTAATTGCAGTGCCGTTGTAGGCAGGTGATTGTGTGAGTGGCTAAATGTGTTGGTGTGGTTCCAGGCTCGGTATGGCACTGTGTATCAGCGTCCTGGGCCACCAACACCGGCCAATGGTCACTCCATGACACGACGGAGCTCCGGACGTCTCAACCAGAGTCCAAAGACACCGGTCAGCACCCGGAGGAAGTCGAGGTCAAACTCTCGTACACCACGAGGCACTCTCAGACGCACTCCCAAGGGAGTGTCTCCACGAACAGCACACTCACCTCGCTGGGACAGTGAAAATAAAGCCCCAGCTAAACTGGTAGGCAGACAAAGCATATTGCAGGGTTGAAAAGAAAAGATGTTCATAATCATACTGTCAAAACATTGCCTTTATTTTCAACAGAAAATAAGTTTTTTTTAGTATAAATCCTGGAAAGGTTGAAATTAATTTGGATCATTTCATGTAAATTCTGCAAGCAGTTTTAACAATGATCATATTGTTTGTAATTGTGTCACGCTAGAAACATTTATGACATTACTTAATGATATTTCTTTGTGGGTCCATGTGATCTCTGAAGGATATACATGTATTCATTTTGTTTGTCAAACAAGCGATGTTGTGATATATACAACTCAACATTTGCTGAAGACCAAAACATTTGTTGGCCAAGATACAGTTGCAAGTTGTAGTGGTATCATAGTGAGTTGTCACTGATGTTATCAACTGTTAACCATGAAATTATACCATTAAATGATTGATGTCATTGACAGACTGCTGTCTATTAGTTGTCTTTAGGTGTGGTCCTTATCGAATGAGTAGTATTATGTAATATACATTTTGAGTGAGCCCGTCAATGATGATGTGTTTTGTTTGCTAAAGGGGTCGTCCTTGTGTTTGCAGTCTGACCGGCGAGAGAGTATCGCCTTCAGCATCGGCTTCTCCCCTGTACACAACCAGGGGATGCGGCGCGGCATGAAGCGCCAGACTGGCTTCATCCAGAAACAGCCGGAGGAGAAGAAGACCCAGGTGAGTAAGCTGATCCAGATGTTCGAGGGTCACCGCAACACCCTCATTAAAACACCCATCAAGAAGGTCTCCATGTTCATGATCAAACTGAAGACGCCAAGGAAACTCTTCTCTAACAACAAAGTTAGAAATGATAATGCTTTCTGAATACCTTGTTGGCTGCTTGTTTCCATGGAGATTTACTCCTTATGACCGAAGACATTTATAGACTTGGTTTCACCAATCTTGTGAAAAGTTGTCGCCATCTTATGACAAGATAAATAAAAAAAGTTTTTTTAAAGAAAATTGTGGAAAAAAAAGAAAAAGGTTTTGTTTTATAGTGCATTGGTATACAGGTATGTTAATTAAGACAGAGTGCTATATTTGCTGTTTGTTTGAAGACATTCCTGTTAGGATCATTAATGTGACCAACTTACACAATTATGATATATGGAATAAGAAGTCATTATTTTCTCAGATTAAGATTAGATATTTACTTTTCTATAGATGTGGATATAACATTGGATTTAAAATAGGGCGTATGGGACAGGTGTTAAGCTCACCACATGATCTCCATGCTGTCTGCTGATTGGATGTGTGTAATGTCTCGATTGTGAACCGACTTGGGGGTTCTCATTTCTTGTCTCAATTCTGTGCTTGTAGCCTAGGCGACAGAAAAACCACCGGTAGTATTTCTTGTATTATTATCATTGTTCGTGGTTGTCTGGCATGTGCACAGTGTTTGAACTTGTGGGTATTGTTTTGTGGGGTATGGCAGTGGGTGGGGTGAGGTTTTGTTGGGCAGGGCAGTGTTGCAGGGTGTGGGCGTCAGTATGGGTATAACAGTTTTGGGGGTATGGCAGGGATCTATGTGGGTGGGGTGATGGAGTTTGGTTGGTTGGGCAGGGCAGTGTTGGAGGGTGTTTGTATACCTTTGGGGGGGGAGATGGCATTGGTCTCGGGGGTGGGTTTGGCTTTTGTTGGATGGGGCAGGACAGTGTGGGTGGGCATTGTGTAGCTCAAAACCTAGTTCGTCTGTTGTAACCTGTCTGGCACAGTGTTTAGACAATCCAGCATGTGTTCAAGAGAAGTATGCACTCCTAACTCATCACAGTTGGTGAAAGACTGCACTGTTCTCATGTTTCACTTAATCCAGCACTTGTCCAACTTTGTCCATTCACTGTCACTTGTTAAATACCCAATAGGAGCTAGATCCCCAGTACCCCATGATTCTCAAAAGAGCTGTGACAAAGTGTGTGTCGTCCTACCCTAACAGTGGGACAATGATCTTGCCATCAACCACTCATCAGCCTAGCCCAGGCTCAAATGTTAAATAGTCCGCCAGGACATAGCTGGAATATTGCGGACTGAAGTAAACCAAACAAAAGGAACTAGGTCCTTGTATCCAAACATCGTGTAACAATGCAACCAGTTTCCTAGTGTGCTATTTTTTGGCAGTGCTGAATATACTGAAAATTGGTGTTCTATTATAACGAGTACTCCATGTCCAGTTTGCCAGTTGTAAAGACATTTAATACCCACCAAATATTAAAAAGAATTTCTTATGTCTAAAATAATCCTTTGTGTCAATATATTTGTGTGATATTTTTCATGACAGTTTAACAAGTCTTGCCTTTGTTGTTTCAGGTGACAAGAAAACCTCTGGGCACGAGAAACTTCCTTCAGACTGGCTTGTAATTGTAAAGATATTTGATTTAACTGTTGAAATGTCTCTGAAAGTATAGTGCTTTATTTTATTACTGTATTTTACAATAAACCTTTTTAAATGTTTTACGCTGTATAAATTATGACATTTTGTTATGTTTCTGCTACATGATATTAGGGCATTTATATAACTGGGAATATTTAATGTTGTACAGGTATGTTTTAGTGTGTAATTACAGTTTGTATATACCGATGTACATTCCGCATATATACCACGCACCCAACCTACGGTACTCCCACTTCAACAAATCAGTTTTCAATCATGAACCTAATTCCGTGACTGAACATTGTGATGATGGAAGCTTTCCATCACTGTGCAATACTAACGTGTTTGTAAATGTCGTTCATTTTCATTTTCATGTCCCATAGGAATATTATAAGACCATTATCAGATAATCATTATTCTTATCAACTCTTTTCTGATGTATTAAGTATGTATAGTTTTAGTTTTCAAGATCTGATTCATGTTAGGAATGTCAACATACTTATTTTGATAAGAAAATGTTATGAAATAGTTATAATTATGGAACATAAATGAAGTCAAAGGATTGTCCAGTAAAAGCAAGACAGGACGTTGTATGAATAGATATATGTAATTATCAAATTTGGTTGTGAAGTCTAGTCAATGTCCTGCCTTCTTTCCCCGTAGCTAGTTTAGGTGAATCTATTCTCTCGCCTCTGTCTATCACCTCGTGTTCATTTCAGACAACATGGAGATTCATATAGTGTAGCTTGACCATCTGTAAAAACTTGTACAAAATGTATAAAATGTCATATAACTATAGCCTGGTGTATTGTTGTCTTTGATCTGATGATTGTATTGGACTGCAACTTGCGTCTTTGACTTGAAACAAGGGAATGTTTGGATGATGCAACTGGTACCAGAACTCCAGGATCCCATGTCTTGGAACAGGTCCTCGGCATGTTCAGACTCATTGACTTGGTGATACAGATCCTTGCTGATGATAATGATTTTTCCTTGAGAAAGTGACCGCCTCCGTGGTCTAGTGGTAGAGCATCCGCCCTGAGAGCAGAAGGTCTGGGGTTCGATCCCCGACCGCGTCATACAAAAAGACGTTAAAAGATGGTACTTGTTGTTACCCTGTCTGGCGCGCGAAACAAACACACACACACACGCATGCACGTCTCTATATAAGTGCAATAATCTTGGACGCGACGTTAAAACCCCATTTCACATCGAGAAAGTGTTATTAGCTCAAGATTGCAGACAGATTCATTTGTCTTTATTGTCATCGTATACAATGTTTAGGTAACTGAAATATCAGTACAGATTTAAGGGAGTAATGAAAGGTTGAAAAGAGTAAAATAAATGCAGATAACCTTGCCAGTGCCTTATTTGATTAAATAAGCAAAACCCTGAGACTTGCTGCGGATGTCTTCTTCCTTATCAAGAGGCGGGGTTGACATGATGTGTTGGAATTCACAAGTTGCGTTCCGATATTCTGTGATCATGGGTTCGAATGTGAGATTCATAGGATTCTTGGTCTGTCAGCACATCCATGCTTGTTGGTTCAGCTACTGGGTTTCCTCATCAAGCTGACACACAACTGATATACTGTTCAAAGCAGCATCTCACTGGATTCCCCCATATGGGTGCACGTGTGAAGCAAATACATGGTGTCCCCCCCCCCACACCTTGAAATGATTTAGGCAGATCGCAGTGCAAAAAAATATGATAATCTTAATCTCTTCATATAAAACAAAGCCTATCAGAACAGGAAATACAATTTAATCAGTAAATCATCATGTCTATTGATGTTTTATCGCAAATTTCAAATTTGCATTGACCAAGGTGACCATATTGAAATAATTTGGATCAGAATAATTTGATCCTTTAGAATATATACTACTTCCTGTTCACTGATTTAAATGTTAACTGGTTCCACTGTTGGGTTGTGCAGCAAGCTCGGTGCCTTTACCAGGCAGTGACCGACAAAAGATGGTGAGTGAGCAAGTTGGGCTTAAGGCTGCTATTAACAGTATTCCAGCTATATCACCACGTGTCAGCTCTTATGGGAGGAAAGCCTGAAGTGATACAGGTCTCAGACGTGCATGGGAAGGTGCTGACAAACCTGGAAACATAATCAGGGTGAACCAGGATTCTGACCAACAATCACAGGTTTCTGGTGTGCCAAAGGGGACTTTACTCGGCACAGCACATTACGATGCCTTAGATGACTGGGCCGTACCTGCCCCCTATAAAGTAGGTACAAATACATATACCATTATCTATCGTACAGGCGCAGCCATACTACTATTGCAGAATTCAAAGATTACACTTTGAAAGTTCCCAGACAATTTCTGTGTTGTAAGTGAAGTTAAGAAATAAGTTGGGCTCATTAATTGTTGCGAGAGCAATCTTAGTTTCACAGACAAACTGGATAGCGGCTGCCATTTTCTTTCTACAATGAGGTCGCCAGTGAGAAAGCACCTGTCGTTCAATCGTGGCTAATGAGAAATTGTCCACGCCCTATCTTCTGGTAAGCTTAGACAGGAGCCCAGTGTATTGATGGTGATACCTTGCATGTTAAGAAGTACCTGACATAGGTCTGTAACTAGTCTTTAACCATCTCCTGACCAAAAAACAAATAGTCCCAATCACCTGCCTTAGGCCACACCTTCTAGGAATGACCAAAAGAAATATACTTTTCAAGAAAAGTATTCATATGCAGTGAAAAATCCAAAAGTCTAATGTTTTTCAACCAATCAAATTGCAGCACACACTCCTATTCATTTTACAACTTCCAGGAAAACACAAGAAAAGAATTGATTTTCAAAGATGTGTTTATTTACAGATGACAGCCCATACAGGACTCGTTCGATTCATAATTTATAAAAACATATCACAAGCAAATAAATGATGACATAAGACAGATGTAGACAGACACACTTCATCACGGTCTCTCATACTGGCGTTGATCAGCTCGGCTACAGGTGCTTGCTCATTCCAGGCCCAGGGCCCAGTTTATTCCCTGCACGAGGAGGATGATGACTGGTTGCCAGGCAACCAGGTACCGAATCCAGTCCAACAGGTTACCATACATAACATTGGTACGTTCCCATCTGGGGAAGTGTTAAGGTAATTGGATTCAGTGGCAATCAAATGTCTTCTGGAACACGTATATATTATAACAAATGTTCTATGAGGGATAACACTTTCCCATGGCGGATAGCTATGAAAACGCAATGCCACTATAGCTTTAGGCCATGGGAGCCATGCAAACTTACACTTGTCAGAGGGGTACACAAGATATGTGATCTAGACTACCAGTTGTCGGACTTCCATTTTTGTGAAAGCCTCGGGGAAGTGGTTAGATTGCTGACTTTGTGTATAGGCGATAGGTACCTCACTTTGAGAGTGTGAGTTCGAGTCCCAAATGGGATTCATTCCATAAAGGTATTAGAAACTGTTATCCCAAATATAACATTTGATACATTTGACCACTTTATATTCATTGCGTATATATGAGTAAATGAAAGTGTTAGTTGTTATTTAGCAAGTATTATCATAATTATAGTTTCCAATTTACCTGTGCATATCCTAAATCCATCAGTTGAGAAGATTGAGTTCTGATGATATGTGTCTTTATGATTAGAACTGTTATAAAAATAGGTGTAATAATTGTAGCACTAGAAAAATAGGTACATTTAGGTAAATTGTTGTAGCTGGATGAAAAAAAATCTACATCCACATACCACAAACTAGTAGAATATGACATTTCATGGTGATATATGCAGAAATGACATTTCCAATATGGCTGCTGGGATCATTCTTGAAAAGATTCAGCTTCATAGGCTTAGTGAGTGAGTTTAATGGTGCTTTGAACAACATTTAACTTATATAGCAGTGTGCCATCTTAATGTGATAGGTAAGCCCTATGTGATGCAGGTCTCAGACGTTTACTACATTAGTGAGCATGGATATGGTGACGAACCTAGAAACATAATCAGGGCGAACTGGGATTCGAACCCATCATAGGCTAGTAGTATCCAAGGACAGACGGATACTGTGCTACATAAGGTTGAACTCAGTCAGGTGATCAAGAAGTACATACAATTTCATTATTTAAATCAAATTTCAGATTCAAGTGCCCATATTGACTTTTCTCATCTTCTTCAAAAGACATCTTACATCTGGCTGTTATAAATTCACTATCATACCAGATAAAAAGACTAACTGCTTCTGTCTGAAACAGATTTTAGACCTAAAGTAAAAATATTCATTCTGGCTGCCTCCCTGAAGTGAAATAAACCTGTGCTGTACTTAGTAAAACAACCCTTGCTTAACAGACTCACCTGTGATAGCTGACACTGCAGATACATGTAACACATGTTATGGTATGAGAGTAAAGGATACGGACTTGGGAACATCCTCTTCAGGTCTACTTTTTCCTTGCAGTATGGACACGTCTGTTTCTTTCCCACGATGCACCATCCTCGTATACAGAACTCATGGAATCTGGTTCAAGTCAAGGTCAAATGAAAACATCACAACAATCATCCAATATGTGCACACACAGAAAAGTCAACAAAGACCGCCACTTGACAAAAGTTGCTGTCAGCGGCCACACTAAAAAGAGGATTTGAACCTCTAGGACAAATTGGGGTGTCATCATTGGTGGGAACAAGCCACTCTCCTACCCAGAGTTCCTCGTACGTCTGCCTTAGGCCAGAAAGATGTGTTGATTCGTCACACCTGACACAGTCCGTTCAACAAATAACATTTGTCATTTTTCAAGAGTCTACACATTTAGACAAACATATTAATATATAATGGTTAACTTTCATTGAGAAAATATCCTAAAAAGTGAGAAACCATTTCTAATTGGCATTTACCCTTTGTTGTAGTCGTGCCCTATGGAGAAGTAGCGATACGGTCACTTTGATGTATACAGCCCATACACTGTTGCCGGGGTAGTAGTATATAATAACAGCCAAAATAAAGATGTATTCCACAAATTCAATGATACCAGGGTTATTGACTTGTACACTAGGGCTGGGACTATACACGAACTGTGCGATAAGATACATATCACGATACCTTGTCCACAATCCGATACAAATCACAATACTCGTATGTGCTCTTATCTGTGGTGCGTAAGCCATCTTTTTCACATAGAGGATGGCCACTACTAATTAGTGTTTGGTGTAACAGCAAACATTTAAGGTATGAATCGATATTTTTTTCATAGTGTGCAACTGTGATCGATACTTGTAATGGGAAGAAAAATATTGCGATCCACCGATGCATCGGCCCACCACTAGTAGTATATCTATATAATTATGCAAAACAATATGTAAAACGCTATGAAAGGCTTCCCTTAGGTCTATAAACCTGTCACATGATACCTATCTTGTGGCAGTGGCAGAGTGCTCATCCCTGCGGTGGAGTGTGGGAACAAGCATGTTAAGCTTTAGCTTCAGTGGTCCAGTGGTTTCTGAGATTTTTGCAGTGAGGAAGCATGTTCAAGCTACAAAAGTGAAATAAAGGTAAAAATTCAAAATATTGCCAACAGAATCAGGAACATTGCACCATTGGCCTGTACTGTCCACAAAGGGATCTTATCCCCAAGGTTATTGTAACACCCATACTTTAGTATAGGCTCAAGATCATCGTAGCACTAAAATGACTTTGTGCAAGTGGGCCCTGGAATCTTCATAGGAAGACAACATGAGGAACTAAGTACTATTTCTTGACAGCTAGTCAAAGACATACCCACGCTTCCGACAGAGCAACACAACGCTAAGTTCACAAAGGATACATATGATTACATGACAATTTGCATGTTTTTTCTATGATGGCATCTTCATTACTGAAGAGTAGAATCTGGTTGCCACACACAGCACAGATGTTAGGATCCAGACGCTTGGACGGGAGGCCTGTACTAGAATAATACTGCAAAAACAACAGTACTATAGGAACAGCATCAAAGTAAAACAAAGTGAATCTTGGCACTACTTTTAGTGGAACTACGTCTGTATAAACCATAAACCATTATTATTATGAATGGAATCATCTTATTCCAGGGTTATACATGTATATACAATGATCCCCAAGTCTTACATATTTTAATAATATAAGCTGCTTCAATATCCCCAACACTCATGAAATAGTGATTGAAATATAATGGTACAAGCAGTGTAGAAAAGTGGCAGAAAATTGAAAACCCTAATTCTATAATTCATGAAAGTAAGGGGTCGCTAGATTCAATGACTTCAGTTTTGTTTGTTTATTTGTTGTTTAACGCTGCACTCAGCAATATGCTATATGGCAGTGGCCTGCAAACAATCAAGTCTGCATCAGACAATCAAGCGATCGATATTGTGAGCAATACGATGAGAAGCCATCAAAGTCGGTGAGTTTGACAACCCATTACAGATTGAAGGGGACCACATCTAACCCGGAATCCCCACAGGGTCAATATGGGACCCCATAGTTTTGAAACACTAAGTAGACAGAGACACAAGGAATTAAATTCTGTATTCTTTCTACACGTTTGGAGGTACTTCCCCCTTCATCAGGTTAATGATGTAACCGGTATATATTGGTTCTCTAAGAGCCAACAACTTCAAAATGCCTGTCAAAGACCTTCAAGCAGACAATAGCACATTCAAGTAGAAAGTTGTTGCTCAAGTGAATGAGGATTTTCTTTTTTGCAAGTATTATTGTTTTAAAAGGGAAGTGGTATACGGCCTATAACAACCTACCCCTATGTGTGCTGCCATGAACTCAGAACAGACTTCTGCAAAATCTCGGGATATCACCCCAAAATACAATCCGTAAAATAGAGTGAGAAGCCCAAAGTCCATGCCAGTCTGTGGTTTGACGAGGAACAACATGCTGATGCCAAATATGGTCAACATGACAACAAGGTAGCCAAGAACTCCTGCGGCATAACTCAGCTTGAAGATGAGGAGGAACCATTTGTACACCAGTCTGAAACAGAGGGATTCCATGAGCCCAGTACCTCAACAAATAATGCCCATATTCTCAGTGTTGTTAAAGTTAATTGCCTTCATCCATCTTGATTGAAAAATTCATGAAATCTATGATGAGTTTGTGGAGAATTAATAAATTGAGTTAAACACCAAAACATGTAAATAAACATTACAGTCTGAAAACAAGGTCTCAAGGTCTGTTGCTCCTGTTGTTGCGAGTGAGTGAGTGAGTGAGTGGATTTGGCTTAATGCTGTATGAATAGTATTTCAGTGTATAACATGGAGGGTCAAACAACGAAGTGATGCAGGTCTCAGATGTTCACCACTTTGGTGAAACCCAATAGCATGAGTAAGGTGCTATTGTAATGTTTCCTAGAGATATGTTTGTGTTTCAGTTTTGTTTGTTTGTTGTTTAACGCCACGCTCAGCAATATTCCAGCTACATGACGGTTTTGTTTCAGTGTATACATGGTATAGTACAAGAATCATTTACAATTTCTTTTGTTATTCAAAAGATTAATTGGTTTCTTTGTTTGTTGCTTAACGACACACTCAGTAATATTCCAGCTGTATGGCAGACGCCTGTAAATAATCAAGTGGACCAGACAAAGAAGTGACTACCGGGTAATGTTACTAGCATCAGCCATGCAATCAATCAGTAGGCTCTAGGGGTCATTTCTAACCTGGAATCCGAACAAGGGTAATTTACACGAAGGATACGGAGAGATAATGAGATCAGTTGTAGAAACTGACATTTTTAGTCCACTAGTCCTTAAAATAATAACACATAGCAAAACCCTTAAAAAGGCCAATTTCTACTAGTCCTTATGATACCTTAACTATTGGGCAGTTTGGCAAGGACTACTGGACTATAGCACTATTGTCAATTTCTAACGCTAGACTTATGGATTTAACTTCTATTATTCTGCTGACATAACATTTCAGTACAAATGCTAGTATCTTTACCACTTGCTTGATAAAAGTACTAGCATCTTGCTTGGAAAGAAGTTGAAATCCATAACTCAACTCTAATGTGTCCTCTTTGTAACTACTGCATATAAAATCCCACTTAATGACTAAATGACGTAATTTTCAAAGCAATGATCAACCCTGACATTTTAAGCAATCCCCATTGCTACATAAGGGGTCAGCTGTAAACATCCACTGACCTTGGTGTGTCCCCTGAGAGTGGTTTTCTGGAAGCCCGGAAGACAATGTAGCCGGTGATACAGGAGAAGATGGCCCACACAAACACAAACCTCATCCACCAGAACTTGAGACAGAAGACGATGGGGATCAGCCACATTCCCAACAGCGTGGCCCTCTGGATAGAAAAACATCACCATTAGACATACCGATAACACACTGAAGCGTGGCCCTCTGGGTAGAAAAACATCACCATTAGACATACCGATAACACACTGAAGCGTGGCCCTCTGGGTAGAAAAACATCACCATTAGACATACCGATAAGACACTGAAGTGTGGCCCTCTGGGTAGAAAAACATCACCATTAGACATACCGATAAGACACTGAAGCCAGGGAGGGAGTTGGGTTGAATATATATTAATTAGTATAAATAGAATTAAACATTCTGCATGTGTATTGATAGACTAACATTTAGTCTCTGAAATCTTATAATACACAATATCCTTCTTGACTGAAAAAAATTCACTATGCTGATTTCAGAGAGCTAGCTAGACTTGCTTTTGTATGCATTTCTAGATTTATTTATTTTTCATAAAATAAATATATTCCACAGTCATGGTGCAGGACTAGTATATTGATAAAAACTACCTATGCAATTTATCCATTTAATGCTATATATGAACTAGACTGATCAATTAATGTCTATAATTTTGAATTTTTGGAATTCTCACTGTCCATCTTAACAATGGTAATTTCAATAAATGTAAATATTTCAATGGCAGTCAATTATTTATCTAGTATCAATATTCATATATTTGTCTGAGACTAGTAGTACTACTGGTATGACCTGAAGTGGCTAGTAGTTCTACCTGGTATGACCTGAAGTGTCTTGTGGTTCTACCTGGTATGACCTGAAGTGTCTTGTGGTACTACCTGATATGACCTGAAGTGTCTTGTGGTACTACCTGATATGACCTGAAGTGTCTAATGGTACCACCTGATATGATTGGTTGGTTGGTTGGTTCGTTGTTTAACGCCGCACTCAGCAATATTCCAGCTATATGACGGCGGTCTGTAAATAATCGAGTCTGGACCAGACAATCCAGTGATTAATATCATGAGCATCAACCCACGCAATTAGGATTGATGATCGTGCATCAACCAAGTCAGCGAGCCTGACCAACCGATCCTGTTAGTCGCCTTTTACGACAAGCATAGTCCCCTTTTACGGCAAGCAAGGGTTGCTGAAGACCTATTCTACCCTTGAATCTTCACGGGTCTGATATGACCTGAAGTATCTAGTGGTACTACCTGGTATGACCTGAAGTATCTAGTGGTATTACCTGGTATGACCTGAAGTATCTAGTGGTACTACCTGGTATGACCTGAAGTGTCTAGTGGTATTACCTGGTATGACCTGAAGTGTCTAGTGGTATTACCTGGTATGACCTGAAGTATCTAGTTGTATTACCTGGTATGACCTGAAGCGTCTTGTGGTTCTACCTGGTATTACCTGATGTGTTTAGTAGTTCTACCTGGTATGACCTGAAGTATCTAGTGATATTACCTGGTATGACCTGAAGTGTCTAGTGGTACTACCTGGTGTGACCTGAAGTGTCTAGTGGTACTGCCTGGTATGATCTGAAGTGTCTAGTGGTTCTACCTGGTGTAATCTGAAGTGTCTAGTGGTACTGCCTGATATGACCTGAAGTGTCTAGTGGTACTACCTGGTATGACCTGAAGTGTCTAGTGGTACTACCTGGTATGACCTGAAGTGTCTAGTGGTACTACCTGGTATGATCTGAAGTGTCTAGTGGTACTACCTGATATGACCTGAAGTGTCTAGTGGTACTACCTGGTATGACCTGAAGTGTCTAGTGGTACTACCTGGTATGATCTGAAGTGTCTAGTGGTACTACCTGGTATGATCTGAAGTGTCTAGTGGTACTACCTGGTATGATCTGAAGTGTCTAGTGGTACTACCTGATATGACCTGAAGTGTCTAGTGGTACTACCTGGTGTGACCTGAAGTGTCTAATGGTACTACCTGGTGTGACCTGAAGTGTCTAGTGGTACTACCTGGTGTGACCTGAAGTGTCTAGTGGTACTACCTGGTATGACCTGAGGTATCTAGTAGCACTACCTGGTGTGACCTGAAGTGTCTAGTGGTACTACCTGGTATGACCTGAAGTGTCTAGTAGTACTACTTGGTATGACCTGAAGTGTCTAGTGGTACTACCTGGTATGACCTGAAGTGTCTAGTAGTACTACCTGGTGTGACCTGAAGTGTCTAGTGGTACTACCTGGTATGACCTGAAGTGTCTAGTAGTACTACCTGGTATGACCTGAAGTGTCTAGTGGTACTACCTGGTATGACCTGAAGTGTCTAGTAGTACTACCTGGTATGACCTGAAGTGTCTAGTGGTACTGCCTGGTATGACCTGAAGTGTCTAGTGGTACTGCCTGGTATGACCTGAACTGTCTAGTGGTACTACCTGGTATGACCTGAAGTATCTAGTGGTATTACCTGGTATGACCTGAAGTGTCTAGTGGTACTACCTGGTATGACCTGAGGTATCTAGTAGTACTACCTGGTGTGACCTGAAGTGTCTAGTGGTACTGCCTGGTGTGATCTGAAGTGTCTAGTGGTACTGCCTGGTGTGATCTGAAGTGTCTTGTGGTTCAACCTGGTATTTCCTGATGTTTTAGTAGTTCTACCTGGTATGACCTGAAGCGTCTAGTGGTACTACCTGGTATTACCTGATGTTTTTAGTAGTTCTACCTGGTATGACCTGAAGTGTCTTGTGGTTCAACCTGGTATTACCTGATGTTTTTAGTAGTTCTACCTGGTATGACCTGAAGTTTTTAGTAGTTCTACCTGGTATGACCTGAAGTGTCTAGTGGTACTACCTGGTATTACCTCATGTTTTTAGTAGGTCTACCTGGTATGACCTGAAGTGTCTTGTGGTTCAACCTGGTATTACCTGATGTTTTTAGTAGTTCTACCTGGTATGACCTGAAGTTTTTAGTAGTTCTACCTGGTATGACCTGAAGTGTCTAGTGGTACTACCTGGTATTAACTGATGTTTTTAGTAGTTCTACCTGGTATGACCTGAAGTGTCTTGTGGTTCAACCTGGTATTACCTGATGTTTTCAGTAGTTCTACCTGGTATGACCTGAAGTTTTTAGTAGTTCTACCTGGTATGACCTGAAGTGTCTAGTGGTACTACCTGGTATGACCTAAAGTGTCTAGCTTTCCACTGCACCAGCAGTATCTGGGCAACCACCAGTGTCGCCAGAAGGATGAGTGCCATCTCCGCATGCATCGTCTCATGGCCGCGGTGCTTCTCATGGAGCTTCTGGTGCTCGATCCTGTAACAGCAACATCATATAAACATGTCACACATCTCCCCGCATCCGTCGCTTATGTCAACTTATCAAATCTCATCGCAAAAACATTGAATATTGAATAGTATGTCTAAGGAAAGGATTGTGAGTGAGTGAGTGAGTGTTTTTTGTTTGTTTTTGTTTAACGCCGCACTCGGCAATATTCCAGCTATATCGATTCACGCAATTGGGATATGATGACATGCATCAACTCAGTCAATGAGCCTGACCACCCGATCCCGAGTGAGTGAGTGAGTGAGTGAGTGAGTGAGTGAGTGAGTGAGTGAGTGAGTAAGTAGTATTCCAGTTTTATCATGGCATGTTTACAATGCATAGGCATCATATATATATACTGGCAACAGACTGGAACAATATTCAGTAGCAGATTTCTACTGGTTACTTGCTGTAGACAGGCAAGACGGGTGTCACATCACTTTCAAAGAATCTTGGTTTGAGGCATTGGCTGATCTATCTCTTGGAGTTGGGTACACAGTGGTAGAAACTAACATTTTTGGTCCACTTGTCCTTATAAAGATAATATATAGAAAAACCCTTAAAAATGGCAAATATCTACTAGTCCTTATTATACCTTAACTATTTGGCAGTTTGGCAAGGACTACAGGACTAGTGCCAATTTCTAGCCCTGGTACATGTATAATAAACTTGGCCTATACTGTATTATAAACAGTATTCACTTCTTGTTCTCATCCTACGTCCTTTAGAGTTAATCCCATAAAGAGTGTTGCATGAATATTCTCTACCCAATAATCCCTACTTGATACATGACGTGTAATAACAGGACATGATTGATTGGCTAATCTGGGCATATCACCTGGAATTATTATGTCTAGAAGATCAAGGGTGTGACAGAATTGTTAATGCTCCGAATACAGTGACCAGTGTGCCTTGTGGAAAATATCACACTTGCCATGTTAGCATAATGAAATTTTGCCAGTAGTCTTAACTGAATCAGCTACGTGCTGGTGCAGAAAAAATTCTTATACATGATTTTATCTCTTCAAATTTTGATTAACAAATTATTGAAAGCAAATTGAATATATATTTTCAATCAGAAAATGACTTTAAAAGCTACCTACATCTCATTATTCTTGCAAGCACAAAGAATGTTATAGAATACTATCAAAAAGATTGTGTACTTTCAAAAGGTTATTATTTGGGAGGCTGATGATTTTATGATGTATAATATTAGCTCTGAAATGTGTATGAAACATGCAGGTTACATTATTAAACAATGTTTAACCACAGGAGACTGCTATTTGATTGCTATGTCTATAAACCAGACAATGACAGGCTGCAATGTGGTCAGATACCTGTGTTAATCAGTCCTTCCTAAGGCTGTGGTCAGATACCAGTGTTAATCAGTCCTTTCTAAGGCTGTGGTCAGATACCTGTGTTAATCAGTCCTTCCTAAGGCTGTGCTCAGATACCAGTGTTAATCAGTCCTTCCTAAGGCTGTGGTCAGATACCTGTGTTAATCAGTCCTTCCTAAGGCTGTGGTCAGATACCAGTGTTAATCAGTCCTTTCTAAGGCTGTGGTCAGATACCTGTGTTAATCAGTCCTTCCTAAGGCTGTGCTCAGATACCAGTGTTAATCAGTCCTTCCTAAGGCTGTGGTCAGATACCTGTGTTAATCAGTCCTTCCTAAGGCTGTGGTCAGATACCTGTGTTAATCAGTCCTTCCTAAGGCTGTGGTCAGATACCAGTGTTAATCAGTCCTTCCTAAGGCTGTGGTCAGATACCGGTGTTAATCAGTCCTTCCTAAGGCTGTGGTCAGATACCAGTGTTAATCAGTCCTACCTAAGGCTGTGGTCAGATACCGGTGTTAATCAGTCCTACCTAAGGCTGTGGTCAGATACCGGTGTTAATCAGTCCTACCTAAGGCTGTGGTCAGTTACCGGTGTTAATCAGTCCTTCCTAAGGCTGTGGTCAGATACCAGTGTTAATCAGTCCTTCCTAAGGCTGTGGTCAGTTACCCGTGTTAATCAGTCCTTCCTATGGCTGTGGTCAGATACCAGTGTTAATCAGTCCTTCCTAAGGCTGTGGTCAGATACCTGTGTTAATCAGTCCTTTCCCAAGGCTGTGCTCAGTTACCGGTGTTAATCAGTCCTTCCTATGGCTGTGGTCAGATACCTGTGTTAATCAGTCCTTCCTAAGGCTGTGGTCAGTTACCGGTGTTAATCAGGTCTTCCTATGGCTGTGGTCAGATACCAGTGTTAATCAGTCCTCCCTAAGGCTGTGCTCAGATACTGGTGTTAATCAGGTCTTCCTATGGCTGTGGTTTCTCCTGGGTTGGGTGGCTGCACCAATGGGAGTGGTCGTTAATAGGTTCATACAATACTCCACAATCACCTGATGCTACTACTGTGGTGGGAATATTGACAGAATATATTGGTTACCATGGTAACACAGTCAGAAAAGGACTAGACAGAACGAAGGGCCCTTTGTAATTCTGCTTTCCATTGATGAATACATACTTTTTACAGACTGATAAAGCGTATCGATTTGCCATGTAAAGTTCTATGTCCTGTGTCAAATGCCAAATCTATATAATTATGCAAAACAATATGTAAAATGCACTGAAGGGCTTCTTTCACAAAACTGCTCTGGAAAAGTGTGTGTTTTCACAAACAAGAGGAAAGTCTGGTCACCATGGTCACATGATATGCAAATGAGCTTGTGGCATTGGTGTAATGCTAAGTGCCGGAGTGTGAGTACTGCTAGTATTCATACAGGATCAGTAAGTAGACGCCTTCCCTTGGGCTCTTGGCCATGGTTACAATGTACTGTCATACAGTTTTATCAACTCACCGCCATCGTTCTTTCTCCGACAATTTCGACATGTCGATTGTCTGAAACACATGAGGAAAATAAACGCTATGCATTTGGATTTAGTCATATTCATAAAAAATGCTGGTCCAAACGTAAGGAATAGTATCAACATATATATACAAAGATATACAAATGGGACGAATTACATGAATTTGGTGATCATGGTTATACTAGAACAATACACCAGAGTTTTACATGATTAACTATCATCTCCTTAATACTGTATATTTATGTGGATTAAGTAGGCAGTGTATCAGTTGAATATATATAGCCTTGTATTAACATCATTAGCATCTGTGTCAGTATGGACAACATTAAGCATAGAACATTCATCATTTTGTCAATTCTGCAAACGCAGTTTCTTGGCATGTGAAACAATACCCAATCTCATTACATTATAAAATCAGATCTTAGTTCTCGCTACAGTTAAACAAAGATCTGAGGACAGCCCATTATGGGTCACGTCAGAACTACCTTTCATCTGACCAATCAGAGTGTTGCTTACCAGACCAGTAAATTGACAGTCAGAATGTGTTTTCTTATCATGCAACCTCGAAAAGGTTAACACAGGGTATTCTGAATGACAGATACAGGCTGAACATGACCTGTAATGGGATGTCTTCAGGTTTTTGTTTCACGGTAGCAAGCACTAAAATCTTATTTTAAAGATTGAATATTGCCTACTACATCAAACATACAACACCAACCTTTAGGTAAGCCGTGACCGATAACTGTAGCCCACAAAGTTAGAAATACTACAGTCTATGCTAATAGCAAATAAAATAATAACCATGCGAGACATTATTAAGCATGTTCCATGACAGTCGAAATCTTGTGGAAGATGCTCTTGATGCACATGTTGCACACCTGCCCATTTGTGAGATGTAAACTGAATGCATATTGGTCTGTACCAGGACGTTGCTTGAAACTCTTGGTGACTACAATGCTGCACACATTCCCTACCTAGCTCCATAATGAATGGATTGTGAGGTCTAGAATTGACTACTCTAACTGATCACCAAACCTGGAATATAACTGAGTAAGGCATGAAACAGAATGAAACGAAACAGAAATCTACCATGAAGTCTAAGTGATCCCAACTTCTCCCCATGTACCTATCTTAGCGACTCCCACAATGCCCCGACTATCTCTGCCATGAATACCCTCTCATCAACACCCATGATGCATGTACGCCCAACGCATCTCTACCATGATGCCCATCTTAGCAACTTCCATGACACACCAACACCCAACTCACTTCCATCTTAACATTCTTCATGATGCCTAACCTACCTCTACCACATCGCCAACCTTAGCGACTTCCATGACACACCAACAACCAACTCACTTCCATCTTAACATTCTTCATGATGCCAACCTACCTCTACCACATCGCCAACCTTAGCGACTTCCATGACACACCAACAACCAACTCACTTCCATCTTAACATTCTTCATGATGCCAACCTACCTCTACCACATCGCCAACCTTAGCGACTTCTATGACACACCAACAACCAACTCACTTCCATCTTAACATTCTTCATGATACCCAACCTACCTCTACCACATCGCCCATCTTAGCAACTTCCATGACACACCAACTCCCAACTCACTTCCATCTTAACATTCTTCATGATGCTGACCTACCTCAACCACATCGCCCATCTTAGCAACTTCCATGACACACCAACTACCAACTCACTTCCATCTTAACATTCTTCATGATGCTGACCTACCTCTACCACATCGCCAATCTTAGCGACTTCCATGATGCCAGCACCGCTCCTCTCCCCTGTCTAGCAACAAGAAGCTCCCTATACACAGTGTCACAGCTTGCCATGTCCTATGGAGCCGTTCTTCCCATATCGCATGTTTTCCCAATCTGATTACAATAATGCTAATTCTTCTGATGTGTTGACTCAGTTTATCAGCACTAATCAATACCTGATGGCAAGGACGTAACAAGCGTTAACTGATGTGGGAAGTCTATTATCATTGATTATGTCGGCTATTTCACTTAACATCTGCCCTTGATAGGTTTGTCATACAGTTTTAGTCAAGTTACAGTGACCAGCATTGTGAAGGGACACTGAGTGAATGATTTGGATTTTACACCGTTTTTAGCAATATTCCAGCAACATCATGTCAGGGGACACCAGAATTGGGCTTCACAAATTGTACCCATGTTTCAGCAGGATGCAGGTGGAAAAAGGGTCCACAAGGTGATACTTGTGAGTGAGTGAGTTAAAATTTAAAGTCGCATCAGCATTATGTCAGCCATAGAGTGACGATCCTTGTGAGGTGAAATGAGGTTTAATGTTTAGCGCTCAAGATTATTGCACATATATAGCGATGAGCATGTAGTTGTGTGTGTGTCTGTGTGTCTGCTGGTTTCATAGTGCTATCCCACTGAGACATCATGTTGCAGTCTAACACTGATACCCCACTCTGACACAGTAACAGTACTAACACTGACACTGTGCAGATCAGTCCTTGTTTTAGCCCCTTAATGTTGAGCTCGGGCAGGGTAACAACAAGTACCATCTCATTTGTAATGATGTGGCCGGGGATCGTACCACTTCGACCTTCTGCTCCAAGGACAGACATTGCACCCCTTGGACACGCCAGAAACCTATGGTCGTGGGTTTGTATTGTGGTTCGCCCTGATTATGTTTCTTGCTTTCTCAGCACCATGCTCGTGGGTTTCACCAAAGTGGTCAATATCTGAGACCTGCATAACTGTTCAAAGCGGTGTCAAACCCAACTCACTCACTCACTCACTAAACATTCCTCCTATCTCAACCTGACACAATGGCGTATAATACTGTTCCAAGTGTCACAAATCTGAATCATCTGAATGGCAAAAAACTACGTTAAACATGAATAAAGACAAATTTGCATCTAAAATAATAATTTGAACTCCATAAATTTAATTTGATCCTTCAAACATTTCAAATGAAAAACAATACCAACAACAATGTCAAAGAAAAACATTTTGAAAAAAAGGTTGTGGTTTTGGATTGTAGACATAAACATACAAGATGCTATCCCTTCAACACTGGCCATGTGACCATGTCCTGGTATAAGTGTTCTTAGTCCAACTGACCAGCTGATCCAGTCTACAGAACCTGGAATCTATGCATGTGTAAGATCCCATGTTGTTGCCATGGCAACCTTGTACATATGGATCTGACAAGTCGTCAATGCCTTCTGATTTCCCAGCTGTCCAGGACAATGTTAATATTTCCTCCCATGTTCAAGTTTCATAAACTATTGTTACAAATATGTTGCTTAAAAGCAGCAAAATACAATAAAAAGCCTTCTCCTTTGAAATGAATTGTTGATTTTTAACATGTTAAATGATTATACATACACACACACACAGATATGTATATATGTATATTGATTTTCTTGTTCATATTCAGAATGTGCAAGATGGGCACTTTCTCTATCCATCTGTATCAGTTTACAGGGCCTGCATTTTCAACAAGTTCAACGTCCTCTGAAATCAATAGATAATTTCCCCAGACAGGATCATTCATACTTTGAGTTTGATGTAATAATGATAAATGTAGTCCCTATTTATTTTTGCCTCTTAAAGTGGTAGCTAGAAGGCTGACTATATATTACAGTGCAACCCGCACATGATGGCAACTGAAGCGAGGAATTTGATATGTGCTTCAGTAATGGGATATCCTCGTATCATGAACAAAACCATGCATAAATTTGCATATTTATACCATACAACAATCACATATGTTAACTAGCAATCGGTATTGGCAGAAATATATAGTAATACAAAGTGCTGTAATGGGATACGTATTGCAATATATACAAGTTATACTTCTTCATGATTTTACCAAGATAAAGATGAACTTTATAATGCCAAAATGTTTCCAAACAAATGATGCCTTACCTTCCTTGTTCAGCATTGACTATAACATATCCCTAACCATTCTGAATGTGATATTCAACCTTTAACAGAAAATCCTGAAGTGATACTACTGTATTGTGAAAACTGGTTCAGGGCGATTCTACCCAGATAGATATTTACAGGAATTTTGTACTGCAATTTACTGTTAAACTGGTAATATCATGCACTCACTAATGTTAACAACAGAATCCTCTAAAAGGTGAATATGCAAATCAGTCTTACATAGCAATTGCTGTATGTGTGTGGACAAACAGAGACAAGTTTTAGTTCATTTGTTAGTTAATAGGAAATTTGAAATTACAGCAGTTGAGCAATTCCCCCAAAATTGGTCCTTACGTATACAATTTCATGAAATAGCTAAAATGCATGAAGCCCTGAAACCAGACAACAAAGGAAAGTACACTTGTGACCAACATGAACTGAAAAGTGACCATGTATTGACAAGCAGCATGAGCATGTTCTCCACAACACAAGCATCATCCTCTCCACACAGGGGCAGTACGTCACACGAGACACCTTCCTGTCGTGAAGGTCGTATCTTTGGACATGGACAAAACATACACCTTTTCTCCTCATCAGGTCTTTATCCAATATATGAAAAACTATTATTTTGCTCAAATAAGTTACATAAATTTTCAAGTAACCTCCAAAAGCCAAAACAGTAGTTATAACTACAGAACATGGATTGGGAAACTTGCAATTACAATTTGGGCAATTTTACTGACATTTGCTGCAGACTTGGAATCGGCTTCTGAGCAGGCAATGCCAGGTATTGTACATAATATGATAAATACCTGAATCCTTCTTCAAAATGTTTGGCCAAATAAATATAAGTTGTGTCATATCTGTTATCGCATGTTCATAAACATGAGCCATGCACTAATGCCCTAATCATCTAATTATCAAAGTAGCATCAGGCATAATCCACTAGCCCAAGTCATAGACAAGCACATCATCAGATTAACTGTTGTAATATGAAAACATTGGCTGGTCTATAATTTCTTTGGAATGGTATATAAATATATCGTGTCAACCACTTGACATGGTAACATCTTAGTTTACAGATATACATTTCCAAATGGTGGAAATCAACATTTTTCTTTTTTCATAAAAATTGAGTAGAATTGAACAATAATTAAAAGCGTTTTAATCTTTAACTATAAGCTACTTTGTAGTTTCTTTCTTGAACATGTTGAATTAGCATAATTATTTAAGACTCAATAGAGAGAAAATTAATTAATTCCATATTTGAATAAAATTTCACTTTACAGGCCCACAAACCAAAGTACGGTAATTAAAACAAAATACCAATAAAACTATTTTCCTCTAAATCTGTAACAATAGTCAGGGATGCAACTTCACCCGTATCATTTTCTCACTAAACAGTGATAACATATGCTCACCGCCAAAAGCAACGCGAACCATAGAAACATATGGAGAAGTGTATACGTTAAGAAGAGATGTTTCCAATGTGTACCGTTTGTTTGTTTGTTTGTTGTGTAATGCCGCACTCAGCAATATTCCATCTATATGACAGCGGTCTCTAAGTAATCTAGTGATTAACATCATGAGCATCAATCCACGCAATTGGGATCGATGACATGCATCAACCAAGTCAGCAAGCCTGACCACCCGATCCCGTTAGTCACCTCTTACGACAAGCATAGTCACCTTTTACGGCAAGCATGGGTTGCTGAAGACCTATTCTACCCCGGATCCTCGCGAGCCTATGAATGACAAAACTAACAATCAGTCAAGTGTTACCACAGAGTGTCTTAATTCTTATCACGATATGCTGCATCTGATTTCCAAACTTTAAACGCTAATCCTGGATGAGACAAATGGTGCATTTTGAGTCATGGATCTATGACGTCACATGTGATGTGTTCATGAGCATCAGTTCATGCAACAGAACAGTATGCTTGTTTGTGCATCAAACCAATCTAATGTCTTTTGAATATGAGTAATTCTTCATATATTAACCAATATGTATGGTATTCGCATTTCTTTTGTTGGCGAGTATATCATGACACCCCATATCAAGCCTGACATTCTACTTGCCTGAAGGAAACCTTTTACAATAGGAAAACTGATGTGTGCTAGCAGACGAGTGCCAAGTTGCATCCCTGAGGCTGAATGGAAACAAGTGGGCCACAACCAAATGGTAAACATGACACCCCTGACAAAGTGAGGATTTTGTGTTGCAGGAAACAGCCGACCCATGGTGAGAGGACAGAACCACAGAACCAGGAAGCTTAAGCCACAGACAGATGTCTAACTACTGCTAGGACACGCTACCCCGACATACTCTACCTCTAGAGAGAAGTGGTCTCTAGGGTACCGCGGGAACCTAATTCTGAGAGGCATGATTCTACAAGATGGTAGGCAGTTAGCACTGCAGTTAGTACAAGCTCACCTGTAATTGGTTAGAATCACATGTTACTTGGGTACAGTCACATATATCAACATCAGTGTTATTGTTAGAAATGAAGCACGAAAGGCAAGGGCCCTTATCATAACCATAATGTTGAATGATTGATTGAGTATGGTTTTAAGCCGCTTTTAGCAATATTCCAGCAATATCATGGCGGGGGACACCAGAAATGGGCTTCACACATTGTACCCATGTCGGGAATCGAACCCGGGTCTTCGGCGTGACGACTGCGAACGCTTCAACCACTAGGCTACCCGACCGCCCCTACCATAATGTTGAATGTCAGATATTGAGTGACATAGGGTTTCAAATCGCATTCAAGATTATTTCACTTATTTAGCGATTTGGATGAAGTGTGTGTGGCTGCTAGTACTTTTTAGTACTTTTATACTTTTTAGTACTAGCCCACTAGCCAACCAGTCCTTTTTTTCATCCCTGTAATGCAGAGTGCCAGGCAGGGTAACATAATACCATCTTTTAACATCTTT